CCCGCAATGGGGAGACACGAGCGACATGTCAAAAGTGGACAACATGGAGAGAAATAGAGGGTACAAAGGCCGTGTCGTCCCGCGACTCAGTCGCCAGCTGGGATGCCGGGCGGGCTGTCAGTCTGACAGCCCGTGGATTGCGGGCTCGGGAGTAGCCTGCTCTGTTCTGCCCTGGGTTGCTGACTCTTCCTAGAGGGCTCGACCCAGACCTCGTGAAGTTGCGGCGGGTATGCTCAACTGGCCCAGACCTTTGTGCTAGTACGCTTCTAGCAACAACAGTAGCTATCGCTGCTGCCCTAATGATGGTCGGACGCATGAGTAGCATCACAGAGCTTGAACAAAACGCTTATTGCGGCGCAACACTATGCACACACCAGCACCAACTCCATCTGTCCTTTGCAAATCCTTCCCGTATCAACACAACAAATTCCAAGTCGAGCCAAGCCCCCGCTGTCGTCATCTCGTGTTCCCCGTCTCCGAGCTGCCGTTATCGACAAAGGGACCCAACGGGCTCACCTTACTATCTTGGAGCTGATGGGTCTCGCGCGGAGCACAAAACGCGTATGTGATAGGGAGAGAGAGTCATATCTGGAAATCAACATGGCATGGCGGATATGCACCAGCTCCGGATCCCCTGTGGGGCAAACGTGGCTGGTCCATTTCAAGCCCCAGTTCGACCCGGCCCCAAGCTCGCCCCCCCCTGGAAAAGCTCGGCGTCGCCTTGCCTTGCCAGAGCCTGGTCCCCTGACACCCTGGTTCTGTCGGCAGGCGTTTACACTAGACAGGTAACCTAGCTCGAACAGGGCGTCACGGGGAATTCCAGAACCGAACGACCGACAAAATATCGACAGGGCAGAGGAGATGCGAGCAGGCTTGTCAGTTGAGTTTGCCCTCCTGCGCCTTGCAATGCCAACCAATCGTGGATCTAGAGCTAGGGTATCAACCTTCGGGGAACGTGGGAGTGTGGCACGCGGGACGAGACAAGGCCATCCAACCCACAACCGCACCGCCATAGTGCCAACAACGGCCATTGTCTCAAGCTCTCCGCCAAATAAATGGGCTGTCTCAGACGGCCCCCGTTATGGTCGTAAACCTAACGGTCAGGCCAACACTGGTCTTGCAAAAAAAAACATGAGACACTGCGGTGTTGTACAGCATTGACTATCGAGGTTGGGGGACTGGCTCCGTCACGACCTTGACCGCTTCGTTCCTCAGACGCCGAGCGGCGCGCTCCAGGTGCCCGAAAACCTCAACCGGTTGATTAACCACCTGGCTGGCGGATGGGCGGATGCCGGTCCACGGCAGCCCTCGGCACCTCACTCGCGACATGGCCCTAAGATGGCCTTTTTTGCGTCAGAAGAAGCAATACCGTACGGCCGGCAAACTGCGAAGCCCACAAGTTGCGCAGTCCCTTGTCCATGATGCGGCGTGTCCACTGCATGGACCCAGAGCTCCCTCCTCACTATTTTATTCCCGGCACTGTGAAAAGCCCTCCGGCAGGGACCATAGCCTTCCGGGAGTCGTCGATCATGATCTGTCACAATCTGGATCTGGCACTGGCGCTGGCCGACACGCTTTGGAAATCTTCAAACGCCTCAGACAGATGAGTATCCACGGGCTGGCCACGTCAAAAGAAAAAGAAAGCCAACGAGAGCGTGGTCCCACGTCGATTGTGAAACCCCTCGCGGCGTAAAATCGAAGACTCGCTCAGCTGGAAATGCTGCACATGTCTCGCGTCATCTCGGCATCAATACGCATGATTTGAGCCTGGTTATAAAAAGTGAAGCAAATAGGCGCCCTACTGGATTGCTAGATTTGGTTAGAAACCCCAATAATCTGGCCAGAGCTACGGATAGCAGCATGATCAGCTTCATTGTCTCTCGGTAAAATGTTGACGACGGTAGCATCAGAAAATTTCCCTGGCATAACGCAAAATCTGCTTGTTGCGAGAACCCGTCAATCATAGCCTTTAAGACCATCTTGTATTGCATAAGTTCAGACGACAGAGGGGAGGGTGACGTTGGAATCACTTTGCCCGAGACAGTGACAAATATGTCAGAGCTAGAGGCACCACTTGGATTGAAACGGCAGCTCAATGGAAGCTCTGGGTCGCTTAGAGCGCACGACTCAGGAACCTTAACTCAATATTCTGGCGGGTCGATCAGATGTTTGGCCAGTGTTCGGATGAAACTGGTCAATTTCTATTTTATCTTTCATTTATAATGTTTTTAGTTTGTTCCCGTTACGACAAGGAATGAACAACGGTTTGCCGCCGTGTGCCAGATTCGAGGGTTTGAGCATATCGGCCGCTTGCTGCAACATGCATGGCCCACGAAGTTTGCTTGGCTTGGAGATGTCTGCGGCTCAGATCAACAAACTGGCTTCGAGAGGAAAAAAGGACAGCTCGGACTCATTATGTTACCACAGACATGAAGCTAGTGTGTGCAACCGACGCGAAGGAAGGAAATGGCGTCGTAGCTTGGGATCACCCAACCCCTCTGGCTGACCAGACGGAACGTTGTGCACTACCAACCACGCGCGTACCGGGGGATACACAATATACACTCCTAATGTTTGCTTCAACTTTGCATGGAGCAATAGATCGGTATCACAGCATGCAGTAGCGATTTTCATTCCGTGTCTCAGCTACCGAATGTCCAGCCATCTTAGCAGTTTCAGTACTTTTCGAGTCTATGCGCCTCCTCTCATAAAAGCAGCATGGATTTGGGAACAACGTCACTGGTGAGACAAACTGCTGTCTACCGCTAGCTTCGGGGGCCATTTCTCAAGTCTACACCAACCAGAGTCGTCAAAGGTTACACCGTTGAAGAAGAAGAGTGAATAAGAAAGTTAGAGGCAGGTATTTTGAGCAAGCGCGTCTTATCTAGCACAAAAGCAGGCAAGACAAAAGGCCCGTCGACTTGATGAAAAGTATGGAAGGCTTCCAAACTTCCGCGTAGTGGGCCACGATGGGCGAAGCAAGCATCAGGGAGGACTAGCTGCAATTGGAAAGTTTGTTGAGTGAAACGGACACTCTCGAGCTACACAACGACCACAGCGACTGTTTTTTTTTTTTTTTAGATTGTCTGCATCAACCATCGAGTTCGAAGCCGCTGAAGACGAATTCAACAGAAGTTCATCAAGTTTCCTGCCAAGGCGCCGCGCTTGCGAGGTGGTTCTTGTACATGGCATTGCCTTCGCGGCAGGTGTCGAACGGTACGGCAAATCGGCGCCGTCGGCGCGACTATTCACATAGCATACACGCACGCGCATACACACACCCCTCTCATACCGATTGCATGACGGTCATTACTAGCTAGCACCCGGATAATGGACACGTTCAAATTTGTCGCCATCTCGCAACGCACACTTCGCATTTGCAAATGGTCGAGTGCATCCAATCTCATTTCCCGCCGTCATTTGGCTTCCCGGCTTGACTCTGGCAACTCTTCAGCTGGGGAACAGGCCTCATCCATCCATTAGCTGATGAAGCCTCTTTCATGTTATTGCACTCCACTTTGAGCAGAGGAGAGTCAGCCAGCCCTGCGACCACAGAGTATGAGCAACCCGTGCTGGCGGAACCTTGCGGCCCAGATCCCATACACTACAAGTTACGACGCTCACAGTGCGCTGTAAAATTGAATAGAACAGCCTTTCCTGAAGCCGTTCTGCCGTCGTTGAATGCGTCAACTGTCTGTGACAGAAAAATACAAACAACCAAGAAGTGGGAATCCTGATATTGCCATCACACACACTTTTTCATTCATCCATCCAGTTGGTGCTGGCACGCGACAGGGAATCACCACACACGGAAACAGTCTTGACCGGTCTCTCTGCAGGGTGCAAGCCGCAGCGCTCCAAGAGGAGGGATAATCAAGGTTGGGGTTTTCCCGGCCAGCGTCCCCCGGACCGTCTACGACCAACCCGCCCCAATGTCGCCGCATTCTACATGCCGCCGCCGACCTTGCGATGTAGTATATGAGGCGGAAGAGCAATAGATGAGGAGGGAGTTATGGTGCCACTACTGCAAACGTCGCTTGCTTGTTGCTCTTCGCTGTTTTGCTGCTCTTGGACTCTCCGCCCATACCAGATGCTGCCCGCTGCTCGCTTCATGGGTGCGTGAGAGAGAGTTCGTTTACACCCTGCCTTCCACCCACCCACCCACATCGACCGACAGACCCCTCAATCCTCCCAACCAGGAACCCCAGACGACCATACCACACCCCCGGCAGCACCTTCAGAGTCAGATCCCTCCATCACCCTCCCCCCCCTGCCGAGCATCCTGGAAGAGGGGACAGACGGGGGGGATGCTGCGGCGTCGCATTTTGGGACTAGGTTCTGCGAGACTGGAAGTATTGCACAGGGCAAAGTGGTAGCAGGGCCGCGCTGACATTCTGCCCCCCCGGTATCTCTTGTCCTCCCCTCTGCCCATCTTAGTCTTGGTCTGGCTGCTCGCCCAAAGAAACCAGAGGTTGACGAATCCCAATGTTCGGATCCCGACCCCCGGCTCATAATGCATTGAAAACGGCACCATCTTAAATATATTACCAGTCCCAAGCGCATCCCCCACGGTCTGACAGATCTCTCGTCACCTGTCGCTCTCTCAGGACGAGACAGAATAGCAACAAGAAAAAAGGCGCTGGACGGTTGATACTGGTTACTGGTTTCTATTGTGCGCGCTCTCTTCCTTTTCTCATAACAACCTTTCACTCGGCGCGTTGCCTGCACACCACACCCGACCTTCTTACACAGACCACACAATCTCTCTCACACACTCACTCACTTTCAACTCGTACACCCCCGATCCCAAACCCGAAAGATACAGATCCAAGGCGGCCCAGTTTTAAATAGAAAAAAAAAAGGTAAACAACAGGAGAGAAGTGCAGGAAAAAGCCTCGACTTGCCCGGACCCGTCCACAGCACGCTGGAGAAGAAGGGGATCCCTTGAGAGGGGGCACGCCTGGCTTGACGTCGCCCTCTGCATTAAGTCGAAAAACAAGATGTGGACTACCGCTCCACTGCCGTATTACTCGGCCTACAAGCCAAGTCGAAGAAAGGAGAGGGCTACCACCGGCAACAAAGACGCTTCGCCGCCGCCGTCCTCCATCAACAGCAGACATCCACCTCCCCTTTCTCTTGTCACAGCTCAATACCACCCCGACAACATCACTGATTTGTTCGAGCCTGCTCTTGATGGACCGCCATCACCGGAAAGGATTCGTGCCCTGAGCAAGCAGATGCAGAGGGCTTCGGCCGTGGACAAGCACAAGAGTCACACAACCACGTCCTCCGGTTCGTCGTCCTCACTGCGCTCACTCAACTCGGACCGATCGTGGGAACACACCCTGGAAACCATCACGCTCTCGAGGCGTTCTTCTGGCCGATCAACCTCCAGCAGCATGCCGACCCGGGACCGCCCAGAGAGCGTGCAGCTCTTTGGCAAGACCATTTTCAACCGGAGGGCCAAGATGAAGAGGGAAAGCAGCAGTAACCAGAGTTCTTCTGGAAGTTCTTTATATTCTGGTGAGCTTGCCCTTGATGGCCCGACCTCGACAAACAAGGACCATTTCATCCCATCCATCTTCGGCCGCCGCAGGACTCTAAGACAGGACGACTTAGGTGATGACCCGGCCATGGGACGCAAACTGCAAATATCGGGCCCGTACAACTTCCAACACGTTACTCACACGCAACGGGACCACCTGCCGGACCTCCAGCGGGGCAGCCGTGCCGAACTGGTGACCGAATTCTCCGCCATCCGTGCCGGCCAACGGCCGACTACAGGCCAACTCAGGGGAATCGACGTTGAAGACCTGCATTTTTCCAACTTCTCATCTGAAGCGCTGCACACGCAGCACGAGAGTGCGCCGGCAGGCGAAACTCACGCAGAGCCCCTTCACCGCCCACCTCCCCTTACCCGGCATACAGGCCCAACCTCGGCGCCTAGGCGGATGATTAAACACTCTCGCTCTCAGGAACAACTTTACTCGAGCCCGCCACGACCAGCGCCTCCGCGGCCGCCTAGGTCACCCATCCGCGAAGAGCCCATGTCGCCAACTCTCCCGGGCTCGCCCGTTCCTCCACCCAGATCATCGAGTCGGATCGCGAAGCACTACACTGTTTCCCAGGACTCCATCGCCACCACCGATAGCGCCCCGGAAAGCCCCCAGACCAGCAGTAGCTTCCAGCACCCCAGCCCTTTCGAAGTAGTACTTGAAGTCGCCGAACCCCCCGCCACTGCTCTGAGCATCATGTCCTCTGGCGATGGTCCGGAGGCGCTGACGGACCCGCGGTTCTCCCACGCAATCACAACCCCCGACGATGCGGCATGGCCGCTCACCGCCAGTACCACCCTCTCTTACGAGATGGCGTTGCCGGACGTGCCTGAGGAGGAGGAGCAGTATGTTTTGTCTAGGCGGTCCCGCGGCAGCTTGGTCAGCATGCAGTCATCGCTTCGAGGAAGCCAATCTGTGCCTGTTCTACGACAAGTGGCGCAACCGCAAGACGAGTCTGAACGGCCGTCGAGCGGCGCATCGGACACGCTGGGCAGCTTCGACATGCTTCCTGCACAAAACGCCCTGCAGGAGGTCTTGGAAATAGACAACGTGGCCGAAGTCTCTCACCGAGCCAGCTGGGAGGACGACATTGATTATTGTTACGAGCACGAAGCCGAGGCCAACTGCGATTATGCCTGGGACCGCCCATCCTTGGATCTGGTAAGGGAGAGCTTCGTCCAGGCCCCCTTCGACACGGACGGCTTGTTTGTGGCGCCGCTGTCTGCTGGTTTGATGCCGGCACCGACCGGGCACATGGACAACCTCCCAGCCCTGAGCCCCGCAAGCCAAACCTCGATCAACGGCCACGAGGCGATTACGCCGACCATCACGACGTTGCCTGTGAAGTCCAACTTCTCACACCCGAGAAAGGAGACGAACTACCGGGGGAACTCGCACCTCCACGTGAGGACGGCATCGCATGCTTCGAGCTTCAAGGAGTCCCACGGATTCCACCTGTCGCCATCGCTTCTCATTCCCGGAGATTTCCACCAACAGATGCTGGCCGACTCGGACATGGACGCGTACCCGCTGGAGGCAGCGAGACACAACTCGGACCACTTTTCTTTCGACGAGGAGCCCGTCCTGACGATGGAAACCCCCGGCCTGTTCGCCAGAGACCGCGCCAGCACGTCGACGACTGGCAGCAACTCTTCGAGCCAGACCAGCTCGACCGAGGCGCGGCACACTTCGACCAACTCGACGTGGACGGCGCTGACGAGGTACACGGGAAGCACAACATTCGAGGGATGGAACCCCAAGTTCGAGGGCAGCGAGCACTCGCGCTCGTTCAGCGCCGACGACTTGTCCGAGCTCGCACTCGGCTCGCCCCGGGCGCGAAAGTCCACCATGGCTCCGCTGCCCGAGTCCGAGGAAGTCCTGACCCTGTCTCGTTCCACGGGCGACATTCGTACCGTCTCGACCCGTCTCGATGCCAGCCAGTCCCAAGAAAACCTACCGCTCGCCAAGACCAAGGAGGCTGGCAAGCAGCACCGTCGCCAACGCGCGCAAACGCTGAGCGCCCCGCCCCCTCCCGGGCAGTACGCCCTGTTCCCGCCCATCTACTCCGGCGGCCGCATCTGATGCCTGTCCACGACAGCGTGTCGAGTACACGACACGACACACACAGCCTACATATTCTAACCACTCATCTTTCTCACACACACACACACACACACACACACACACACACCCTCTCGCCTTTGGCAGAGCATCACAGTCTTGGGTCGCATCAGGCGGCGCACTTCACCTCCTTTGTTTGTTTCTCGACATGTCACGGCGGCGTTTGTTTGAGACTGCCGTGATTCGCTATAGACTTTTGACACACTCGGGGGGTAAGGCCGGGGAGGAGTTTCTCACGGGATTCGATACTTTGTTTTGCACACATAGACCAACGGGACCATTCCGACCACCCACCATCGCTGCCGCGGTTCGGCACCACACCTCAATTTCCTTTTGTCTACAGGCCCTCCAGGAAGGAGGAGGGGGAGGGAGGAAACCCGGTGAGGGGGGTGCGCATCGTCACCAGCCACCACTACCGCCACAACGGGCGCACTTCAAGGAGTCATCTTCTTGGGGGTGTTTTCTATACTCTTTGTTTTTTTATCTCATACACTACCACCACCAGCACCACCGCTGCCTACCGACCACTGTTATTTTGTTGTACAAAAACAATAAACCTCGAGGCGACAGAGAGGTAAACCTCCGCCGGGTACGATTTGATGGATTCATGACTGGGGGAGAGGAAGGGGGGACCAAAAAAGAAGGACCAGTAAGGAACTAAAAAAAAACAGCTGTAAAAAAAAAAAGAAGAGACTAGGTGGGAAGAGGGGGGAGTTGCATGGCACGCGTCGAGGACGAACGGGGTCCAGGGGACCAGCAGGGTGGGGAGAGAAACGGGGAGAGAGAGGATGTTGTTGCGAAAAAGGGAGGGGGAAGGGGGGCGGCACTGTTCTTCATCGCGGTTCGGAAGCAAAAAAAAACAAATAGGCCCTCCCTATATGTGGCTCCGAATAATTTCAAACCAAAAAAACCACCCACCCCCCACGGGAGACCTCTGTTTCCGCCGTGTTCCCCGTTGCTGCTCGCTTGCCCAGGCTGATGCTGATGCGCACCGCCGGTGCTGGGACCCGTGTAGTCGGCCGTCGCAAGGGGAGGCGACAACTAATACCGTGACTTCTGCTGGAGGAGGCGGGAAGGCAGGTGCCGGCGTCGACCAAGGTTGGTTCTGGCCCGTCCATGCTCGGTCCGCATCCTTTTGCGCGAGGACGGACACGTCGGCGTGGAGGACGCAGGCTCCCGTCAAAGATGTAGGGCCCGAATCCCAGATGCTCCAAGTCCCAGGTGACCACATGGTCCTTTTTGCATGATGGGCCGCCCCAAAGAAGGACGTGCCGGTAGTGGCATGCCGCCGCAGCCAGCCCGGGAGCATGCAAGTGCAAGTCGTGGTAAACCCGTGCATTACATGCCAAAACTACGTGCCCACGATCCCCTTCTGGATATCTGCAGGAGAATGGCCCCGAACTACCGCCGCTGACAGTCCCATGGCTCCCGGGGTAAACTAGATTCCCTCCCCTCCCCAGACAAACCCTTCTCCGTCCCTCCATCGCCCATGCACCCCGCACTTCCTCTCTCCCCTGCCGCCGGCCCCCCATACCTCCTCTTCACGATGCCCTCCCCATCGTCACTCGGTCTCTGGTTCCTGGACCGCTGCCCGTTCTTCTTCGTCTGCAGCTTGTCGATTGCGCACGGTATCCGCCCGGTTGCGCCGACTCCTCTTTTCATCATGAAACATCCCCTTCCGCGCCAGTGATTCGTCCGTGGAAGGTGGGAAACAAAGCAAGGCCAAAACAAGCCGGCCCAAACAAAAGTGAAGAAGCCAAAAACCCGCGTCAGCACAAAGGTCCCCCTTCGGCGACCGGTGTCGTTATCTGAGACGGGGGAGAACCGATCGGACCAATGGCTGGCTTGACGTCCCCCGCACGGCGTGTCATCGGACGGTCGGCGAAGCTCCGAAAACCCACCCCCCCGGCACCCTTGCCTCCGAGTTTTTGAGCTCACACGCTTAACCCCCCCCTTTTGGACGTACGGTAGCATGGCTTCGCACCCCAAACCAACGGCCGGGTGAGAGAGACAGGGAGCGCAGAAAGCCAATCGGGACTTCAAGCATTCCTCCACGACGGCTCGCCTCTCTCGTCCGAGGCCCCCTCGACGTCGAGGAACTCGTCCAACCGGCCGCCTCCGCCTCCGCTCACGGCCGCCTCTCTCTCCAACGTCTCCAGGTTGCGCAGCAGCTCCCCGCGTTCGCGATGCAGCACCTCCCGCTCCCGCTCCAGGTTCTTGATGTGCCGGCGCGCCATGTCTAGCACCTCGGCCTTGCTGACCCGCCGCTCCTCGTCCGCCTGCTGCGGATCCGACTCGTCGACGTCCCCGGCGCCGGCCGGTCCGCGCACCTGCTCCGGTAGGGCATTGAGGAGGCCTTCAAACTGGGCGTTGAGCCGGTTGCGGTACTGCTTCTCGACCAGGTTGTGCGACGCGCGCGTCCGTCGTTCTTCCGGCGTCTCCGTCGGCTTCTGCGACTGGTTCTTGGACGTGCGAGAGGCGCTGCGCAGACGTGGCACCGGCGCCGCTTTGCTATTCGACCCGGCGGACGAGGCGGCGGACACGGACTTGATCGATCGGCCGCTGATGCTGGTCCGGCCCGCGGGGCTGGTGGGTTCGTCGTCGCCGTCGGCGTCGTCGTCGTCAACGCCGCTTGCACCGGGGTCGGCCACGGCACGGCGCTTCCCCTTCCTCTCCTGTCTGCGAGACCCAGACGGTGTCTTATTGTTTGTCCCGGCAGCTCCGCCCCTTCTCTCCGCCCATTCGTTGTCCTCGTCGTTCCACGCAGGGTCTTTCACGTTTCTGTCGGCCTCCATGCTGCTTTTGCTGTGCTTTCGGACGTCGTGGTTCAGTTCGGCTGCGGCAACGGCTTCAATGTTTTGTGTCAACGTGACGGAGCTGCTGTCCTGGAGCCGAGGCTGCCATGGCGAAGAACGAACATCGAAAGTGGTTGTTGGTGGTTGCGGATGAGCTGCCGCCGCCGCTGCTGTGGAAAGTGGCCTGATGTCGGCATAATCTCCGCCAAGGAACGACGGCTCACATGGTGGTGCAGTAAAGCCAAAATCGTATAGGTGACCACCTGCGCCAATGCTGTCGCTGCTATTGATCAAGTCGCCTGCTGCAGAAATCGTGGCAGGTGGATTGACACCTGCCGTTGTGGAGGGCGACGTTGGATCGGCGTGCTGTTGCTGGCTGTCAGGGTACATCAGGACCCCATATCCGGGCGGAAGCCATGTGTTGGGTGGTTGCTCATGGCCATGCGTATGGAGCAGTGATGATGGGCCCTGCTGATCAGCGAAAGACGCTGCTTCAGGACGGAATCGGTGTTGATGGCGGTGACCCTGGCCGCTGTCTGCGTATGTTAACCCCAGACTCAGGGCTGAAGGATGGAGCTGAGGCTGCTGCAGCTGATGCTGAAGATCTGGGGCCTGGTGTAATTGTGCCGTCGCTAGTCCAGGGACACCCGCAATGGTTTGGCCCTGGTTGAGCGTTGTGGCCGTGGTCGGTTCGTTGAACGAGTTGGGGCGATTATGGTCTGGACTCAATAGAGTGGTCTGATTACCGGGCCGAGTGGCGTGGTGCGGGCGGCCGCCGGCATCGAAAGCCCCCCCGAAAACGTCGGCAGGGAAGTGCGGGGACATCGGCGTCGAAGCCATCATCTGCTGATAGAAATAACGGTCAGATATTCTTCTCTTCTAGTCCCCTGTCTCTCTCGTGTAGAGAATAGTCTTTTGAGCACGGCTGTTTCTCTTCTCTTTCGCCTCATCGCCGTCTGGGCTCATCAGTTGCTGGGTGGATTTCTGAAGACATCACCTTGCCATCACCCCATTCTAGATGACACACGGACTTTCAGCTCCTTGGGCCCCCCCGCTCCGCCCGCCATCCACACGCATATCATTCTTCTCCGAGGCGAGCATTGCGAACAGAACGTATGAAAAGGCCGACCGGTTCTCGATCATGGCTTGACTCATTATCGAACCCCTGAGAGGATCTGGCCCAGCTCGATGCCACGGCGTGGCATTGTGTATTCGCTTCCAACCACTTGGCCTCGCGCTTCTTTCATCATATCCTATGTCGCTACACTTAGCGGAACAAGCGTGATGAAGGAAGGGTTGGACGGGTTGAACCAGCCTATTGGTTCGAGAACTGGCTGCGAGAGAACAGACTCCTTGAAGGCTATCGCTCAGAAGAGAAAGGGGCTGATTGAGAAAGAAGATTGATGCGTAGCTTGAATTTCACTTACTTCCGGGTCATCCACGAGATACTCGTAGAAGGGGTTGTTGTTGTTTGGCGTGCGAGCCATCGTATCGACTTGCGTGTGGTGGCGAGGGTATCGGTCTAATTGGAGAACCCCCTTTCGAGTCCCACCGTCTGGTCCCAAAGCAGCGCAAAGCCGTTGGTGATTTATACGGCTTTTGTTCGAATTTTCGAAAGTTCGACTTCGTTCTCGTAACTACCTTGGATTCTGCACCCGAGGTAAAGGCCTCCGGTCCACGAGGGGCCAAGATCGGACAATGGCACACAAGTCAGCCAAGATTGGGAGACTCCGGGCAAGGCGTTTGGCCAGACAATCCTAGTGGGCGCAGGCTGCCGTTGGAGGAGCCAGGCAAGCGTCCGGCTAGTAATCGGGACCAGACCCCACGGCGTTCTCGGGGGATGGTAGAGAATAGCGGGCAATCGGGAGACAAAGTTGTGGCGTGCGGTTTGCCCATATGTCGCTCCCGTGGGGTGACTTTGGCCGCTGACGGGCCACCCTTCTCAATGAGTAGAGACTCAACGGAGTCAGCCGACTACGGTAGTATCTCAAGTGAACCGACTTAGTGGAAGTGTCGAGGTTGGACTCTGTGTCGTACGTCGGCGGGAAGCGAGTGCAATGCGGCCGGGCCCAAGACGCCGGCAATCGGGGAATCGGGGTGGCCTGGATCTATGACAGAGTCACTCCACTCCAGGGCTGCCGCCAAAAAAAAACCTTTGTTGCGGCCCAGGGCATGCAGGACACACCGAACGAGATCCGGACGACGTTGTCTCCTGCTGTGTTTTGCCTCGTCTACCGGTTCTGGCGGCTGTTCGGGTTATGAATGACCTGCCGTCGATATCGTCGTTCCTTTTGAGATCTCGATCTACCTGGCTGGAACACTTAGCGTCTCCTCGTCTTCTTATTTGTACGGCCAGTTAGCCGTGGCTTGTCCGAGGGGGCGAGCGTTCTCTCTTCCTCCCCCGTCTCTTCATCGGGCCACTATTTGTATCGAGCTTACGCCCCCGTCAGTTAACGACAGCCTCTTTTGTCTTCTTGTGTTATCCTCGTTCCCCCTCTCCTTTTATCTTGTCTTATCTCATAGTCGACTGCGTTTTACGATTCAACTTACCAGCTGGGGCGAGTCTAGTAACTCATTACCTGGCGTCGCGGCTTCTTCCTCGCCTAAACTCTGTCAGCTCTCACATTTGCACCGCCATTGACATTGATGCTGCCCTAAGACCTAGTTTCTTTCCTTAAAGAGGGGTCAAGGCGGGCTTTATGAAGGTCAGGCTCAACAGACCAGCTAGTCGGTAGGACAATTTCCATGTGAGGTTGACTTCGGGAACCGCAGTATCAGACGGCTCGAAAGGATCCGCGGTCGCTGGTCGACAAGGGCGACATGGGGCGCGGAAGGCCCCCAAGAACTATGCAGCGTCGACGTGGACTCTCTCGTCCAATTTGGAGAAGCGACTTGCGCGTGCGCCTAGTAGTGCCTCATTGCAGAAGCAACTACTCTGTATACCCACAGTGGTCTGCATGGTGCAGCTGGTCCTGTCGTGTCTGCGTGCTGTGCATTCTCGTCCGGGAAAAGTCACCTTTGATTTAATACATGGTGCACGAGGCTCCGAAAGCTGCTGCTCGTCAGCTAACCCGAGATGTTAAAGGCTTCTGGTCACTCGGCATATCTAAGGACAGCGGTAGCAGATCTTGGTTAGAAAGAGCTATCAGAGGCCTGACTCAAGTGGTCCTGAATCTCGGAGGCTCGTACCAGGGGCGGTCAGGTTAACGACACGTGCCAAGGTATGGGTGGACTGACAAGTGTCGGCACAGTCTTCCTTCCGCTGTCCCCGTCGATCACTCTGTTAGATGGAGTCCCTGCTCGGCTTCGAGATAGGAAGGACCCAAAGTCTTACACGGTGAGTGATGCGATTTGGGCAAGTGACAATCGCAAACAGGATGCCATGTGTCATCTTCTCGCGTTTACTAGGCACAAGGGGCTTTGACGAAGTATTGGGGTTATCTCGATCTACGTCTGTCGGTGAGAGTACATCCAAGAGCGGCATAATCTCCGTTCCAGGGGAAAGAAGCATTTCCTCCGTAGCCAACTAGCGGAGCATCACAAGGTTATGCTCGTCAGAAATCAAGTCGACGTGCTGGAGTTAGTTAACCCTCGGCTTTCTTGGCTGTGCCTGGGCATTAAACCATAGATCCATCTTGTTCTTTGAAGACGGACCGAGGTCCAGGGCTCCGCCTGTAAGAAACCGACACTATTGCCCTATGACCGTTGGTTGAGCTGACAAGCTTCGTAACGGCCATAGCCCTCTCCGTCTCCGTTTGGGGCGCTTGGGTCGGCCAAATATCTCGGTTGCGTTCCCCATCTGCTTTTCAGGGATGCCTCCGTGGCGTGTTTCTGTCTCTTAGCCTACGGAACCTCGGATGCCCACCCGTACCAGCGGAGGAATTTGCCAACGATGTTCTTCTTATTCTCGCCTTAGGGTTCGATATAACTGATCACGTACTCATCGATGAGGTTTACCGGGATGACTGGGGTACGTTATCGTCTGGTGCTTTTCTGTCTGCTCACAATGTGGAAGTCCGGTGTGACGTGCTCTCCCAGGCCGAGGTCTCATTGTTCGTGACTTGGAAAACTTGGCCATCTATAAAAAACCTCATCGCTGCTATGTAAATCAAGCGTGAAGACTGTTTTACGCTTAGGGGCTCTCTAGGTATTCTGGTCTAGGTACTCTGGGAAGGAAGGGAGTAGACAGGTGTTCCTGCCTTTTCGGGTGTGATTTCCCTGTGGCTTCTTCCCGGCCATGTCGGCCAGTCCCTTGTCCTTCCTCCCCGCCCCAAACACTTTTACAGGTCATGCGACGGATACCGACTCGGATCCCGACTGGCGTATTACTGTTGGGGGCTGGATACAGACAGAGTGTGGTTGCCTGCTTTGCCTGCCCACCTGCCATACTGAGCTCAGGTTGGTACGTGTCTATGCAGGTCTCACGGCACGGCAGCTAAGAAACGGTGGCAGGAAAGTTACAAATCGGTTGTCTGACAATACACCATGGTGGCCGCACCTGTAAAAACCATAGCTAACCTGCATTTTAAAGGGGCGTTCTGTGCAAGGATTCGCACCAACATCTTGTAACCACCTGTTTATTTTCCGTCTTGCTTCTGGGTCACAGTCTCTACAAAATCTTTCTTTGCCCTCTTTATCGACGCCACCGACCAGCAGTAGTTGTCTACAGCATCAGACAACACGCTGCGGACATGTCCCTGCCTCATTGTGCGTCACTCTCTGCGCCCTTTTGCCCACTCCCTGAGAACGTTCTTCTTCAGCTTCCCCGTGCTAGTTTTGGGAAGCTCGTCGACTACCTCAACCTCGCGAGGCACCATGAACTTGGAGATGCTGCTCTGGTGCTTCGCCCACGAAATTAGATCTTCCCCCTTCAGAGTCTTGCCTTCTCTGACCGTCACATAGGCTTTAGGTCGTTCGCCCCAGTGAGAGTCAGGCACCGCGACGACGGCCGCCTCGAGCAGATCAGGATGCTGGACGAGCATGCCCTCGAGGGCCACCGATGAGATGTTCTCACCCCCTAGAATTACGTTAGCATCGAAGCCACGACGAAGCACGAGACTGCTTACCTGAGATGATGATATCCTTCGCTCGATCGAGGATCTGGGCAGATCCATCCGGATGCCAGACTGCCAGGTCTCCCGAGTGCAGCGCGCCTCCATCGAACAACTTCTTGCTTGCCTCGGGGTCTTTGTAGTACTCTTTGGCACAGATGTTGCCAAAGAACACAATCTCGCCAATCTCCTTGCCGTTCTTTGCCACATCGATGAGGACACCTTCCGGTTGGTCCGTCTTGATGATACGAATGGGAAGACTCGTCACGAAGCCGTGGCCCTGACGAGCCATTTTGGCATACTTCTCGCTGGTTGGGAGGTTCTCCCACGAGGGCATATGGTAGCCTTTGGTGATGGGTCCATACGTCTCTGTCATTCCATACACGTGGACGGGGAAGAGATTGAGATTTGTCTGTCCGCGTTAGCAATACATCGATAGAGTGAACTGATTTTTGCAAGACAAACTTACCATCTGCTCAAAAAGATGCGCGCTCGGGGGACTGGCAGCCACGGTTACTCGGACTTCGTGAGGCAGCTTCTCGGCCTCCTTCGCGGAGCATAAGAGAGTGTTGACGGTAGGTGCCGCCTGCGTAGACTGTGTCAGACGTTCAATCCCTTTAGCATTTCGACTAGTGGTACTTACATTGAAGTGAGTGACGCCTTCTTCTTTCAGGAGTTTCCAGATGAGAGGATAGTCAATCTTTCTTAGGCATACATGTGTACCACGCACTGCCGTCACCGCCCATGGGCTAATGTAAAGTTAGTATGAGAGTAGGCATAAACGATGGATTTTCTTACAAAGTCCAACCAACAGCGTGGAACCTTTGACTAGTCAGCAAGGCCTTTTTTTCATATGGGCAGAATAAGTCATCACTCACATAGGCAACGTCCATAGCTACAACACCGAAGCCCGCAGTCAGCGCCGACATCACACGAAGCTGATCTGACCATTACTTACATATTTGCAGCGCCCAGTGTGATAGTTTAGGCCCGATTCAACGACGTTTCCGATGGCTGCAAAAGTGACAATCATTAGTGAATGTCAATAACGGATAGGCATTCTGACAACTGTTGGAACATGAGACACATACCGGCCAAGTAGGCTCCCCGGTGAGTGTATACAACACCTTTGGGCCGGCTCGTGGTCCCCGAGGTGAACGGAATGGCGAGCATATCATCCTCGTTGCCACACTGAGAGTGAAGCCCTGCCCACCCCTGGCCATGTAGACTGTCATACTGCAGCCCCTCCAGGACAGCGTCATCAAAAGGACCACTCAGCTCTCCTTCAGTGGCATCAGTGTCTGTGTCGACGATCAGGGGCACATTTGGATGCTTCGCCTTAAATTCGTCGAGCAAAGAGACGAACTCGTGGTCGACGATGATGGAGTCAACCTCGGCAAAGTCGAACATGTAGGTGATGTCATCCGGCTTCAACCTGTAGTTGACACCCACATTGACCCCACCAGCCGCAGCAATTCCGAAGATGGACTCGAGAAAGGCGGGAGTATTGGGCGCCAGAATCCCAACCCTCTTAAAGCCGTGTTTCTTCAGATAGTAGGCGAGGCCGCGTGCTCTGTCCGCGAATTCAATGTAAGACCGTCGCAGAGTTCGGCCGTTGGCCGTTATGTGGAAGATGGCTTCGGCATCTGGCTCTATCGCCGCGGCACGCTCGAGAAAGAAGGTTGGAGAGAGTTGGTGAATGTGGTGCTTTGTTTGAGGCTCATCCTTCTTCGGCGCTGACGACGAGAGAAGGTGTCCAAGTATGTTTTTGAGACGAGATGGAGGGCTGGACATGGCAACGGTAGCTTGAAACTTTCAGGAAAGCTGAAGAGTAAGATGTAGCAATGGATCCAAGGGAATGATTGATCTGAGACTGCGCTTAAAACGGTTCGTCCAGTAAATGACTTTGCTCTTGGGTACAAGCACTGCAGATGAGGAGTAGATGGTGAGAAGTACGGACTCCCGCAATTGGCGGCAGTCGTTCATTGCACTTGCCAAACAGACGAGGAACGCCCTTCCTCTTACCCGGTGGCCGAGCATGGCTTAGCTGCTGGCCGTGCTGGCATACCCCAACTGTCCAGCTGCTTGAGACACTCCAATACACTCTGCACTTTACCACAGCTCCAGTTCCAGCCCAGCTCCAGCCGTCGGTTGTCCTCGGTAGAAATTACCCCACACTTGGCAACTGCGGTCCAGCTCAAGCTCCTAGGCACATTTGGGGTTTGCACGCTAGGCCACCGACTAAGGAGAGGCCATGTTTACATAAGCAGCATCACTGGCTCAAGGACTACCTAGGAGCACGTTGTGGGGTGAAGCGTTCCTTGAGGTACCTTAGTCAAAAAGGGGGCCCACTGCCACTTAACAGAAAGTCGCGTCGCCGTGCCACCGACCACGCCTGTAGCCTTGCGCGACCAGGAGAGCAGCGCCGCGCGACGCCAATGCCCGAAATTTTATCACCGACAACCCTCCAAGCAATCGCCATCACCATCCCTTCCACCCGTCCAGACCATCTGCAACTCAAGCCGGGCGTCGCTCACTCACCTCTTTTGTCTTGGTCGTCGCTATATTTGCAGCACCTTTCGCCGATCCCGACCAACCTTCTTCCTAGCTTTTCGACCTCTCGTTAGCAACCATGGCGGCTATGTGAGTGCCCAGTTCGAGCTCTTACCCTGCGCAGATCCCACCCTGCGACTACCCGTCTGGTGATTGCCCTTTTTCCAAGCAAATTCGCGCAGTAAAAGGGCTTCCTGATCACCATCACACGCATTCAAAGTGGTCTCGGTATCATCAAACCGCAGCAGCTAACAAGATGCCTCCTACTAGCGAGAGTTTCGATAGCATCTACTTGGATCTGTCCAAGGAGAGCGGCAAGTGCAGATTCGCCGAGAGCGGTCTCGGATGGAAGCCTGCAGGCGGTGGCGATACCTTCACCCTTGACCACAGCAACATCGCCTCGGCGCAGTGGAGTCGAGCTGCCAAGGGCTACGAGATCAAGATCCTTAACCGAGACTCGCGCATCATCCAACTCGATGGATTCCAGCAGGAGGTAAGGAAGCCTTCCTGAGCCCCTCAATAATCAAGAAAAGCCGAGCTAATTAACCACTCGGCGCGCAGGACTACGAGCGTCTGGCCAAGATCTTCAAGAACTGGTACAGCACCGCTCTCGAAAACAGGGAGCACGCCCTGAGAGGATGGAACTGGGGTAAGGCCGACTTCGGAAAGGCCGAGCTTTCCTTCAACGTCCAGAACCGACCTGCTTTCGAAATCCCCTACTCCGAGATCTCAAATACCAACCTGGCGGGTCGCAACGAAGTCGCGGTTGAGTTCTCTGCCCCGACGGACCAGAATGACACTGGCACAAATGGCCATCTGGGTGGCGCGCGAGGCAAGGGCAAGAAGGCCGGAGCTGGCAAGGATCAGCTCGTTGAGATGCGCTTCTACATTCCCGGAACCGTCAAGAAGGAGGCAGAAGGCGACGATGCCGGCAGCGATGCCGGTGAGGAAGAGAAGAACGCCGTCACGCTGTTCTACGACACTCTGATGGAGAAGGCCGAGATTGGCGAGACCGCGGGCGATACCATCGCTACCTTCCTGGACATTCTGCACCTTACACCCAGGTACGTGCACATGGGTCACTCGTCTCAGTCGACCCTTGCTGACATCTCAACAGAGGACGTTTCGACATCGACATGTACGATGCGTCTTTCCGTCTCCGTGGTAAGACGTACGACTACAAGATCCAGTACGACGCCATCAAGAAGTTCATGGTTCTCCCCAAGCCGGATGAGACCCACGTCCTGCTGTGTGTTGGTCTGGACCCGCCCTTGCGCCAGGGTCAGACGAGATACCCCTTCATCGTCATGCAATTTAAGAAGGATGAGGAGGTTACAATTGATTTGAACCTCACCGAGGAGCAAATAGAGGAGCGGTACAAGGACAGACTCCAGCCTCATTACGAGCAGCCCCTCCACCAAGTCATCACCTACATCTTCAGAGGACTTGCCAACAAGAAGATTACGACACCGGCTAAGGACTTCCAGACGTACGTTGCACCCCGCCCTCCCTACTGATCAGTTCCACGCTAACCCTGACCAGGCACCGTAACCAGTTCGGAATTAAGTGCTCCATCAAGGCCAGCGAAGGTTTCCTGTACTGCCTGGAGAAGGCCTTCATGTTCGTGCCGAAGCCTGCGACGTATATTGCCTATGAGCAGACGGCATCCATCACATTCTCCCGTGTCGGCGGCGCCGTGTCTGCGCTCTCGACCTTTGACATCACCGTGCAGATGAAGAACGGCGCCGGCTCATCACAGTTCAGCAACATCAACCGCGAGGACCTCAAGGGGCTCGAGGAGTTTTTCAGACTGAAGGGCTTGCGTGTCAAGAACGAGATCGATGAAGAGTCGAACCTGATCGCCGCTGCCCTTCGTGAGCAGGCCATGGACGACTCTGAGGAGGAGGTTGTCGGTGCCGCCAAGGCTGACCGTGGTTCGGCCGACGAAGATGAGGAGAGTGTGGATGAGGACTTCCGCGCCGAGAGCGAGAGTGACGTCGCTGAAGAATTCGACAGTGACCACGAGAGTTCGGGCTCTGGCAGCCAGGAGAGCGACGTCGACAATGCCGATGACGATGCCGAGGAGGAGGACGATGATGAAGAAGAGGAAGAGGAGAGGCCCAAGAAGAAGAAGAAGACGGGCTAAACCCGCTTCGTCTGTCTGGTTTGAGGCTTGTGAATGGCGTGAGGAGGTTGATGGGCGTTTTCTGGACCCGGACGGAACATGTAACAATACGATTATCCACGTGCATGCTGGCCGACAGGCCATCGTGGAGCCGAAGCAAAAGAGGCTAATACTTGGGAAGAGATCTCGAGAGGAGTGCGGAACAGACGGGGGTTCTTTTCTTGCAATACCAGACCTTTACGTTTATTTTTATTCATCCTTCCAGTTTTCTTGAATGTATCTGCGCCTAGTACCTATGTGTCTCCTGGTGTCCTTACCTGCGCAAGTGGGGTCAAGGTAAGCTTGGCTTGGACGCCCACTGAAGGTGTGAGTCAAACCACTTTTTGAGACGCAGCCACCTATTCCTACGCCAGTCGAAGAATCGTCCTCGTCGCGTTTGCAAGAGCAATCGCCGCGCGCGATGGATAAAAGTGTCGCCTTACCAGGCACGACGGCCTCCATGCCGCGCATCGGCCTCGGCGTGTACCAAGTACGGGGTGTGGAGTGCTTCCGCGCATGCCTCGCGGCCCTGGAGGCCGGATACCGACACATCGACACGGCCCAGCTCTACGGCAACGAAGCCGAGGTGGGCAGGGCCGTCAAGCAGTACCTACAGCAGCAGCAGCAGCAATCACAAACCAACGGCACGGCGCCCGTGACGCGGGAGGACATATTCTTGACGACCAAGATCGGCCGCCCGGACGGCGGCGCAGAGAATACGTACCGGAGCGCGCTGCGGAGCGTGCGGCGCGTCGCAGGCGAGGCCGGGGACGGGGACGGGGACGGGGAGGATGAGGCCGAGGCCGGGTACGTCGACCTGTTCCTCGTGCACAGGCCCGTCGAGAAGCGCCGCGAGCTCTGGGCCGCGCTGGAGAGGCTGAGGGCGCAGGGGCGGGCGCAGGCGATCGGGGTGAGCAACTTTGGCGTCGGCGCGCTGGAGGAGATGCGGACGTACGCGCGGGTCTGGCCGCCCTGCGTCAACCAGATTGAGGTGAGTCTTTTGCACGGCCTAACCCCCGCTGCTTCTGGGCCCTCTGGATCGTTGACGAGGGAGGATGGGCGCGCGCGCAGGTCCATCCGTGGTGTCAGCAGCGGCGGCTCGTCGCGTACTGCCGCGCGCACGGCATCGTCGTGCAGGCGTACAGCCCGCTCGCGCGCGGGCGGCGGATGGGGGATCCGGTGTTGCGAGGTGTCGTGGAGCGGGTCCGGCGTCGGTTGCGGGGCCGGGACGGGGCACCGCGCGGCGGCGGAGGCGGACAGCCGGAAACAGATACGGAGAAGGGAAGACAAGGGGTCGCCGTGACGCCGGCGCAGGTGCTGGTTCGCTGGTCCCTGCAAAAGGGCCTCGTGCCGCTGCCCAAGAGCGGCAGCGCGGCAAGGATCAAGGAGAACGCCGACGTGTCGTGGTTCGAGCTCGACGGGGAGGAGATGGCGATGCTGGATGGGTTGGACATGGGGGCCGAGGGGGCTTTGTTTCCCGCGAATGTGAGCTAGCACATCCCCGACCGCCTTACATGGCTAGACGAAGGTGGACCTAGATGGGAAGGGGGGGAGACCCGGACGTTTACAAGTGACATGTTTTTAAAAATGATTGCCTGTCACTGGATCCCACCTTCCGGGCCCGGTGCTTCCTGCCGGACAATCACGCCCAAGCAAACATGTCTTCAACAAAAGCCTGGGAAAACATCTGCGGCGGGGACGGGATTGAGTTTGTTTGGTACCTGTAGGCGGAAAAGAAAAGCACACCACCCCAGGTCCTGGAAACCGGCATCTCAAAAGCATTCAAACCTCTGAAAAGCAACAAAGCCCCGCCCGGAGCAAAAGACGCTGGGAGACATGACGGAAGCGCCCCACGCAGAAGGGCCCCCCTCCAGCGGCGGGGGCCAATGCGCTGCGAAGCAAGGCGGGAGATCCGCCGAGACCTGGCGTTTACACTCGTACTCATACGTACTCAGCGTAAAGGCGTCCCGTGGGGGGAGAGGGGAGTCGCCCTCCACTGAGATGTCCGGGTGCCACTGGGGTGCCTTGTGAAAGGTCACCCACTGCCCCGGGCGTGCGTGGTTGAGGTGGGACGCGGCGAATGCTAGGTTCTCCTGGAAGCTTCGACTGAGCTGACCTTGCCCGCTTGGCAACCTTCCCGCCTGCCTTTGCAACAACTTTGGCGGGGGTAAAGATCAACGGGCAAACAAAACATTCGACAACACCTCTAGCGTCAGCGGAACCTACACTAGAAGCTATCGATCCTTTGCTTAATTTCTGCCTGGCAGTCCACGTCCCAGCCAGTTGAAGAACGATTACAACGGTTTTTTCCTCTTTTCGATTCAGCAAGAAACACCACCAACGAACATGAGTGAGAGTAGCTTGCAACGCGCCCTCCGCGGCGGCTGCCAGTGCGGGCGCAACAGTTACATCATCGACGTCCCTCAGGCCACCACTGAGAGAGCGCAGGTGCTCTTTCACACCGACTCCATGCACAGTAAGTCGCACCTTCTTCTCATCAAGTCCTGTCGCGAGTGTTTTTTCTTCTCTTTCTTTCTCATAGATCTTCATGCATGCGATTGACACGCCTTACCTTTGCGGATGTGCGGGAACTTGAAAGCTAAGAATGGTCTGATGCGCAGGAGTCCCTCTCGCAACCCCACTAGCCGCCATGATCCGCGTGCCGCTCTCGTGGTATCGCAGCTCGACTCACGCCTTCTTCCCGGACGAAAAGTACTCGACGATCCGCCGTGTCTTTGAATCCTCGTCGAATCACCCGTCCAAGAGGCACTTCTGCGGCTTCTGCGGTACGCCCTTGTCCTACTGGACGGAACGGCCCCAGACCGAAGCCGACTACATCCATCTGACGCTGGCAAGCCTCCGAGGCGAGGATCTAAGAGATCTGGAAGACCTGGGGCTGATTCCCGAGTTCGAAGAGGCGGAGAAGCAGCCCGCAGTCCCGACAACGACCACGGTAGTTGGACGGGAGACCCGCGGCGTCCCGTGGTTTGAGAGTATGATCGAGGGGACCCGTTTGGGCAGTCTGCGTCACAGCCAAATCGTTGACCACAGCAAAGACGGGAAGATCAGGGTCGAGTGGGAGATTGTGGAGTGGACCGACTCGGACGATGTCAACGACGTGGCTCCAGCGGCCGAAGATGTTGACATGACGGCGAGCCTTCCTGGGAAACGTAAGATGGGAGATCGAGATGATACGGATGCGGCTGTGGACGCCGTGCAGTGAGCCCCCGCCCATGTCGTGCATCACAGCAGCAGGGTAGGTGGTAACAAGGCCGGGGTAGCCGAGCTGGGCCGACTCACCATCGTCCCGGCTTCCGCACACCTCGGTGAGGTTCAGGCAGAGTCTCTGGACAGGGTTTTCGCTTCGGGGAGAGAATGATACGTACTAAGAGGCATGGATGAGATGCTGCAGAAGTGCAGTGAGACGGAGAGGTACCGGCTGGGGCGTGTCGAGACGTGGAAGGGACGTATGGGCCGATGAAAAGGATGGCCAAATCAAAGCGAAAAAAGAGAACCGGAACAATCGGGCAGAGATGTGCGACTCTGAGGTGCCCACGATGAGAAGAGTAGCCATCGAACAGGCGGCTTACATAGATGCGTCAATGATGACATGTGTAAAAGCTCCGATGATTAGCCGCTAGTTGTGGTTTGCTGCTTGATGTATAAGCTCCCGGTGCTTGGGCCCGAAGGCTCGTTGGCTCGATAAGACGGACCCGTCATCCGGCTGAGGCGGCTTCGTCGGCCGAAGATGAGAGCAATAGCGTAGCGAGGGCATTTTTGGGAGGGAAATACCAGTCTGTAGCCTTCCACGCAAGCATGAACCGGCGGTTCTTCATGTGGTACTCGCGTGTGGGAAGTCGCGCAAACAAAGGCGGTAAAACTGGAGCTGGGCGGCTTTGGAGGGGCGGAATTGAGAGTGCGAACTGCACCGTGGTAGTGCGAACCTGACTTTGATGTCGTATCCCGACTCGAGGGGTGCATGATCGCGGCATCTAAGAAGGCAGAAAATCCGGGTTGAGACTGATGCTGATGCCAGGTGTCCAGTCGACATGTCGTCTATATTAGAGCCTTGCTATGAAGCTGGGGGTGGGCGGCGCCTAGACGTTGCGGAGATGTTGGATGAAAGCCGTAGTTGGAGAAGCCCATCGCTGGCTACTGTAACATTGGACGAGTCGGGAGTCAGGTAACGTCTCCCAGGTGGGAGGCTCTCCCGTCCGACGTCCGCTCACCGAAACCGACAGGGATCAAATGGTGGGACCCGGACATATGTTTGGCAGTTGGGATCGGGTGGTGAGTAGTGGTGGTGGTGGTTCATGATGGCTGATTACCTGGCGTCTGGGAGACGAAGGGACATCGGGAGAATTTCCCGTAGCCTCTCCCTTTTTGCCTGATGCGAGCGGCTGCGTACCTTGGTACGAGACACGGCGAAACACGCGTAAAAGGCAGATCTGTCATGAGCCGATTCTAGTGAAGCAACCAGACAGGAAATGGATGTGCCATCTTCAATCGATGAAGCGTGAATCGTCACCCGAGGATTTGGCGAGGACTCCCGTGAGATGCATACTGCCGCCATCCAGGGTGTCAAGGGAGAGGTGTATGTGCGTGCGCGCGCGTGGGATGCGTGGCTGCAGAGCTTCTAGCGCTTTTTATGTTGGCTCTTGTTCCGAATGCAGGTCGACGCCCAATGAAACGGTCGAGGGAACCATCAGGTGAGGGATCGTGGTTCGTTCGTGTTTCGAATCGGCTCTTGCGAAGGGCTGGGCAGAGGAACGAGGTGAATTTTCGGAGAGACGGGCCGTCGTGCGGTTTTTCGCAAGCGGCGGACGAGGGAAATGGGGGAATTTGGGAAAAAAGGGACCCCACGGCGGGGTAATGGAAGGCGCCCCTGGCCTAGCACGCCGTTCTGCTGGTCCCCTGTATCTGTATGTACTGTAATAGTATCTGTAGCCGGTGCGAAGACAAGGTACGCGACCGGGCACAAGGTATCGGGATGGGCACATGTACATTTGAGTTTGCTGCAAATGGCCCCCCCAACGGACGGGGTTATTCACGGTTCAGTGGCGGCAGCAGCCCTAGAGACGGTGAATCCAACAGCGAATGGAACCAGAACATGTGCCTTCCCTTCTCGCGCCGAACTACAATACCCTGGCGTCTTGCTCGAGGTACTGCGTTGAAGGTTCCCTTCACGGGGCAAAGATACGTATCGATACCTGTCCCTCTAGTACTCCAACCCTGCCACCAACGCCGTCATCTTCGGGCGATGTCCAGTCTTAGCTCTTCGGTGACGACGGTCCGACACGGGAGAATTTCTGGAGACGTCCTGGGTGCCAGATTGACTACGCGGGACCACGAAACGCTATCCTGTATCCACTCCACATCCTCGTCCCATGTTGTCGTCGTCGTCGTTCGCCCGCGGGTGTTTGTCCCATCTTTGGACGCTGGATCCTTGCAGACCAGTCTATCTACTACGGATCCTGCTGTCCATGTACCTCACTTTTTGCCTAAAGTTGCCAAGGTCGTCCAAGTACCCCCATACAAACAGTAGCCATGGCATTTTAATTGCGCCGCTTCTTTCTCGTGCGTCCCTTGCCCAATTCCGTATAAGTATCGTGGCAGCACCTCAATTCCCATCTGTTCAAGGCCGCCTCTTGCTCTCCTCTCTCCGTCACTCTTCTCCCGAACCGACTCGAACTTTGTTTCATCACGGCTATCCACTGTTGCTGAGTGGTTAGTTCCGCCGGGACAGTTCATTCAACCTTCACCCCCTCATCCCACAAACAACGTCCCTAGTATTTGGCCCGCAAAACCACACTGTCGGAAAAGCAAGATACCAACAACAACCCGTAGAAACTCTTGCAAACCAACCCACCCATCATGTCTCTTCCTAGCGACTTCCTCTGGGGCTTTGCCACCGCTTCGTACGTACTTCGCTTCGCCATCATCCCGCATCACCAACAGATCCATCGCCGACCATTTCCCATATCCCTGGCCATTGTCACCATGCATACTCGCGCCGTCTCCCGCCGACGTCCCAATCCGGACAACTAACAAGCATTCTCCCACCACCCTTCGCTGTCCTCCCTCCGTCTTTCCCGCGTGCAAACCCTATCTCCCAGTCACCCCTCTGGCGTCACCCCACTCTCTTCTTTTTCCCCTCTCACCCCCTCATCCTCCGCTATTATAACAAGCAAGCGCAGAAATATGCCATGCTACACCCTTGCTGACACTATCTCCTACCCATCGCAGATACCAGATTGAGGGTGCTGCCGAGAAAGACGGCCGTGGCCCTTCCATCTGGGACACCTTCTGCGCCATCCCCGGCAAGATTGCCGATGGCAGCTCCGGCGTCGTCGCTTGCGACTCGTACAACCGCACTGCCGAGGACATTGCTCTGCTCAAGTCGGTTGGCGCCAACACGTACCGTTTCTCCATTGCCTGGTCCAGAATTATCCCCGTCGGTGGTCGAAACGACCCCATCAACCAGGCCGGCATTGACCACTACGTCAAGTTCGTCGACGACCTCCTCGACGCCGGCATCACCCCCTTCATCACCCTTTTCCACTGGGACCTCCCCGATGGACTCGACAAGCGCTATGGCGGTCTCCTGAACCGCGAGGAGTTCCCCCTCGACTTCGAGCACTACGCCCGCGTCGTCTTCAAGGCCATTCCCAAGTGCAAGAACTGGATTACCTTCAACGAGCCCTGGTGCTCCTCCATTCTCGGCTACAGCAGCGGCTTCTTCGCTCCCGGCCACACCTCTGACCGTAGCAAGTCCTCTGTCGGCGACTCTGCGCGCGAGCCTTGGATCGTCGGCCACAACCTCCTCGTTGCCCACGGCCGTGCCGTCAAGGTCTACCGCGACGAGTTCAAGCCCACCAACGGCGGCCAGATCGGCATCACCCTTAACGGTGACGCTACCTACCCCTGGGACCCCGAGGACCCCGAGGATGTCGAGGCTTCCGACCGCAAGATCGAGTTCGCCATCTCATGGTTCGCCGACCCCATCTACTTCGGCAAGTACCCGGACTCCATGCGCAAGCAGCTCGGCGACCGTCTGCCCGAGTTCACCCCCGAGGAGCTCGCCCTCGTCAAGGGATCCAACGACTTTTACGGCATGAACCACTACACCGCCAACTACATCAAGCACAAGACCACACCTCCCGAGGAGGACGACTTTCTTGGCAACCTCGAGACCCTCTTCGAGTCCAAGAACGGCGAGAACATTGGCCCCGAGACCCAGTCCTTCTGGCTGCGCCCCAACCCTCAGGGGTTCCGCAACCTCCTCGTCTGGCTCTCCAAGCGCTACAACTACCCGCCCATCTACGTCACTGAGAACGGCACCTCCCTCAAGGGCGAGAACGACATGCCCCTCGAGCAGATCCTCGAGGACGACTTCCGCGTCAAGTACTTTGACGGCTACGTCAAGGCCATGGCCGACGCTTCCGAGAAGGACGGTGTCAACGTCAAGGGCTACATGGCCTGGTCCCTCATGGACAACTTCGAGTGGGCCGAGGGCTACGAGACCCGCTTCGGTGTCACCTTTGTCGACTACGAGAACGACCAGAAGAGATACCCCAAGAAGAGTGCCAAGAGCCTGAAGCCCCTCTTCGAAAGCCTCATCAAGAAGGAGTAAGCTTGTTGTGGCGAGTTTGTTCGGGCGACAGGGGTAGGGAGCATCCATACACGTTGGAAATGCATACCTTTCAACGAAAATGTGAAGAGAGCCCGGTGCCGCTCATGACTGATGTATGAAGATGTTCTGTTTTGTTATGATCCATCATGTAGTTTGGATATATGAATTGCCGAAATGAAACCCGGACTCGACCCTTGCCCCTGTCCTTGTCCTTTCAGTGAGCTCGTGACTGCATGGTCCAACAGCCGTCTGGTTCTATCACCTAGCGGCTAATCATCAATCAGTCTTGATTACTCCGTAAGCTTTGTTTTGACACGTTCCGCGGCGCTGAGTGGCTGGTGATTCCAAAAGGCCATGGGCATTTGTTATGGACAACTGCCGAACCAGGCTTTGAGCCGCTTCGGTTCAGAGATATGGCATCAGCTCACACGTCCGATACCCTCATGAGGCGGAAGCTCGGGACCATTGGGTAGTGGTCTATGATATAGAATTTAGCCATACACGGGAAGCCCCATTTGATGACCGCATTGCGTTTGGGTACCGATGTGACGCGGCCTCCGTTGCTTGGTTTGAAGGATAGAGGACTGAGTGCCTAATGTGTTGGACTGCGCAATGTCGGGAAATTGGTTTTCATGTCTAGGTGTTGCATAGAGAACAGCCTTGACCCTACAGGACAAATGGCCTTCCAAGATACCAATCATCATGCTGGATCTGATTTATGACACTTTTTGATGAATCATGTACTGGGGTTGGGATGTGATGAGAAGACCCCAACCGGGTTGCCCATAACGCAAGGAGGTAGATTATGCGTGGCATTTTTCGGGGGCGGAGGCCAAGTTGCGAGCTTCCTAGGTCAGATATTCACCCTCTTTTCTCGTGAAAACAGGTCCCGAGATGCACTCTTACGTTTGCTATTTCTGATTTAAATTCACGTAGGTAATCATTACAGGTAGAGCCGAATGCAGAGGCCTCTGGAGAAGCTTCTTATGGTCTCGATGTGAGCTTCGACTTCTCGATCGTCGCACGGCATTGTGGAGTCTCTCCTCTCCAGGTCTTTTACCCAGACCGGTAAATCGGGTTGGTCAGTCGCGTGGATGGATAGCCCTCCTGCATGCCCGCTTACATGGCCAGTATTAGCCGGCAACGCCGTTCTTGAGTTCGGCGTTCTCATACAGATGGCTGCTCACCTTTGCATACGGTGGATCGTCAAGGGCTTCAGACTGTTATTCCTCGGGGCAGAGACCAGATTGCGGCAAGGGTGGTTTCGCGGCTGCTGCTCTGCAATCCCACCATCGTGTTCCGTGTTCGTGGTGCACACATATCATCCCGACCCCCTTCCGTCTCCGTCTGTCTTCTCCGTCCTTCTCATATTCATCAGGTACTCATCCACAAGGAAGCCGGAGGGGCAGGGACCGTTTCCACGAAGCTGATCTCATGCCTACCCAGATGTCGAGCATGATGGTGTTGATGAGCCACGTCGGAGAGGCGGAAAAGGCCCTCGACTCTGAGGCGCTTGGACGAATGCATGCCGTCGTGACGAGACAAGTGATAGTCGAGCAGGGACGTCTCTCTCTCTTAGCTTATCTCACATTCGTGATGTCGGGGTCGTTGCTGTTGGTCGGTCGTCTCGTCATTCCTGAGCTTCACGCTTGTGTAAATGCGTCAAAGTTAACCGCATTAGACAACTGTAGAAAAAGTCAGTCATTCTTGGTCTGCTTGCATAGGGGCAAGGAGCAGGACTGCGCCTCGAATTGGGACGGGTCCGATGATTTACGGCTTCCAGAAACGCAATAGATTGTACGATCACGAAATAACCCAAGAGCAGTTTATGTTTGCTTTTCTCGCCAGTACCATATTCAAAATTACGGCAATACTCGCCATGACTTACCTGACTATCGAGTTAGTAAGTAGCCAGCAGACGTCATGTCTGCGACATCGTCTTAACAGGTACCACATCACCAACCCCCCTTGTTCCTTTCCTTTCCCCCCTTCGTCCTCGCCATACCCGACGGAATTCCCCAAGTGCCCATCTTCCCTCCTGCCGTCCGCGAGGCTGCCAGCCCCGGAGTCCACACCGCCACCACCGCCCTCCTCGTCCTCCGTCGCCTCAGCCTCCGCCTTCGCAGCCCTCCTCAGATACCACTTGAAGACGTACACCAGGATCTGCGCCATGAACACCTGCTCAATGGTATACAGCAGCACGGGGATCTGGATCAGCGCCCGCGTCAGGTCGTCCGAGCTCGTCCACATGGCGGTCGCCAGCGGGATGCCCAGGGACGTCGTCTTGGCGGCGCCGCAGAAGCACACGGCGATGGTCTGCTCCCGCGACAGCTGGCGCACCGTCAGCGCGCGGCGCAGGAACTCGGGCCCCGGCGCCCGGCGCACCCGGGGTTCACCGCCTCGCACGCCGACAGCGGCGGGCGTGCAGCGTAGAAGCAGATGAGGGTGAAGAGCGCGTAGAGGGCGACGTTCATGAAGACGTTGAAGATGATGGAGGCGTGCGGGGTCACGAAGAGCGCGCCCGTCTTAAAGGCGGCCGAAAAGGTCGTCCTGTTCACTCACCGTCAGCGGGAGAAGGAAGGGGGCGGCAGGATCATTGCGTGGCGCTCTGTCGCCAGGCAACGCAGCGGGAGGGCTTTCTTCTACTCACCAGACGAGCAAAATCAGACAAAACGTCGACACCTTGGCGAGGTAAAACGTCCTCAGCGCCCACTCGACTCTCTTCTCCCAAAACCACCGCACCACCTGCCCCACCGCCAGCGGCAGCAGGACGCTCAACCCGAGCTGCTTGAGGACGTTGGCGTACATGGCGCCGAGGGTGCTCGGGTTGGCGGGCTGCCAGTTGGCGAACTCGGGCGTCTTGGGGATGAAGCCGTAGATGAGGCCCGGCGAGATGAAGCTGCCCAGGACGTTGCCGATGACGACCTCGATGATGGCCGCCGCGTCGTCGCCGCCCGAGGCGCGCGTCATGACGACGTTGGAGGCGATGGTCGTCGGCAGGCACGAGGCGACGACCATGCCGACGATGATGGGGGTCGACAGGACGTTGTTGCGGAGGCCGCCCGCGGCGATGATGATGTGGACTATGACTTTTCTTGGGCGTTAGCCATGCCTCCTTGGCCGTTGCTTGTTGTGTCTCTCTGGAGTGAGGAGAGGAGAGGGAGCCCTGTCTCTTACTTAGTAGTACTACGGGTATGACGATGAAGCTGATGCCCTGGACAATGATGTGCAAGCGCCAGTTGGTGAGGTTCTGCCGCAGCTTCGCATGTGAGAGCTGCAGGCCGCTGACGAGAAAGATGATGGCGATGCCGCCGTAGATGATGGAGTACTCGGACCTGATCGGTCCGCCCCTGGCGGCGACATCTTCGCGGTCAAGTGGTTAGCGATGCTTTTCGTCCGAGGCTGCGGTGCTCTCCGGGGGTGTCGTCGCAATCCAGTCGGACTTACTTGGGAAGAAGTACGCAAACACGCAACTCAGACCGAACCCGATGACGAGCCACTGCGCGAGCACGAGCTTGAAGAGCTTGACTGCCCTGGCCCGGAAGCGCGCCCACGCCGACGCGTCGGACGGCCGCTTCTCCTCCGTCTCGTTCTGGCCACCCGCGGGGCCGGCCATGGTTCACACTGTTCCGAGGTTCTCAGGGCCGAACGGGCATCGGGGGAGGCTCAGCGGGAAGCGGTGAAGTGGAGTCAAGTCGATTCGGAGTCGTCCCGGGCGCGGAACCCCCGTGAACTTAAACCAAAGTTCACCCCCGCCACCCGTGGGACGAGATGCGGGCAAAGTGCCAAGACTTGTCGTCAAAGGAAGGCGTGTTGAGGTTAAATGGACCTTCAAGGATCCGCGACACTGTCGACGATTCCTCGCTGCTTCCTGCGCCAGGAACGACCAGAACAGAGGAAAAATTTTGACCGCGACCCCAGGCGGACATGTCTTCCTCCGCTTGACAATCGGACGGGAGAGATTGTGCATGACCAACTATGGATGACGCCAACGCCCAGGTCGCTCGTTTCGTCGGTTGGCGGTGGGGCCGGGTTATTACCGGCCGGCGAGGCATCCGACATCGGGCGTCGTCCGAAAAAGGACGATCCAGAGCCTCGGCATGGGGTGGTTGGTGTCTGGACATTCTGAGCGGGTAATCGAGCCCGCGTGTTGGCTACCAGCGGCCTGTCTTGGTCGACGTGTCTTGGGCGCGTTGCCGGGCGAGTCCAAGAAGTCTCGGGGTCTCCGCATCGGTGCCGTGCCGGCTTGGCCGAATCTCCGCCGGTCCGGCTGCCTCGTGGCCGGCGGGTTCAACGCCAGAGGCCCCAACCATCAACGTGTGGACGATGTTTGTGTATCCCCGCGAGGCAACGTGGTTTATAGGTGGGTAATTAGGTCTTGCGATTGATTGTTTTACCATTACATTTACGACTGGCACCAGGAGGGTATCTCGGTGCCTCCTCAGTCTCGGTCCGTCGTCGCGCGCGGACATTACAACCATCCATCATTTTATCAGCTTGACTTCATATCCCATACACCCCGAGTCTCACCCTACAGACTCTGTACCATGGCCGTCGTGGATACTGTTCCGACGTGCTGTTTTCCCACCGCTGTAACCTAACCGTGCTTCCAAACCAGGGTATCTACCAATATTGCGTAATAAAAAAAAACCGGAAAAGAACATTAAAAGGGAATTTTGTGCTGTGCGCCACTGTAGCCTCTTAGGCGTCCCTGGCGCGGCGTTGCATCTTCCGCATCGCTTCCCGATGCGCCTCAAACATCTCGCCGCTCTGCATGCTCCTCGTGAAGGCCTGGTCAGCCCTCTCCTTATCGAGCCTCTCCTTCTCCTTCCGCTTGGCCTCTGCCTCCTTCTGGCTCATCATGAAGCTCCGCTGCAGGTCAATGTTCCTCTGTATGTCGGCCTCGCGACTGACGTTTTGGCTGGCGAGATTGGTTCCACTCGACGAGCGATGCATGCTGAGAGTCATGTCGCGACCGTTTGCGGCAGCAGGTGATGCGGCCATGCCTGCGCGGAGATCGGCTCGAACCGAATTGCGGAAGCTGGCGAGCCTGGCGTCACGGGCCTCTTGCGACGGTACGTTGGAGTACCGCATGGGTTGATGGGAGTCGAAGGCGACGCTCTCGGCCGACATACCAGGCATGAACGTTCCGCTAGCTGGTCTGGAGTCTCCCAGGGACGATCCGTAACTGCTCTGGCGCCGGATGATCTCTTTGCGCTGGCTCAGGGGAAGGTCATCCAACGAATCCGGTGGAATTTGTTGCGCGTAGACGGGGTAGTTGAACATGGAACCCGACTCGCTCGATGCCCTGTAGGCCGCCGGGGGGATCTCGGGCATCATGTTGCCTCCAGTCAGGAGTCCGTACGTCTTGTTGTGCAGGGCGAGGCTTCGTTGCGCAATGAGACTCTGGGGGCTGTCGTAAGACTGGATGCCTGGAGGCGGAGGTGGGCGTTCGAAGGCGACAGGAGTGGCGGGAGAAGCAACGCTGGATGCAGGTCCAGAGCTGCCACTCTTCGTGCTGGCTGCCTTGGGAGCCGCCTGCGCCTCTTCCTCGGCAATGGGCTCGAACTGCGTTTTGCTTGACCCTCGGCGGTGGGACTGGTACGAGTTGTTCCTCGAGTGACTGCGGTTCGGTGAGTAGTTTGGCGAAGGTCGCTGCATGGGAGCGGGCGACTTGGTTGGCACTGGCGCTGGGGTCGCGGACAGGGCCGTTTGCTGAAGCTCCTCGACGTGCACAGGAGCCGGGGCTTCCCGTGACTGAGGTCTGCTCCCGGCCAGCTGCAAGGCATCGGGCTCGGGCGCCTCTGCATGGCTCAGATGCTTGGCCCACTCGTTTGTCCGGTAGTGAAGCGCAACGTTGGAAAAGCCGGACGGCAGACGCTCTTGTGTCAGATTGACGGGCGTAGAATCCACCGAGGCCGTGGACTTGGCCTTCTGGGAGGGTGCAACAGACTGCTGGCTCGGGTCAGGGCTTGTCTGCTCTTGCTTCTCCGGTGTGCTTTCTTTGGCAACAGCGCTGTCGGTCCTCTTTACTTCGTCCGCGGGCATCTCGGCGATGATGGGAGAGACGGCGTCGCTGGCCAGAGGCTGGGTCGCGGCATCACTCATGATCGTCATTGCCGAGACACGCTTGCTGATGCTTTCGCCGCTCATACTTTTTCGAGATGCAGACGTCGGCATACGCTCCGGCTTTTGGTCCGCTGGATGCCCGTCAGCAAGTTGAGCGTTGATCTCGATGCTGCGGCGAAGTGCTTCATGGTCAATGCTTCCGCCGCTGTCGTTCTGAGTGTCGATTGTCGCAGCAATGGAACCGACATCGTCGTCTCGTGGCCGCCGGACTATTACCAACTCCTCATGGTCCCGTGTGTCTTCTTTACGAAGAGACGCTGACGTGCGCTGAGAGACTCTCCGCATGAGTTGTGCTGAGCTCCGAGACAGACGCTTCGTGAAGGAGCCCCGCCTGCTGCCAATGTCCGCCGGGTCTTCGTCATCATCGGCGAATGTTGCAATCGTGGATCTGTCCTCCTTCTCTCTGGCCATGTTCTCTTCTGTATCCGGCAATCTGAATGGCAGAGGAACCACTTCGGGAGCGGGAGCCACTTTTCGTACGCTCTCGACAACGGTGGTACCTGGCTGGGTCCCTTCCATCTCACCAACCGTCCTGTCCGCAGCGTCAGGGTTTGCGATGGTATCGTCCGAAGCCACTCGCACTGTCACAACGCCATCCTTTTCCTTCTCTAAAACCATCAGGCCTGTGGCTGTCGGCTTGGGCGGAACCGTAAGAGGCACATCCGAGCCTGCCATTTCAGCCACTGGCGGAGTCTGTGTCTGAGGAGTTGCGGTGCTTTGGTTGTAATGAACACCCTTTTCGCTGTCACTGTCTCGCGCGAAGCCGGAGTCATGGTCTGAGCCGTTGGGGACATAGTCTCCATGAACCCTTTCCCATGCCCGTCGCTCGCGAGCGTTTCGAGCCTCAAGCTCTTTACCAATGTTTGCCTCTTCCTCGTCGCGAGCACGTTGTGCCTCGGCTAGTTCCTCGTCTCGTTTGGCGCGTCGGTCCTTGATGACGTTCCACAGTCTCTTCTGAGAAATGATGCCAATGCAGAAAATTACAATTATGGCAGCGATTTCAACGCGAATGCCCTTGGTCAGCGGATATGTGTCGGCGCCCATCGGAAAAAGTTTGTCGTTCAAATTCCAGACGTATGCCCAAAATTCCTTCAACCCAGCGCGGCTGAAGCAGTCGATGCCGAGCACAGTCGCCGTGGCGCCAGTGAAGGAAATCGTGATCATGAGCGCCCAGTCCCGTGTCCACCGTGTGAAATATGTCGCAAATCCTGCCAGGGAGAACGCGACGATGAAAACGACCTTTCCAACGCCCGAAAGCAAGCCGCCGTCGTGAAGGCACAGAAGCCACATGGCAAAGCAAAACCCACCGAGAGCGCACGCCAAACACTCTGTGATCTCCTTGAAGAACCAAGAAGAGAGCACACCGGCGAAAACAGCTGGCAAGACGGCGGCGACAACGTAGGCTCCCTGTGACGCATTGGAGACTGGGACAACCATAACATAGACAACCAAAACCGCAATACCAAGGCTGACGACATAGGCGACAGAGAAGGCATTGTGCAAGACCGTGTTCTTGATACCAATCAAGGTATAGACGACGCCGGTGCAAAGCAATATCACGCCGGCCACGGCCCAGCCAGGTGTGATAGTCGGCTGAAGAGGCAGTTGTCCCGCAGGAATGGTCGCTGGAACAACAGTCAGCTTCATCCGGGGATTCGATCAATGGCATCATAGTGTGAAGCAAAGTATACTTACTGTTGAAAAGGCTCGAGTTGTCAAAGGTGTTGTCTCCGCCAGACACCGTTGGGATGGCCGAGGGAGTAGAGGTGCTGCTGGAGGGCTGAACCGAAGCCGTGGCAGTGACCGACGCAGACCTTATCGACGACGACGGCGATGGCGTGTTCTCGGCATCGCGTGCGCTTTCGGATCGTATCGAAGAGGCAATAGCGGCGGTCGAGGTCCCTGTCTCTTGTCGTCGAACTGGGATTGCGACATAAGCAACAGCAAGCTGAAGGCAGAGGAAGAGGACGCCCAAAGTGATCAGACGATTCCATCTCGCCATGGTGACTGTCTTGCCCGTAGGTGTTGAAGCAAATGGCCCAAGTATTGTCCAGTGGTGATCACAATGGCGTATAATCAGAGACGGGGAGCATCCGTCTTGATCACTAGCGACGTCAATGGAGTGAGGGATGCCGGCAAGGAGGAAGTAGCCGGAGGAAAGACGCAAGCGGAGGAAGAGGCCGGGGAAGGCGGTGTTATTAGTTGAGCACACAACGAGCAGCCAGCGTCGACTCGAACCCCAGAGACCAGTGGGTTTTGAGACAAGTCAGCTTCGAGGCTGACGGTAGAGACGGGAAGAAGCAAAGGAGGGTAGAGACAGGGCAGGGGAGAGCCCGGATGTCATAGGGTGGAGGCGAGGCCCGGAGGTGATCAAACTATATAGAACAAGGAAGGGAGCATAATGCCGGAGAGGAAGACCCATGCGGGATGCGGATCCCGCAGGTAGCACCGACCAAGGCACCATTGGCGTACAGATGCTATGGGCCGCTGATGGGTTCGTAAGAGGGCAGTGTGGCATTTTGGCTCGTATGACAGAACAGGTCCGGCACTCGAGCAACGCATGGAACTTCTCATGGTGGTGGCCAAGGTCTGCAAGACGCTTGCTTGCAGCCAAAGCAGAGGTGAAGAACAGTGAGATCGGATGAAGGTTGAAGCTGCCTTGCATGCTCAAAAGCAGGTTCGTAACGATGAGCTGCCGGCCTAGCTGGGATGAGGGAGAGCCAAGCGGGCATCATTGGGAGATGCAGCACAAACAGAACGACGCGCGAGTGCGGGAGATGAAGGCCACGGACGGACAGGAAAAGCAAAGGTGGCAGGCAAAGAGACGTGTGGCCGACCAAGGACGGTGGAATCGTACTTGGCCGCGTCGGATACAGCCGAGTGACCTGCGGTCCTCGGCCAGAGGTAAGGCCAAGAGGGCCCATGATATCGAGCAGAGGGTCTTGGACGACTAATCCTATTACACACCGGCTGTCCCGATTTAGCGGCCTGGAAGCAGAGCTTGCCTGCCGTGCCACGGGTTCCTTGAGCCAACGAGACGCGCAATGGAGTGCAAATTCGGATGGTCCCCCAGACGCGATGAGGGAGGTGAGGCGAGGTGAGGTGAGGGAGAAAAGCTTTGGTGGTGTTCCGATGAGGACGTGGCTGGTGAGCGGCTACCAGTCGTCGGAAGTCGAGGCGCATCCATCCTAAATTACAGGGACAGGGGACGGCCCCGGCATATCACAGGTTAGCGTTTGACTCGGATGGAAATAAGACAATCAGGAACACACAAGAAAAACCCGATGATTGAGACGGGGACTTCGAAGGAGGGGTGGACTTGGAGGGGCATGTGGGGGTGTGGATTGGAGCGAGGGTTTTGAAGGGCGAATTGGATAGACAGACCCGACGGATGGGATCCCGGATTGGATGAGATGAGAGACGGGATGAGATGGACGTCGAAGTTGGGACTTCCCCGGGGGGCGTACAGTTGGGATGAGAGGTGAGGGGAGAATAGGTAGGTAGGCAGGATTGTGTGCAGCTAAGTGCAGCTAAGCTCCAGCGCCACACGGGAAGACCTCACCTCCTGCAACTCAACGCCTCTCTGGTCCTATGGCGTCGTCCCGTTGAGTCTGTCCATGCAGAAATGCCCGAGACGGGCGGCGGAACACTGTTGCTCTGGCCAGGGAGACGGTGCAGTGCGGTGCAGCGCCGCGCAACGCTGCGTGCGCTGGCGTGGGCAGGCCACGGTTTGAGATGCAGATGCCGGATTGCCATTCGTGAGGTGGGTGGTCAGTTCCATGACCCCTGGCAGATCCATCCAAGGGGACTCGGTCATGATGATGTGGAAATCACGTCGACTGGTTTGGCTACTTCCCACCGCCACGTATCTGTCTCTCTGGTTCTCTGTTTCTCCCCTTTCCCTCCCTCTTCTTGTCTGTGTGTTTGCACTGCCGCAACAGGGGAGTTGCCTCAATAGGAGAGGATCAATAATCCTCTGCCACTGGCTTGATTTGGTGCCCAGATGCGGATGCGTCTCGGCCATGTTCATGCAATGCGGGAGCTTGCTTTTTCCTATGGCGCGCTGGATGGTGCTGTGATTCGGCCGACGGCCAGCGGCTGCGAACTGGATAGGCGAGAGGTGATTATTGCAAAGTGAGTCAGGTTCGCCGCCAGATCGGTGGCGCACGTAAAGCAAGACAAAACCGGTAGACGTAGTGTAGACGAAATTGCTGCTTTGCAAAACTTGGTTAGCAGTGCAGCAAGAAGCAATGGCGCGAGCTGCCTGCAGGCTGCAGCCGCCGTGCAGTCAGTCAGTATCCGCACCTGTAACTTTCCGGTCTCAATGGCGAGTGGACAGGATGGATGGATGGGTGGAAGTAGGTACATGGTTGGTCGCGATGCGTGAAATGAGAGTTGCACCGACGCGGCGGGACGAGGGCGATCACAGCCCACCGTCGCTTTTTTTCCCTTCCCCTTCCTCACGGCCAGGGCCAAAAAAAGCCGGGGCTATCTGCGCTAGTCTCTTTTGGGGGAATGTGCTAGCACAGCACGTCCTAGTTGGATTTTGCCGTAGCTTAACGGCGTTTGGCGGATGGAAGAAAAGTGGTTTGAGAAAAAAATCTAAGAAAAAAAATATATTGAGGTAGGCCCGTGCTTGCGATGCTCGATTGCCCCTCCCCGTCTCATCGCTCCCAAAACAGAAGGCACAACCATGGAAGTGGATAACTCCGGGTACGAACTTGGACTTGGAGTTCTCTGATAATGGGCCTCTCATCTCAGCAAATACAACATCACTCCTCTTTTGCCATGGTTGAACGATGTCCAACCCTCCCGAAACGCAACTGGCCAGTCTTGTTGGCAACGGGGTCAGAATCTCGACCCGTTACTTTGTCTCCAGTGATCGCCCGTCACGCTTTTTTTCCTCCTCAACGGCGCACACATCATTGTGACGGACCAGGGCTTGCTTGGCCATGTCTATCCAGCCGATCGAGATCCACGGGGGTTCCTCGTCAGCTTCACCATGGCCCATCGTAACCAGGCGCGATCGGACCACAGACATCATGTTGTTCCGGATCCTGTCACTCCTCCCTCCATAGGTATTCCAGCAATCCGGGCCACGAACCCAAAGCGCGAGCTACTGAGAGCCCGGATCGCCCACTTGGTCGCCGCTTTTCTTGCCATGTACCATACCTACAGTAGTCCGGAGAACCCGTACCGGACGCCGCACACGCATTTTGCATTCTCTTTTCGTCAGGACAAACCCACTTGCTTGGCCTTTGGACGAAGCTTTTCACCACCCGGACTGCCCAGTGGCACTCTCGACAGCATTGAGCTAGGCAGGGGCCGGGAGGTTCATACCCCTTGTCAATGAGACCTCTTGACAATGACAGGTTGACTGGCAGCCCCCCTGGCGCTGTCTGGAGGGGAAAGACATTTCAACGCGGTTTGTCTGATCGGTAAGGAGCATCTTGTGCATCGAGATGGCCACAAACAAGCTGATGCCGCCCTTCGTTCTCACCCCATCCCAGGGAGTAAACATGTCGCAGACTTCAGCGGCAGGCTTTGTTTCGAGGCTTGCTTCTGGAAACAGCCGCCTCTGGTCTACTTGGGACGGCACCAAGCCCACCTTCTATTTTCCGCCCATCACGATTTCGCGATACCTCGCCGACGACCAAGCCTTCCTCGTCACTGGCGGCCAAAAAGTGTGACTGATTTGGATTGTAACGGCGCTGTTAGCGCGGGCCTTTCCCACGAGGCGTCTTCGGCCAGAGACGTGCGAAATTGGAGGGTCCACCATTTCCTCGACCGGTCCGACAAACCAACAAAAAGTTCTCTCTGAGCCTTGAATTCCCGTCATATGCTTGACGGTGGCAAGTCAGCCACCAACGGAAGCCTGGGAGGGGTCATATTCCCAATTGGGCGATATTAGGTGGCCTTGTTCGACGGTCGACGTTGGACTCCACGCTCTGCGCCTCGTCGCATAAAGGGGTCATGGCATCCTTGCCCGCTTTGATGCAGGCAAAGCCTCGCCGCATGAGCTTCCCCCATATTAGCGACCCTGAGGGAACAACCCTCGTGAATTTGGTCTTTAGCCTCGAGAATCGGAAACTCCGTAGTTAATTGAGCTGACCCTCTAATCGGGCAACTCATGCATCTGCTACCTGAGAAAAGCAACTGCGCAATTTCGGCGCCGCAACGCAAAGCCTCGACGCCTCCCTGCTGTTGTCTGACGCGCATCATTGGGGAATCCGTCCCACACTCGGGCGCCCTGTCTGCGGACTCCCGTGAACCAGCGCCTTGGTCTCCAGTCTCCTTTGCAAGGGGGCTAGTTCATCAGCTCGATGTGGGACGACTCTACTGGACCAAGGTCGCGAAAAATCAAGTCGCAGAGCACAACTCGAGTGAGCTCGTCCCTCCCCAGCGGTTCGTCCAAAGTTACGTAGGGCAAGGTTATGCCACTGTCCTCAACAGGCTTCCCCTGTCAACCTGACTCTGGGGTCGGCCCCTTTCAACAAGCAGAGGGGTTCTGCTGAAGAAGCTTGCATTGGCCGTGCCGTTGGTTGACTTGTCGGCAAGACGGCATATTCGCGGATTTCAAGCCTCAAACTACGACCCGGTTCCATTGTCCTGCTACCGCGATGCCCTTGTAGGGATTAAATACTACAGGAACGAGGGAGCCGGTCTTGGTCGTCTCATCCACACGGGCAGACCATCTCATCCCATGCGGCCAGTCTGTACTGTCTCAGAGGGATCCTCGCCAGGATTGATCCCGCTCTTCGCTCTTGGGCCGTGACTTCTAAACCAGCGGGTTTGCCAAGCGAGTTCGCATGGCCGTCGGCGGTTGAGCATCCGAACGGACCTCGCCTGGCCCTCACCCTCCTTCTCGGCCCCAACTCTCGCTTCCCTGGTCGCCGTTAAGGACGTCCGTTTCCCGCGCTCTCGGTCGATGCGCCGCATAACCTCTACACCAGGGCCGCATAGCAACTGCGCGCCACGAACACAATGGCATTGTACGCGACAGCTCTCGGGTCGAGCGTTGGTGACAATTCTGAGCTTCCCCGGCTTCCTGTGGACCTAGAGTGCTCTCGGGCCGCTCTTCCAGCGTGAGGCAGACGGATCCTGCGAAACCTTGAATCACCACCGGCATGACTGCACATGGCGGCACGGAACTTGATGTCTTCCCAACCTCCTTCTCCTGCCTACAGCTCCATCCCATACTACCCGTTTCCGTCCCATGTTCCATTACGCAGCATCGGGACTCGGACGACAGCGTCCGCCTCGGTGTACGTATGGGTTCCAGGGGTCAGAGTACGGAACCCTCCGTAGTCAAAGACCAGCTCTATCAGGCACGCTCATACCGAGTCACTGGCGAGGTTCAGGAGGTCCGGTCGTCTGATTGGAGTCCTGTCAGAGGTCGAGCATGGGCCATAGATTATACGAGTGCAGGTACGACAACGGGAACACATCATCCGCAGGTTTCGGGCGCATCCTCGTCTAAACAGGCGTCTCTCCACGCTTCATCCTTGCCCAGAGCCGGGCCATGGCTACGAACTGTACAATGGTCACATGATATTTCAAGTAGCAACAGTCTCCGTGCGCAACGGCATATATGTCGACATGCCCAGCTCGCTTCCTCCCTATGTCCGGCCACGACCTTGTTCCCTCTTGTCCCCGGCGTCTAGTGACTTACATTGCAAGAGCTGAGTACATGCCAGGGCGGTGAAACCAAGTTTTTAGAAATGGTCCGCCGTCCTCCCGCCGTCCCTTTGCTCGTCGTGCAGTGTTCGTTTCCTTTGACAGTGTCGGGCAATGCGGCCTGCTTGCCATGTAGACCGAGTTCCAACCCCAGGTCCGCGGTACACTCGCGATGGGGGCTATAATCACACCAACGGTCGTTCTCACCAGGTATTTACACCCGGGTTTGCCCCGCCTAGTGAGTTCCCATGATCCCGGGGTTACAACCCCATACATGTGCCGAAGGGTCCAGCATAACTACCCGATAGACACCGCATATGTCTTCGTCGTGGTCCAGTGATTCCTACTCAAAGCCAAGAGCAACCGTGGCCAAGCCAAGCGGTGGCACCACGAGGGAAGTCGGTCAACATCACGGAGGCGAAGCCCGCCGCGACGAACAACCGCACCGTTCAACCCGTAATGTGGCACGTTGCGTATTGTGCCGACCCCAAGCAACACCGCCCACAATCACAGGTCTCCCGGCAAGGTCGGTATCACTGAGCAGGCTCCGTTAGTGTAGATAGTCTGGCGGGCGGTGCTTGCACGCCCGTGTTCGGCCGCGTTGAGGCCCGAGGGCTCGAGCCGCCGGTGGCTCTATATAGAGCCTTGGGCAGCTCAATCCACCTTTTCCCCCTTGTCGTCCTCTGTTGGTTTTTCTCCCTCTCTTGACCCTCCCGTGTTCGCGTAGACGGGTGCTTGGTGTTTGAGACGCGCAAACCTCTGGGCCAAGCACGGGTTTCGTCAAGCAATCCGTGGGCCTGGCGGCGACTGACGCCACAAGTCTTTATAAACCAACCGCATCCCGGTTCACGACATGGCATACGGTCATCCGCTCGGGGTGGAGTTCTGCCACCCAGGACCAATGCCGTCGATACTTGTCGTCGTGCCGAACGTACCTATGGACACGTTCATGGCACCCGCTAGTAGGTCGACGGAAGAACCAACACGGGAAACGAAGATTGCTTAGATAATTCGTGGTTCGAGACTACCAATACGATGTAGGCAATATTCGTCAAACAGGCTGGTCCAGTGCTTGACCAGCACCGGACACCATTGCAACGCCATCGAACCGACGCCACCCCAGCCCTCCCTTTTTACCCCATCAGACAAGGCCCTTTTCCCGTTTCGCAAAGAGGATATCATGTTCGTAACTCCAAGCCATTCAAACCCAGCCGCCGTCAGCCGTGACCCATCACCTCTTCGAAACCCGGCTCGGTGGCCTGTCCGCCGCGATTCGACCGTGCCCCATGGCCTTGCCGTTGCGGCCCGACCTGGACGTCCTTTCCGGCAGCGACTTCTTCTTGCGCTTGAGCATCCCGCGGACCGTCTTGAAAGGCAGCACCAGCAGGGCGACCATGGCGAAGAAGGGCATCGTGATGAAGGCCCACACCGACTCGACCAGCCACTGCATGAAGCCCGGCCGGGCCGCGCTGTTCTTGGCTGCTGCCGCGGCGAGGGCGATGGCGTCGTTCAGGCGCGTGTCGACGGCTGCGAAGCGCGACTCGGTCTGGAATGCGAGCACCGTGGCCTTCTTCTCGTACCGCCGCACGGCCCGGTTCAGCGCGTCGAGGTCGGGCTGGATGGCGTTGCGGACATCGCGGGCGATGGAGGCTTCCTGCTTGATCTTGGAGTTGTCCGAGTTGCCGTTCGGCTTGAACTGCGTCGGCTCCTGCCGCGATTCCAGCATCTCCAAGCGGGCCACCAGCACCCTGACCTGGTCCGACGTGACGCCGTCGTCCTTGTACGGGTTCACGTGGACGTCTCGCTGCAGCTGAATGGTCCGGCATTGGACCAGCTTCATCAGGTGCGACAGCGGGCGAACCTCTGCGGCCAGCAGGAAGATGGTCAGGTTGTAGTTGGATACGAGACCCTCAGAGGGCCGGCTCAGCTGCGCGCGGATGGCATGCAGCAGGTACGCCCCCAGCATCGGGAACATGAAGCACGATATCAAGGCCAGAATCTCATGCAACCAGAGCTCGGCCATTGCATCTTCCTTCCTGGACCGGGCCGTCGTCTTGGGCACTTGATCCTGCACGAAGGACGTGGGCGTCGTGGGCATCTCGGGCGTGTCGTCGATACTTCCGTTCGCCGTGTGACCGTTAGCCGTCGAGGTCGCTGAGGAGGGGCTACCGACGGCCTGTTCCGTCTCACTGTCATCATCAATCACGGCGCTTGTGCTGACCTCGGCGCGAACGCGCACTGCTTGCGCCGAATGATACCAGTTCCTAGATGGTTGGTGTCAGCGCTCGGATGGTCCTGTCCACCGCAACGAGCAAGGAAGCCAAAGAGACCGGCCGCACTTACCATGGATGTGTCACAGACCAGTGCAGGAACACGGCCGAAAGGCCTAGTAGCATGACGTCCGTCACGACGGCGCTACCATTTTGAAAGAGCAGGCCGCCGACGGCAGGGAGAAGGGCGAAGGCGAGAGGAATCGAAGCCCACTTTGACAGGTCGTCGGCCGACGTTGGCGATGTCATCTCGCCGAGTCTCGGGTTCAAAAAGTCCCTGGCTTCGGTGAAGCTATAGTCCGACAAAGTTGAGCTCCGTCTCCTCCCTAGGCCCTTCTCTGCGAAAGAAGTCTCTGCGGGTATGTGGCCAAACGGCGGCCGTCGCCGCATCTGGGAATTCTCATCTACCGCCATGGGGCGCTTGAAATGGCCCGAGGACACTGGCGAAGCTGTTGTTCCTGGCGAGGACACGGTCTGCTTTCTGCTGATGTTGCTCGTCGTTGTGACCGGCGAGGTCGGACTTCGAGAGCTGTTCTCGTCCGACATGGCGGATGACGTAAATGGTTCCGGACCGGGTGCCTCGTTGTTATTAGACGTGGTTATTATCTGTTCTTTTGTTGGTGTTTGGTTTAGTTGGTTCGGTTTGCTGTGGTGGTTGATTACGGGGATGTTCGCTGGGAGACGTGCGAGTCCAAGCTAGGGACAGGCAGTCGAGGGGTTTTGAGGACTCCTCATCCGACAGACGGCGCGCCCTTGAGAAGAGAACAAGCTGGGGGGTATGTGTCTCGTTTGCTGGACGTGCTCCTGATTCTTGGGAGGAAAGGGGAGGGAACGAGAAAAGGAGGAGGGGGAGGAATGGCCGCTAACTACAGATCAGGTATTGCGTGTCTTGCAGGGCGAGATGTAGCGTGTAGCGTGTAGCGTGAAGCGTGCGTGCGTGCGTACGAAAGAACCGGTTCGACCAGTCGTACCAAGGGCGAGAAGTGAAGCGCCACGGGCTGAGGATGAGTATGGCGTTGGTATGCCGCTGGCGGGAGTGGACGTGGTTTTTAGTCCTGGGCTTTGGTGGTGGCGACTTGGATCGTCCTTGCCTGCCTTAGCTAGGCAAGGTACCGAGGCGTGATTGGGTGGAAGGAAACGTCCGGCGACTTTGGAGTCTCAAATCGACGTGTGGCCGAGGCTCGTAGGGTGCCTTATCCTTGCTCCGCGTCAGGTCGCTTCCTTTTCGAGGCGTGAGTTGGAACGGGACGAGGTTTCGAGGAGACGTGGACGGGATGGAGGCAGAGGCCGGGAGGATTAGCAGAGGCCGGGAGGGTTAGGAGAGACTGGAGATGCTGCGAGGCGCTGCGAGGCATTCGAGGTGAAGAAATGCACCCGCAGTCCGAGGTGGAGGCGGGCGGGAAGAGGAGGCGAGGCGGGAGGTAAGGTAAGGTAAGGTAAGGATGGCAAATGCGCGGTAGAGGATTCCGGCCTGCATCTGGCCGAACTGTCTCAGTTCAGGGGAGGCAAAGGTATACTGCCTAACATATTCGCACTGCGAGTACCTAGGCAAATCTGACTTTGAGAGTCTACACTACATTGGCAGAGCTTGCTGTGGCCCTAGGAAGCTGGACTTGGGCTGGGGCAAGGTCGCTGGCAGCCCAAGTGTGGTTGCTTGGCTGCATGCTGATGACCTATCGGTGCTGACGACAAGGATGATGATGCAGTGATGCAACCCACCCACGGGGACGCCCCCTCACCCCTCCCCCCCCGCTCCCGCTCTGCCCGCATCCAGCCCTGGAGACCCTGTTAACAAGATCCACTGTGGACGCCGGACTGGGCCGAGAGAGCCATTCCCCATCTCCCATTTCAACTTCTCCCCCTTCATCCGTTTCGCTGGTTTGTTTTATTGTTTTTGGGTTGTTGTTGCTGCTCCTGATGGCTGCTAGCTGCTACTTCTGCTGCTGGAAACAGAGGATTCATCTCCACTGTATCATTACGCACGTCTCTCGAGCTTTCATGCCAACACGTCGCCGCTATCCTAGTAGTACATGTATCTCGCGTCGGCCCAATGCTATAGGCTAACGGGACGTGAAACAGCCGTCCCAGCCCACCATTTCGCCATCGCGGCGCACGCATCTAGAACGACGTCCACGTACATGTACTCCACGTCCTTGTCGTCACCGATGAGAGGTCAAAGATAAGGACGCTCCACCTGCCGCTGCCATTTCCCCCAATAACCTTATATGGCATACCAAGGCTTGGTCTGCCAACTCTGGTGGCCTGTGAGCCATGCTTCACACCATTCGGGCCTTCATCTAGGGATGAACGATCCATCAAACCCATCTTTGCCTCGGCCCCGGCCATGACCCTCGTTGAGTTTGCCTGCGACTCCGGTAGCCGATCTGGACGGGTAGCACCACCGGTGGTGGCATCGGCAGTGAGATCGGTTCCTGTGGACCAGCCTTACGTCCGTCTTTCCGCCCCAACAAACCCAAAAGAGCTCGAGTTGTTCTCGTTGTACATATTTCACCATCTACAACCAATCCGATCTCGCCCTTAATCCGATGCGGACGCCGCGGACCGGGTGGAGGACGACGAGCCTATGGGAGGCAGAGGATCGGATTTGTTTCGTTCCTGGGACTAGCCGGGACCTGGATCCATAGAAACGGCCGGTTGGCTTGATACCTAGATGGAACAGGCATCGTGACTGCAGCATCATTGACTTTTGTGTGCAGAGCCGTGCACGGTGCCTGCTGAAGCTTCCTATGTCATCGTCCGAATCAGGCCCGATGTAAACCCCTTCGTGGGAGAGAGAAAGAGAGAGAAAGAGAGAGAGGCTTCGAAGCGCCGTCGAGGCTCCGCATACCTCGAGACGCTGCGATTTCGGCCAGCATGTGTTCCAGCAACGCCGTCGAGTATTGCTGTCGTCGGTCCGGAATCACCTAATTCCGTCACGTTCCAGTGGCGAAGCATCGCGTCCTGGCTTGAGGATGCTCAAATTCGGCTCCGCGAGCGAAGTATCGGCGAATGTTGTAGTGGCCGGTTGGGTGTTTCGAATGAACCGGGACCGCTGCGTGCCGCAGGCGTTTTTGCATCCGTGGCCAGTTTGCAAACTTCATTGATGTCGTCGGAGCATGAATGACGATCCAGCCAACCAAGGCAAGTCTAAGCATGGTCAGTTCCCGTATTGAGAACGCCGCCCACAGACCAGAAACGGAATACCTAAGCTGTTAGGATGGCTTTCCTGCGGATCAAGTCGTCAGCGCCGGTTTGCAGCCGCAGCGTAGGAGCCATGGCGGCACTCAAGAGACATACATTGTTCTGCCGGAGCTGACGTCTCTGGCTGGGAAGAATCGTGTCTAAGAAACGGGTGTCAGACGGAACCCCGCAATTCTCCACGGGGAATGTCTCGTCGAGACTTGACACCAGCCGTCGGCGCAAACGACGCTCAATCGAAAAGTGGGAAAGCCCTCTTGGCCGAAAGTAGTCGAGAGCTTGTAGCCTGTTGCGGTCATGGTCGATGAGACACGTCTGCTATACCATCAACAACACCAACATCACCAACATCACCTCCCCCTCAAACAGATCCATGTAGCGAGCGATGTCGTTGTGGTTGATGAGCAGACTGCGTGTGGTTGGCTGTCTTGCTTGAATAGTGTGATCGGCATATGAGATACCCTTCTTGTCTCATGCAGGTATCAATACCAAGGCGAGACACCGGAAACCCCCATCCAACCGCTTGGAAGGGAGATACTCTCGTTCTTGCAATTATGAGTTGTGTTCCCACAAGACAGGTTCTCGCTCAAAACACTTCTGAGCCAATGACGCGAGGACTGGTAGCATCGTCATCTGTCCCGGGGTTGAACATCCCAGGCCTCCGTGTCCGCAGCCGGGGAGAGTGAGCATTCAAGAGAAGTTGGAATGAAAGACTGAACCGTACCTATGTAGTTCAACGGAACAAATTATTGAAGCCGCGAGGGATACTGTGGGATTGGTGAGAGGTCTCCTGCCAGATCGGCGTCACCATCCACATAACGCCCACTACCTATGCCGGGATCAACGTCAAATACTATACCAAGCAGGTGGCAAAAAAAGTGATACACAGAACCAGACTCCCCCGCCCATGGCCTTCACAACAGCACCAGCGACGTCTTCAATATTCAGAATTTTTCTGATTGAAGAAGACATTCATACATAATAACACTCGATCTAAGTTTTCCCGAGATTTGGAAAGAAGAAGTCGGGTATCCGTGGAGGTATTCCTAGGTGAATTATGAGACTAGTAGCAATTGGGGTGTTGTGTGTATCACTTTTTTGTCACCAGCTTGTATACGTAGTCCCTCCTCAGAGGGTATAGTAACTAAGGTTGCGTGGTGCTGGGGGCGGGGCTTGGCGCCCCACTACCCGTACCTGAACTTCCAATTTGCGGTTGGAAAGATGGATCAGTTGAATCTCAGTTCGTCTGTTTTTGTGTGCCTGGCAGATCGGCGTTCCCGTTTCGTGCTTATTTATTTTGGATCTATTGGCATGTCTTGACCCAGCTGGGTTTCCCCGTAGATACAGAGGAAAAGGAGAATGACGCTAGAGCGGATAAGCAAAGTGCCACTGTATTTTCAGACTGTCGAGGAACCGCATGCTAGGAGTGCATCCCTTCATGGGGACGTACGCAACGCACAGACGGACCGGGCGCGGCCGCAGCTCCTTCATCGGCGTGCAAAGACAGACCAGAAAAAAGAAAAGAAAAAGTGTGAGAAAAGTGGATACATAAATGCTGGTGGCCTGGGCCATGAGGTGATGTATGGCAGAAGTCCGCCGTTGCACGCATGCTTGCTAGAGACGGGCGCGCCGCCGACGAAGCAGCGCGGGTCCACCTCTTAAAAGACCCATGGAGTAGGTGGAAGATCCGCGTCGAAAGATGCTGCTTATGGAGAAGAATGCCTGGCAAGCCGTATTGCTGTCTCTCCCATCGCCGACGTCGTGTTCGCGGTGACGTTCCGGAAGACGAAGAGCCACCGATTTTTAGACCTTGCCGCAAAATACGCCTCAAGGTGCCAACGGGCGACGAAGCAAGGCATAAATTGGCGTCTGCCCTGACAACCCCGTCAGAACCCTGGTTTCTGGGCCTCGCCGAGCAAGGAGAACCAGGGTGACTGGATGGATCCGGGAGGACAGAGTGCGTCACTCGGAACCAAGAAAGACTGTCTGCAGCGCGGCCGTGAAGGAGAGGGCGAGGCCTGTCGGAAAATCTCTGCAAGGCTTTCCAACACAGTCAATTTAAAGCACCTTGGCTGTTGGCCGGGACAACAGGGAGGGACCTGCCAGGCTGAGCGCCATTCGGGTCAGCTGGAAGTCGTGAGCGTGGTAGGCCGTCGTCATATATTGATGGCTAGGGACGGCTGGTCGGCGAAGGACTCTGCATCGTATCTAGACCTTTCTTTTTGCTGCGAGACCCTTTCCAGCGAAGACTGGCGAAGCACCGACAGGATCGTTGAGGCCACCCTATATCTATCTGTAACCGAAACCGCTTCGCCGGACCACCGAAGCGTCCTGTGTGCCGTGCTGCTCCGCTTCGCAAACCGACGAGCGACTTTGAATTTTTTTCCAATTCATCGACTGTCTCTCTTTCTTCATCCTGGATCATTTTTGCGACACAACAGAAACTTGTGGACGACAGCCCTACTACGTGTTCGAGGGGACACAAAGACACAACTTTGTCGGAGTTGTCTCTCCGAGGCCAATGCCGACGAACGATCAGACGCCGGCGCATCCGTGAGCTCATACAACAACCAAAGACGAAGACGAGAACACAAAAGGCCGGTTGGCGAGTCCAAGACGACACACGCACACGCACACGCGCACACACGGGCGCGGCTTACAGTCTCGACAATTCTGCTCCCTCGGAGAACGCAACTCTAGAGAAACCAAAACCAAAACCAAAACCAACAATCAGCGAAGACGATCCGAGGCAGGACTGATCAGCGGCCCCCACTTCTGTTTTTGCAACGGGACGGCAGCAACACAATCTGGTGGGCATCAAGCTGCAGGAACGCTCATCCCGGGCGAGTTGGATCCGAACCATATCGCGCAGCAAAGTGGTGGAGGAAAGCGAGGACGCAGCCGATCGTGTCTCCCCCTCCCCCCATCGTTCCTGCACCTCTAGCGTACGAACCTCTGTGCCTTGCGGCGTCTGGCTTCTGGCGTCCGGCATTTACGGCCAAAGTCCAGACTTGGCCCGGGTTTCTCGGGTTACAGGTCCAAGGGTCCTCTCGCTCCTGCCTACCTTACCTTACCCCAAAGTGGGTGAGGCGACCTGAGAGGTGTGAGCCCTGAGGGAAGGAAGGATCTCTCCTCCTCCCCCAGCCTCTCCGTGCCAGCTAATTACTGGCCTTCCCAAAATGCTGGGACTGAGCTGTACTAATCCAATTTCGGCCATTTCCCCCCTGAGCGCACTCTCCACCCTTCATTCACCGTCAGCCTGCCTTTGGTTGCTCATTCGAGCGTTATTATTCACCAATTGTTCATTTCCGTCAGTCGTCAACTGCACTTGTGCCTGCGCCCTTGCTTGTGCCTGCAGCAGCTGCAGCACCACCGGCAGGTCACCGACCACGACGTCGCCCTATCGTCCGCCTGTCGAGGTCCGCGTCGCTTGTCGACCCAACGCCAGGGCCAAGACCACCATCACTACTACTCCTACTACCACCACCGCCATCAACAAGACGGCCATTTACGCCTTTCGCCATCTTCTCCCGCCGCGACTCACCATTGGCCGCATTGCCCACGCTTGCATTGAAAAAACGATCGCCGTTCAAGCAAAAGCCAAAGGTGCTATCCGAGCCACTATCGTCGCTGCTTCCCTTTCCTGCTGGTCCTGCACTTGCACGACTTTGCATTTCTTTGTCCGTGTCCCCACACAGCTAGCAGCAAACCTAATCCCTCTGCTGCGCGACCCGACTCTGGCCATCCGACGACATCTTTGCTCTAGTCACACCCGGTCCTCCTCCTCCCTTTACTCTCTGCCCCAGCGACCATTGCAATCACCCCTCTCGCTCTTCCTGGCATTGCCGCCGCTGCCGCTTAAAGAGGCCCTGGCGACCTCAAAGAGCTTGACCCAGGCGCTGCTGCAAACTCCTCCTCGCCGAAAAGACTCATTCCCCACCGTGCCCCGTAAGGCCGTCGTCCTCGCGGCGGCCTTCGTTAAAACATTCCTCCCACGGCTTCCCACGCGCCAAACACGTCTCCGTCACCGGCCACCTTAGATGCATCCGCAAATTCACGACTCGCCACGCTTTCGCAGCAGCCCGCTTATCCTGGCGCTTCGCCCGACCTGCAACGTCCAGTAGCCGCCGCCGGCTTGTCCCAAACCCGCCCTCCATCCCTGCCACGCCAATACGACCCCAAAGAATACTTCCTGCAGTCTCCCTTTCGGAATCGTGCAGCCTCCTCTGCTGCCCGCCGACTTCCTCACCTCTCTGCTGCTCGTCTCTGGAACCCGACCAACTCCACCCCCAGGCTCCCTGACAAGCCCGTCCGCAAACGACGTCCATCGACACCGCCCCCGCCTGCCGTTCTGCTATCTCATCCGACTCTCGATCCATATTCCGTCGACCCTGCCGATCCCCTGGGAATTGGCGCAGGCGACTATCCGTTGCTGACTCTCCCAGAGCAGCGCCAGACGCGGCACTCTACGTCCACCCGCACGAGCCTTCAGGTCGACCGCAGTGGTATCGCCGAACATCGCATTAGCCTTCCGCCCTCGCTTCGACACTCGTACGACGGAAGGAGGTCCGCGGATCCTTCCCCAACATTTCCTGGTCCCGACTTTGGCACCGCCGCCGATAAAGAAACCGCCTCTACAGAGCCTCCCATCGAACCACAACTAACCGACCTGCGGTACTACAGGCAGAGTGCCTCAAGCCCTGTCATTCGAGATTTTGCCATTACTCTCCATACAGACAAGGGAAAGACGGTGATGGATCAGAGAACCGATAGCCAGGCGCGAGGCGCCTCCAAGGACCTGGAACGAGGACCGGATGTGCTCCCGCGCCATTCCAATGTATCGGCCGGCGATGGAATTGGATCGGCCATTTCTTCCTCAGACTCATCGATCATGGGAGAGGAGCTGCCGCCGGATTTAGGCGAAGAATGGGGACCGCAACACCCTTGTTTCCCTCATCTCAACCCTCACGTTCCTCTCGACTCGCCCGAGTATCGAAACACCCGAATTATTCGCATACGTCGAGACTGGTTGATAGAAGGAGACCTGGCGCCGACGTTTTCCAACCTGTACCCCGAGATCCTGGACCCGGCAGGCTTGTCGGAACAGGAGTTTCGAAGGGTCATCGACAAACTCAATGGCGAGCTCATTCCCATCTTTAGCCCGTATAATTGGAGAAATGTGGTGGACGGCTTGCTGGGCCTTGTGACGGGCTGGTTGTGGGATGATCTGGGCTTCACCGGCGTCAAGGCTCGACTGAAGCGCCTAGAACGCTGGATTGACCAGTGGAACACCGAGATGGAGAAGACTGTTGGCAACGACGACAGCTCAATGGCGCCGCGAATCATCTCCTTGAGGAAAACTGGTTACATGACGGTAAGTCGAATCCTGCACCTCGCCCCGATTAGGACAGTGTACTAACCTGGACTGTAGCTGGACATTCAAATCCCTGATCCAGAAATCGCTCCAGCTCCTAGCACACCTGGGGGCTCGAGATCCGAAGGCATGCCAACGGAGCCGCCAGCTGTCGTGACGGCATAACCTTTGACGGCGAATACCGGCTCGCCTTTCTGTGTACCCTTCGCTTCGAATTCGTATTTCACCATACACTCTTTCTAATACTGGATCGGCCGCGGCGTGGGACGAACCGACATGAGTTTATACGACCGTAGCCTCTCTACTGCATGAGGCACTCGATATCCATTTATTACCCGGGGGTATTTGGCCTTTCTTATTTGCCACGGCCCCCATCCTACCACTAGTACCTTATACCAAGGCATGGCGCGGAGTTTAGGATCCCTTTGGCTGGGATAGTTACGAACGTTATTTTGAATGAATTTTTTCCCTCTCGCTCGTTGCCTTGACGCTTTTGATCATGTTTCTACTTCCACGAGTCAGAGTCAAACAGGAGTGCTCCTGAGACGCAGTGGAACATGGTTGTGCACGGAAATCGGGACATGGCGAGCCTTGTGATTAGGCTCGACTCGAAGCGAAGAGTTGGTGTTCAGGACCCTGTGATTTTATGTAGATGCCCATCATCATTTCAACCTTCGCCTTGTTTGTCTCTCATGGTTCCGCTCAAATGCCTTCATGTGACCTTTTGCCGTCTTCGCACTCACGTGTGGTATGTAAGCTTTCCATGCTACATCCCCTCGGCTACGACGCGGAGCCCCGTCAACAAAGGGGATGGGAGCGTCTCCTGTCGCAGACTTCACGTGCGTTGCCAACAACCCCATGGCGACACCCGCGACAACCCCGACGCTTGACCGCCGAGACGCACATCTTTGTCGAAAGAGGATGAACTTCACACCTCATGGCCAAGTTCTAGACTCGTACTAGGAGTCTACCAGCGTGTTGGCACGGGCGAAGTGTGCGTTTTCCGTGATACTGAAGCACCGTTAAAAGGTAGCAATACGAAGATGCGCGCTCGATCCGCCAGGCTATCGAGCCACTCCCGCAGCTCACTGTTGAGCCTGAACCATCGCAGCGGGATCCGGCAGTGGCGTCAGACGTGGCAGACGAGCCACCCGGGTCGTCTGCTCAAGCTGGCCGTGGCCTTCGCTCAGCCATGATCGGATGCGTACGTGGGTCGCGGCCGGCGGGGCGATGGCGGGCCGTTCGTCCAGGAACGTCTTGGTGTTGTAACATGGGGGAGCAGAGGGGTTGGAGGGCCTTGCGAGCGGCCGCGGGGACGGTCGGGACGCAGCTTGGTAGTGCCAGGTAGGCCGAAGGAATGAATCTGGGAGATGCAGGACCAGCTGCGTTTTACCATGATTCCGAGCCTGTGTGCCGAGACTGTGCTCTGACTATCATCCCATGCAATCGAAGGACTACGCATATCCTCAGCAGGACTGTCGAGCCCCTCCTTATACGACGGAGGCGGAGAGGATGCAGAGTCGTGCGTTCTCGAAACATGACTGACACGGACGTATTGGGAGCTGCCATCAGTCGACTTCATCAGCGTCAGACTAGTGATGGATGTTAGCTAATACCTTGTACATTCTGGGGTATGACAACCGCGGCACTCACTCTGTGTCTTTTTGCAACGAGACTCCCAGCTGCTGCTCTACTCGCCCTGAGGCTGGCCCCTCGCGGAGCCATGGGAAAACCCTGCCGAGACCCAGGGTCCGCGTGACCCGACGGTAGGTTCTCTTTGCGTCCTCCGTCATACCAAAGAAGTAGAAAATGGGCAGGGCCGTCGCGATGACGAAATACTGATGGTTCAGCTCAAAGAAGCTGAGGCTGTCGCTAGGGAGGAGCAGGATGGTGTCCCAAGGGTATGGATTGGCTTGCTGCCGGATTTTATTGAAATCGAAGCCGTAAGAGAGGAAGTTTGTTCTGAACTGGACGACAGCCATGTAGCAGTCCAAGGGGCTGTAGGGTACTATGACGCAGACCATGACGAAGAAAAGCCGCCATCGCGTTCGGCCCGCTCGCGTGGCGGCAGAGCTGTTGGACATGAGTGCCGAGCGGGTAGCCTGCGCGATCGAACTGTAACGCCTCCAGGTGAGGACTACACGTCGTGAGTGCGAGGTTTTCGATCTCACGTACGAGGACTTACCAGCGTAGTAAACCGACACGAGAACCGCAAGCAGGCGTGGGGCCAGGAAGAATACGACAAAGGGCCAGCTCGGGTGACTACTCCACATGCAACCGGTCAGGGTGGCAATCCTGAACCTCTGGGAGGATATCGGGTACAGCAGGCCCGTTTGGATGATGGGAAGTGGAAACATGATCAAGGCCTGAACGAGTGTCTTCCTGCGCTTCTCTCGGCCAGATAAGGGGCTGGCCCGCGACAGGTCCATCTGCTGCGCAAGGTTGCGCGTGATGGCGACGACCGAGAGCCAGAACAGAGGCATGAGAGGCTGGTAGACGTAGGCGTGGACATCGCACCAGACCTGGCCGTCCCACCACTCATACACGTTGTCATCACGCCAAATGAGGGCGTTGGCGATCGTAAGGCAGTTGGCGACGATGACCGTGCCGACCAGGACGGCCGGGGCGAGCTCGCCTTGGCGGCACAGGTTCCTGAGCGGCACCCAGCAGCCGGCGTTGGCCGCAAGGGCGAGGACGACGCGGCAGACAAGGTTCGCTTGGAGGTACGGGTTGGTGTACGGCGCCAATGGAGGGTTGGGAACCAGGGGAGAAGTGCGTGCTATGACTGTGCTGGCAATGGCCGCCATATCGAAAGGTTGAAGTGCTGTTGGTGCTCAGAGATCCGGTAGAGCTCCCTTTCTCTTGAGAAATGGGAGGAACTGGACCACTTTCCGACTAATAACATTCGTTGAACACGAAGACGAGCCGAGACAAAGGAGGCAGGCAGGGAAGCTTGAAAACTGTCGAGAGTGGTGGTTGCTAAGGGCAGGTGAGGATGCCTTGAGTATATCAAGTGAAGAGAACGATGAACCCCCGAATACGCTTACAATCAGCTCCTGACTTGGTCATAAGAAAGATGTAGTGAGATGTTGGCAGTGAACGACGACCATTAAGGGGGAACGAAGCAGAGATGGGAGGCAGAACCGAGGGTAATGTAGAGAATCAGGGCATGTTGCAGGATATAAGGATGAGTTAGAACTAGCCGAGTATGCCCTAACGAAGAAGACAAGGCGGGAAGCATACTTTGTTTAAAAAGGAAGGGCAGAGCACGAACGGGACAGCAGGTTGGACACCACTTGCTTGGGCCGCAAGTGCGGTCCCGAGTTCGTGTCATCTGTCCACCCATAGCCCTCTTTCGATACGGCTTTTCAGAAATCTCGTACCAAAGCCATTGACCTGTGGTCTTTGCGGACTCATTCCCCCGTGTGAGCCGCAACGGAAAGCCTGGTTTGAGCAGGGTGTTGTCTTTGAGCAAACATCCGCTCAGGCTACGGTCATATGTGATGGGTTTGAGCCACAACTCGACTTGTAGAACAAGACTCGGAGTTCATGAAACTCGGATTGCCGTGTGCGAATACTTTCCAGCCCGTCAAGAGCCGGGTGCATCAATTGAAGCTGCGCAGATACATCTAGAGGTATGTTGTCCACTAATATTACCCCATTTGGGGCAGGCAAAGTTGAACATGGCAGAGAAGTCAAATTGAAAGGTGAGACCTATTGATTGCAATGTAGTTACGGCAACCAAAGACCTTTCTACTGATCGGAGCAAAGACTGTTCCCAGAGCAGAGGATCGTGGGATGAGTTGGACCATTATGAAGTGATAAATTACCCCCCAAAGAGAGGTACCCCAAGTTTTGAAGGCTCGGATTGGTGAGTGCAACCTCGATAACTCGACATTGGAAAAACCAGGCGAACGATGCTGCAACCCCGGCTGTCAAGTCAATGCGCAAACTCAGGGATCTCAGGCTGGGCGGGAGGTGCACGAGCCACGGCGAGCAGCAAACGACCGCGGCAGCGTGCCTGAACCCCCTGGATTATGGACCGCGTCGACGGGCGCGCGCACCGCGAGCAAACTGATAGCTCCCATTTCCAGCTTCGCTCCCTCCCCCCTCAAACGACTGTCTCCGTCTCGTCAATTCCGACACATCAACACCACTCGCTACACCTTTGTCCTTCTTCCACTCCTTCATCACCACCCGTTTTATTGCCCACCACAACGAAATCAACCACAAAAAAAGAAAAATGTCTGCCACCACCCTCTTCCGCCGCGCCGCCGCCGCGCCGCGCATCGCCCGCGCCTTCAGCACCTCCCCCTCTCACAACGTCGCGCGCATCACCATCGTTGGCAACCTCGCCGACACCCCCGAGCTCCAGCCCACCAGCACCGGCCGCGAGATCCTCAAGTACGCAGTCGCGAGCAACAGCGGCCCCAAGGACAACCGCCAGACCAGCTGGTTCCGCGTCACCAGCTTCGAGCCCGAGGGTCCCCGCCGCGACTTCCTCCAGAGCCTGCCCAAGGGGTACGATATCCCGACCTCTGATAACTGTGGAAATGGAGCGCCGGAAAGCTAACGTGCGGCTACAGATCTCTGGTCTTCGTCGAGGGCGATGCCTCCATGAGCACCTACCAGGACGCCGAGGGCAAGACCCGCAGCTCCCTGAACGTTGTCCAGCGTACGTCTTCCCACAAACCGCGCTGCCCCTTGACCGCCATGCCAAGGTATCCTAACATCTCGTCCAGGCAATATTGAGGTCCTCAGACGCCCTCAGACCGGCACCAACGCCAGCGAGTAAACGCGTCCTTCCTCTAGCACTGACGAACCGGAGTTCTTTACCACGTATGACCGACGAAGACGAGTGTGTCCTTGAGAATCTTGACCTGACCTGGCCCTCTCTCTCCACTCTTGACGGGATTTCCTTTATTTTGTGTAAAACGACTGACAGTTGGGCCGGTTGAGGCGCGTTGTACAAAAAGCACTTTCCTAGGACGATAATTGATACCACGGGTTGCTCCTCTCACGCACCGATTGTTGCCTTGCGCAGCTCCATTCAAGTTGCTGCCTCACTCAATGCCTCACATGTCACCGAAACAAGTCAAGGACCATCTAAAACAGCCCGTCTTTTTTTGTTGAGGTTCTATTCAAAGTGACTCGTCCGTGGGCAAACTGCCGTTATCAGACGAGTGTGCAGCTATCCATGCAACCAAAGCCGGCAGCAACACCGCCCTCGTTGCTGGTGTCGCCCTTGGTGCGAAGCAAGTAGCCCGCCTCCTCATTGTGAACAACCTCCCCAGTGCCCTGGTTCCAAACAGTCGTGCCGTAAATGCCAAGCTCGCAGATAACACCGCCCTCCTCGAGGTTACCGTTGCGGAGGATGATGTTGTCCTGCTTGGGCGGGGTGATGAGTTCCATCAAGATGTAGGAACCCCAATGCGTCTCGGGGGTCTTCTTCAGGAACTCGGGGATGTCCTCGCGGTAGTGGTTGTTGCCGCCGCCCTCCCTCTGCGGCTTGAGCACGTAGTTCTTGCAGAGCTCGGGGTCCAGGGCGATCTTGCGTGCCTTGAGACCGGCCTCGGAGGCGTCCATGGGGAAGATGTTTGTGAATGTCTGGAAGACCTCGGCCGTCTGCGGCGCGTCGTCGGGGATGAACCGGCCCAACACCGAAGGCGACGATCCCGACCTCGGTGTGGCCAGGACCTGCTGGATCTTCTTGCTGCCCGCCAGCTGCGTCAGAACGGTCGGGCACTTGACGGCCGCCGACCTCTCGAGGTGGTAGCGGGCCTCCCAAGCGCTCTCGTCCGGGTAGTCGGAGGGATCGTACCAGCACCGCAGGTAGGCGACGGCGACCTCGAAGACCTTTGACGGGTCCCGGGGCAGCTTGTAGAGCAGCTGCCGCTTGGGCGTGGCGGCGACCTCGGTGTGCCGCAGGAGCTCGGAGCAGGGGACGCGGAAGACGGGGACGGGGTCGTCGGGGGAGCTGGCGAGGGCGTACTCGAGGTGGCGCTGGTCAAAGATGTTGCGCTCGCCGCCCTGGACAACGAAGATGACGCACTTCTTGTGGCCGAGCTCCGAGGGGCCATAGGCGTCGAAGGCGGCGCGGATGCCGCCGGAGAGGCCCTGCACGCTCTTGTTTTCGGGCAGGTTGAGAGAACCGGACTCGATGGCGCGGTCCAGCAAGGGGTACTCTGCCACGGAGAGGAACCTGGGGTCGTCAGTCGTTGGCTTTGGGTCCATGGGTATGGGCAATTACTTGTGGAGTAGCGAGGTGCGGGATGAAAGGCCACCGAAAGACGAGGCTATCGTGTTGAACTCGACCTGCTTAACCTGACGCTTGGGCTCGCCTGAAGACATGTCTTGGTGGACAAGGTAGTCCGACCTGAACAGCCCTAGGGAAAGTTTCTACCACTCCTTAGTCTCGTCTTGGGATGGTGAGGTAGAACATACCTGAGTGTACCCCTCCTTCTTCACTCGCACATGGGTATCCCACAGCTTACTGATGAAATCATCGCCGCCCTTGACTCTACACATCGTTAAACAAGAATAACAAGGGACGGTCTTCAGTACAACGAATCAGGTCGTGACGTACTCGTTCACCATTGCACTCAGAAAGTCCTCATCTCTGCTGATGGCAGCGTAAAGCTCGTTGTAAGTTTGCTGAACAGACCTCGCCTGCTCGAAACATGACCGAGGGAACGGACTAGGGAAGAGCGTGACCGGTACGTTGACAGCCAGAATGCCCTTGGGATCCGACTCGGGCGAGACGACGGTGGGAGGTGGTCGGACAGACAGACCGTTGCCAATGGCCCAGTCCTTGACGGTTTGTACGAGGGCGTCCTGCTCCGACTGAGACAGCCGGGGCGGGTACTGCTCTTTGGTGAGGGTCGAAGTCGCCATCTCAAAGAAAACTTTCCTGCTAGGAGTAAGAGGCCAAAACTCTCAAGACAGCCTTCTGTAGACTCCGGCGGCACGGGCGTGTAAGGACCAGTCGGCTTGGCGATGCGAGTGAGTGATTAATAATTGTCGGCCAACGCTAGATGAATCGATTATCTGGATGACCAAGTGGGGCTTCGTGACTACAGTTGCCAAAGGTTGTGAAGAGAGGTGGAGAGTAGGTAAGCAAAAGTCCAACTCGTTTGGATGTACAACTCAAGTAGATACGATGTCGGGTGAGGAGCCAGTGAGAATCACAATGAGGATGTTGAACTGGAGGGGAGAGAAATCGGTTGCCCCACCACTAGCATCCACGTCCACCTTGGGACTGGGTTTCCTACAACAATGGCTTGTACGATGCAAGTAAGACGTGATCAGGTTAAGCGGGGAGGCAACTCTATAATACACATATGAGTCGCGAGTATATCAACAACAACTAGAGACGAAGTCAAAGGCTTGGTGACAGTTTAGCAAACCTCAATCAGCAGGAGACAATTGTTATGGCTTGATTCTACCTGGCTGAACATTGTGCAATAACGCCAAAGCGGTACCTAGCCAGGCACTTTTTAACTGCAACCGCCTCTCATTACCCCTCCATCCCACTAAACATTGATAAGGAAACTGATCCTCAACTACCTATCTTAACGCCGAAGGTTGCCATCTAGTCACGTGCAAGGTAAGCAAACCAACAGCTAAGAAGGCAATTGGCCACTTCTTCGAGGCAACATGGGGGCTGGTCCCTTTAGGGCGATACGTACCTTCTGATAGTTGTAAGTCCTCCTGGAAGAGCGGGCCAGTGAGCACCTGCTGGAAGGTACCCTGTGCGATCAGGGAAGGTGGGGCTTCTAATTGCGACTGCGACTGCAACTTCCGCGACTTCACTCACGCGTCGTGAAATCTACAGAGGAAATCCATCACCTGCCCTGACCTTTTCTAACCTTTTTTTTAATTATCTCAGCCACAAATGGAAGGCCTCCTAGTTCCACTCCGTCTGCATTCAACTTGAACTCTCTTCTACCTGCTACTTCTGGCCTCCAAATTTCACACTGCGCAAATATTCGCAGGAACTCACCCGGCTTATGTCCTTCGTTGACGACTCGTTTGCCTGACAGGGATCTTTTACTTCTTTGTCAGTGCCTTCGAGTTGTCACCACGCTATCGCCAACCGCAAACTCTGTTCCCCCCTTCATCTAACTCATCACTGCCTTCTTGTTCCTTCGAGCAACGAGCAACGACCTTGCCGACTCCCCTATGCACCCCATTCCGAAATCTGACCACTCGAAACCGACTCGTAAGTTCATCCTCTTCGTCTCCTTTCATTCGGCTCGTCCTTCACCCGGCCTACCCCAATGTCCGCGCTTCAATGCTTCTTGGGCACCCTCAACCCAATGGCGTCTATAAGAGAGCTCAAATCTTAAAGCTATTTTGGTTGTGCAATGCTCCTTCCCCATCTCACCTTCTTAACCCTCAAAAGACTTTTATTCCCCTGCCACCCATTTCGCCTGCCTTGCTTGAATACTCTTATCTGGCTGCTAAGAAATCGCCACTATATAGCAAATCAATTCATGACCTGAACGACGATCATCATGGCGGGCAAGGAGGACGACCCCTTTGAGTGGTCCGTTGAGCAAGTGGTGCATGAACTATGCGCGGCTGAGAAGCGCCCATGGCACCCGAAGCTAGCCACCAAGAGACCCGATTCAGCAGCTCTCTCAAAGGCGTTGATCGACAACGACGTTGATGGCGAAACACTACTCACCTACGGAGATGTGATGCCGTCTCTCGACGGTCTTCTTCAGGACATGGGCCTCGTCAAGATTACTCACAAGATGACATTTGTCAGGGCGATTAATTATCTGAGGTTGAAGAGCCGCGGATATCGGGACTTCAAAGCCGACATAGGGAAGCCAGACTTCGAAACACCGATCAGCTCACAGGAGGTAGAGGCCAACGTTAATCATGATGTTGCAATTCCGGACCAAGTCAGCACCTTGGAGAGTCCGCAAACGAAGTCCCCAACTCACGACGTTGAGTTGCAGAGTGACCCAGACCATAGCAGTCTTGCATTGAAGCTGCGAAACCAAGCTCTTCCCGCCAATGAGCTCGATGCTCAGGTACTGAAGAAAACCGATCACCTGAGCGTCCTCCAGGTTGATAATACGGACCAAGCGATAGGCGGACCACCCCAGAAGAAGAGAAGGGTGGCGCCATCCCTGATATCCACCAACGTCCTTGGCGTGGGTAATACGCCTATCCGAACAGCTGCGGACGACCTCGCTGTACGGCTTAATGGTTCAAAAGACGCCCTGCCTCAGCCTCCTGATTCCTCGACTAGGACCTCTGCAAAAATTCACGGGGATGAAGGAAACAGGGTCTCTGCCCGGGAACGATCCACAACAGCGTACTTCGGACGCAGCGGGCTGATTACTGACAGCCGAATCCCAAAGTCAAGTCTGGTTCGGGGCACCAACGATGCAGTTGACGGCAGCAGCCTATTCCGTCTTGTTACCAAGGGCTCGATTCCCAATGGCCGGCGCCGACAAGTTAGCCGAGCAATGCGACGACTATTCCGCACGAACGACCAATCACTCGCCCTGATGCAGAGCGGTCAATCTCCCTACGTGGAACCAGAAGAGGAGGATAAGGTCCTCCCTCTCTTTGGCGACTCAGAAGACGAAGATGGCTACGACACGGAGACGAGGGAAGCAATCCAAGACGAGGAAGAGGAGTTGCAGAGGGAGATGGAACTGAAGTCCCAATACCTCACTCCAGGCGACATCGAACGCGTGCTACAGGAGGAAATCCAGCAGATGGAAAACGACTGGGACGAAAGGAAGCTGCCAAAGAAGGAGCGAAAAGCGAATGAACTCTGGAATAAAGCGCGCCGACGTGGTCTCATCCGACAAATCGCTAGCGCCACGGCCACGCTCGAGATGCTCAACACCCGCATCGAAAAGCTTTGCCAAGAGATTAGGGAAGACGAATGGCCCAACGAGGACCAGCTCAGACGACAAGCGCGCTGTCTCGAATGCAGTGTAGAGGATCGGAAAGCCGAAAGATGGCTCCTCGGCATCCTGCGAGGGCATGAGCCTCCGCGACCGGAAACAATGTCTAAGCCACGACCGATCGCTGCCAGGCGAGGTATCCTTTCGGACGAAGACGGAGAACTCATCACCAGTGGTGACGACGACGACGACGACGACGAAGACGACGGCGAAAAGGACTTCATCGTTAACGACATGCTGGATGTTACGCGCTCACCAGCCCCGGATGGGTCCGGATCTGCAAGTCCGATGAATCTGGACAAACCTGAGGAAATACTTCAACAGGACACTCACAGGCCAGGACCTCCAAGCGACAAATCGCCAGCGGACAACGTATTTGATATTCAATCCGATAATAACATCATCGATCTGACGACATACGATTCCGAGCCCGTGTCTGAAAACACCAAGGAAAATGTTATCTGGCTCGATACGCCTGAGAAGCCAAAGACGCCCCTAGCGCCAATCTCACCATCTCTTCCGGACAGCGATATTGAGGAACGGCCAAGACTGTCGCAGGAGGATCTTGAGACTCCATACGAACAATCTGAGCGAATCGGCGTCATCGCACCTAGGTTCTGGAAGCTGCATGCGGACAACAAGCGACTCCTGATCAGTGTCATCTGGCGACTCGACGACCAACGAAGGGGAGCCTTCTTCCACGCCATCAGTACGATGGCTCCGGCTGACATATGGACCGACTTCGTAATAACAGCATTGGAAGATCCTGCATCTTATGAGCAGCAATCTGCGTGCGAAATGGGCACTGTCATCGCCCGTCTCTTTAGAACTTATGTCCTCGGCAAAGCATTGTCTCCCTCGAGCGTCGCTAAGCCGATTCGCGGGCGGAAAGCCAAGAGCATCAAGGCCAAGGTTGATCGCTTTGAGGATTTCTGTGATTTTGTAAAGGACCACATCGTGCCCCATTTCCCCGATGCCACTCGAGTTACAGGCTCTGATTCAGGGACGCCTTGGAAGAACCGGCGTGAAAGTCTCGACTCTTTGGATGGCTATAGCGACGACGAGGCCGACATCCCACCGTCTAAGAAGCGGAAGCGGGTTTTCATCATTGACCAGACAGCGAAGGACCTCAGAGAAAGCGACCGACGTCGGAAGGAAGAACAGGAGAAACGGCGAGTGGAGCTTCGCAAGAAGCTGGCCGCATCCGATACCATCTCCAGCGACAAGTCACGGCTGATTATCAACGAGACCAAAGAAGACCACCAAGGGCTGGTCTACTTCAACGAAGACATTGGCAAACGGATCAAAAATCACCAGATCGATGGCGTTCGTTTCCTGTGGAATCAGATTGTTTACGACTCCAAGGTGCGACAGGGATGTCTCTTGGCTCACACCATGGGTCTCGGCAAGACTATGCAGGTCATCACCTTGCTCGTTGCAATCGCAGAGTCTGCGCAGTCAGAGGACGAAACCATTCGGTCACAAATCCCCAAGGACCTTAGGCAATCCAAAACCCTCGTGCTGTGTCCGTCGGTGCTTGTCGATAATTGGATGGATGAGTTGTTGATGTGGGCCCCTGACGGGCTTCTTGGACGTCTTTTCAAATTGGAGGCCATCACCAGAGTAGCGGAGAGAGGCCCAATGATTCGCACATGGGACGAGGAAGGAGGCGTGCTAATCATGGGTTACGACATGTTCAAGAGATTACTTGATCCCCCTACTAACGAACTCTCGCCACCTCACGATGCAAAATCGGTCAAGGACATTCTCACTCAAAGCCCCAACCTCGTTGTTGCCGATGAGGCCCACAAGTTGAAGAATCCCGATTCAAAGTTGTCAATGGCCGCCGCACAATTCAGGACACATAGTCGGATCGCACTCACTGGCTCACCGTTAGCCAACAGTGTGCTAGAATTCTTCTACATGATCGACTGGGTGGCACCTGGTTACTTGGGCCCCCTTTCGGAATTCAAGGCTTGTTATGCTGAACCGATCCAAGCCGGTCTCTACGAGGACAGTCCGAGGTCCGCTTATCGTAAGGCGAAGAAGGCACTTGCTGTCCTGGAAGCTACTGTGGCACCCAAGACACACAGGGCAACAATCAATCTTTGTCTCAAGGATGACTTGCCGCCAAAGACGGAGTTCGTGCTTACAGTCCCGGTAACACCACTCCAGGCCAAGCTGTACGACACCTTTCTTGACTCTGTGAGGAATGAGGCAAACGGCCTAGGCGGAAAAATTCTTGGTGCCGTCAACAATTTCTGTCTGATTGTCAATCACCCCAAGGCTTTCCAGACAAGATTGATAGAGGAGCGGAGCCTTCTGGGGAAGAAGGATAAATCGAACCTTACTTTAACGAGCCAGATTATCAGTGATGGTCTCAAAATCACAAAAATCCAGAAGGACATATCTTCGCCTGCCTTGTCGTGGAAGGTGAAGCTTCTCGTCGCCATTCTGGATGAGAGTGAGAAGGTTGGAGATAAGTTACTTGTCTTCACCCAGTCGATTCCGACTATGGATTACTTGGACTCCCTTTTCCGGCAGCAGAAACGAAAGGTTGCCCGTCTTGATGGCAACTCGCCAATCAGTCAAAGACAGCAGAGCATCAAGGACTTCAACAGTGGGGATACCCAGCTATACCTCATCTCGACAGCTGCTGGAGGCACTGGCCTCAACATATATGGTGCCAATCGAGTGGTCATCTTCGACTTCAAGTACAATCCTATCCACGAACAACAAGCAATCGGCAGAGCGTACCGCATTGGTCAGCAGAAGCCGGTCTATGTCTACACCTTCATTTCAGGTGGCACGTACGAACAGACTATGCACAACAAAGCCGTCTTCAAGACCCAATTGGCCTCCCGCGTTGTGGACAATGAGAATCCAAAACGATGGTCTAAAAAGGAAAACGAGTACCTCAAAGATCGTGAGGAACCCGATCAACTAGATCTAAGTCCCGTCGCTGGTAAGGATGCTGTGCTCGACAGCTTGTTGACGCATCCCGACCTGTCCCAGGGTATCCGTTCTATCATCATGACGGACACTTTCAAGGAGGAGGATACCAACGAAATCTTGACCCAAGAAGACTTGAAAGATGTGAAAGAGCAGGTCTACTTGAATTCAATCAGAAACACCGATCCGGAGAAGTTCCGCAAGCTGGAGCTTGAACGAATTGGCAGACTCCGCGCCGTGCCGTCAGTGGCTGGCATCGCGACAGTACCTCAAGCACCATATCGGCCCCTAGGCTTACCTATGGGCGGCGTTCAAACACCTGTTCCACTCCCCTCTCTTCCCGGCACAGCTTTCAGGAGTTCAAATTACGCATTGGGACAGCCTACAGCTGTGCAGAAGGTTATCGCTGCCCAGACACTGCCGTCGACTGCGTTTGTGCCAGAGCCAGCGGCGCCTTTAGAGAGAGATGAGGTGGATATGGACGCAGAGCAACGAGCTCCCCCACAGTTAGGTTCAAATGTCGCTTCGAGCGTCGAATTTGTTCAGCAGAAAACGACAGAGGTACAGTTGCTACGTTTGGATCTGAGCGACCAGCGCTAACTTAAACCAAACTACAGTCTCGAGCTGCCCCGCCTATGCCCATGGCTGGTGCCAATACGTTTTTCAGGAGCCAGCAAGGACCTTCATCTCCCTCGCCTGCAGATAAGCCTCTTCCTCCACCTTCAGCGAGGAAGCAGACGAAGTCCAACATCATTGTGTGGCCGGGTCAATTCGAGCAAAAGCTCCTCGAGTCAGTTGACAAGATCATAGACCCCGAGTTGCTGGGCGCAATTGGAGAGGACAAGAATGTCCTTGTCAAACGAATCGCCGACTCAACTTGGCACATAAGGTCTGCGATGAGTGAGGGATACTTATCTGACAATTCGCACATGAAGAAGTTGTGCAGTTTGATAGAGAATCACAGGTTTTCGGCGGCAATTCTTACAGGGCATTTGTCTCCGGCCCAGATTGCACATGCCTCAACGGAGGCAGGACTCGACAATCTTGTCAGCGAGTTGTCGCAGCTTGACGACAACACTTTCCACGAGAAACTCGGACTAAGAAAGCGCTTGGCTAAAGAACCTGACGTATGAGCCCGACCTTTTTGCTTTTTTCCGTCTTGCAACTACTTTTTCAATTTACCAAGCAGTGACTCCTCTCGCCGCTAACGACATGATCAACAGCAGCTACAGAGCGTGGCCGGCCGACCGAATCCGTTTCCAGCAACAAACCGAAGACACCCCTTCCGCGAGGAGGATGACGATGACGATGACGATATGAATATCCTGAGGGAAGTGGCAGCACGGAGGAGGCATCGTGCGCCTAGACTCCCTACATGGGCCAGCAAAGCTGTCGAGGAAAACAAGTTGGGGGAACAGCGATGAACACGAGAACCTTCATCGCCGGCGGGGCAAGGTTCGCGATTACGAAAGCGTTTGCATTGAGCCCTCATCATGGTCTGGTTGTATTGCGAGGGTCACTTCTGAGATCCTGGAAGGGCAAGGGAGTTTTGCGGCATTGCAACGCTTGATTTATGATACCCTTTCGTTTTGGCGTGCATCTCTAGTTCTCTTTGGCAGGAAGGATAGATGGGATGATCTGGGAATTGCATCAGCGTAACTGGGCGTCGGTCATAGTTGCTGAACTAGAGCTACGGAGTTGGGCAATACGTTCTTGATGCACAATTCAAAGGGAGTCGAGGTCTGTTGTGAACGGGCTTGACATCTCATTGGAGAGTTACATGAGCCGGCAAAAGTGGGTGAAGTGGCTGCGACATGTGGTGGCTCACTTATTGCTTCGTGTCTGTGAACCTTGATGATGAGTAAGACTCTGGAAACAACATGAGGAAATGCAGAGTAACAACAACCCCTCTTGGCCCCATCGTTAAGAATATTGTGCTTTGGGATCCAGTGGCAGCGGAGGGGCACTTTCGAAGCGTTCTAAGCGATGTGGCAGGTGACTAAATTCAGGCCGGAAACCTCGACGTGCCGGTTCCGCTCCCAGAGTGGTTTGCTGTCCTTTTTCGATGCCACCTCTCCTGCCCTTGGAAATATTTGGCTATTTTTGTATTACGCATGTTGATGTTCGTGTTACACGGGACAACATGTACATAAAAAAAAACGAGAGGATCATGACGGGAGCTGACGAGAGCTCATTTTCAGTCATACTTGTTCTCGGGAAGCTTCGGCATGTGCAAAGATGTTCGTACGATATATGTTTGGGTCCACCTCACTCAACAACGGTGTTTCTAGGGACATGGGGTTTGAAAAGAGACATTTGTGGGTGTTTGAGAAGAACACCGGTTGGTGTCCCAGAGGGTCGCTCCACGGAACCGAGTGACCCAGAGATGACAGCAACATCAGCAAACCCCGAAGAAAGAGCAGAAAAATACAACCAAGGGATTTGTATCCGTATTTTCCTCAGGTCATTGAAAGCCGCATATCCAACATGGACCAATCAAAAAATTGACGAATCTGCAAAGGATTGGCTCCATATGGACGGTGATTGGACAACAATCCCGATTGATTCCACTTTAAAATCGGGACTAAGGGTCCCGCACCCAACGCCGTACGACACATGGATGCGCCGCCCTTCCCCCTCCCTGGCCTGAGGGATGCTGAAAACGCAAGCGGCGACACCCCAACCCACCACCGCCTAGAACTCAGCACCTGCACCGGCCGCCCCGCCATCGCAGACCTGACCCCAGTTTGACTCGGCCCAGGCGCACGCACTAGGTACCTACCCTGCCTGCGCCTACCTAGTTAGTTTGGTGTCATGGCGACTCCCGAGTCTTCACCGGAGACACACTAAAATAAAGGACGGTCCGGGAATCTGCTCTCTTTTCCTCCTTCGCTTCTCCTCACATCCGACGAACTTCCCCTATTTCTTCTCCTTCAACCTGAAAAATCCCATATCCGTCGATCCAGGTCGACCGCTCCCTCTGCCAATTGACTTGTGTCCAGCTCTGGCGCTGACGCTTCTCGCTGGCAACACTGACCTCGCAACTCCACGTTGCGCCTCAATCGCCACACCAAAACCGCCCACAAATCTGAGTCGGATCGCCTCTTCCGAACACCTCTCACTCGAAACCCCACTCGAAACCTCGCTCGAAATCCTGCTCGCCCGTTATCATGGAGGCTGCTTTGCGTCAATCCAAGGCCATGTGCCCCTTCTTGAAGAAGGCCTCGCCCGCTAAGCTCCGCGCGCTGTCTACGTCGGCTCGTCCTCATGCCATTCAGGCGGCGCCCCAGACGGCTGTCTCCCCTTGCGGTGGAACCATGTCCAAGTTGCAGCTGCTCGCCCACCGCTGCCCCGTCATGGGCAAGGCCTTGACTGTCCAGTCGGCCCAGTACGGTCACGGCCGTCCGGCCAAGGTTGGAAACTCGTCTGTCGCCGGCATTCGCGCGCTGAGCACCAACTCCAAGCCTGGCCGCGCCAACATCCACACGAGCCGCAGCAACGATGCCCGGCCTGTTGATGCCCCCTTCATCAACGGACGTGACAGCGGTATGGAAAACCTGTTTTGAATGTAAAAATCTAGGCTAACCTTGTACCAGCTCAAATCCCTCCGACCATGTCGGCCGCTCGCCAGAACGCCGCTCCCAACGTGGGCATGAGCCATTCGGACGCTTCTAAGGCCAAGTTCAACTATGAGGCCTATTACACTGCCGAGTTGGACAAGAAGCACAAGGACAAGTCGTACCGCTACTTCAACAACATCAACCGCCTTGCCAAGGAATTCCCCCGGGCGCACATGGCTGAGAAGGGAGAAAAGGTGACTGTTTGGTGTGCCAATGACTACCTCGGAATGGGCCGCAACCAACACGTTCTGAAATCGATGCACGAGACCCTGGACGAGTATGGTGCCGGTGCTGGCGGAACGAGAAACATCTCTGGACACAACAAGCACGCCGTTGAGTTGGAGGGCACCATCGCCAAACTTCACGCCAAGGACGCTGCTCTTGTCTTCAGCTCATGCTACGTTGCGAACGACGCCACCCTGGCTACGCTGGGTAGCAAGATGCCCGAGTGTGTAATCCTGTCTGACAGCTTGAACCATGCGTCCATGATTCAGGGTATCCGTCATTCTGGGACCAAGAAGGTCGTGTTCAAGCACAACGACGTCGCGGACCTCGAGGCGAAGCTGGCGTCGCTGCCCCTCCACGTCCCCAAGATTATTGCTTTCGAGTCGGTGTACAGCATGTGCGGTTCCATTGGCCCCATTGAGGCCATCTGCGACTTGGCGGAGAAGTACGGCGCGATTACCTTCCTCGATGAAGTCCATGCTGTCGGCATGTACGGCCCGCATGGAGCCGGTGTCGCGGAGCATCTGGACTTCGAAGCGCACCAGCAAGGCCGCCCGAAGGGCAGCATCATGGATCGCATTGACATCATCACCGGTACCCTCGGCAAGGCTTACGGATGTGTGGGCGGCTACATTGCCGGCAGCGCCAAGCTTGTCGATATGATCCGCTCTCTCGCTCCTGGATTCATCTTCACCACCTCTTTGCCGCCTGCTACCATGGCTGGCGCAAAGACGGCCATCGAGTACCAGATGGAGTACGATGGTGACCGCCGCCTCCAGCAACTCCACACCCGCGCAGTGAAGGAGGCCTTGAACGATCGCGACATTCCGGTCATTCCCAACCCTTCCCACATCATCCCTATTCTGGTTGGCAACGCCGAGCTTGCCAAGCAGGCGTCTGACATGTTGCTCCAGGATTACCAGATCTACGTGCAGTCCATCAACTACCCCACCGTTCCCGTTGGCCAGGAGAGACTGCGCGTCACGCCTACCCCAGGCCACAAGAAGGAGTACCGCGACCAACTTGTCCAGGCCCTCGACGAGATCTGGACCAAGCTTGGCATCAAGCGCACCTCCGAGTGGGCTGCCGAGGGCGGCTTCATTGGCGTCGGAGAGGCGGACGCCGCTCCCGAGGCGCCCTTGTGGACCGACAACCAGCTTGGCATCGAGCAGGCTGCGAAGGAGATCAAGGCCGCGGGCAATATCAGCAACGGCTTCGTTGAGGCCCTGCTGGAGCGTGAGGCCAAGGCGGCTGGTCAGGCCGTGAGCTCTACTATTTGATTCCGTTCTATTGCCGGGTTGTTTGACCCGGTACGTTTGTGACGTTGATATCTAAAGGGGAGCTCAGCAGACCTAGACCACGTTCTTTGGAGCGATCAACGACGATTTGATTTTACCACGCGCCCGTGGCCTGTTGTTCTCTTTCGATTTGAGACTTTTTATCTACACGATAGTTGCTCTCAGTGTTGGTCGCATCACCATTAGTTTACAAAATGAATGTCATTCATTGACACATTATTCACCATGTTGACTTCTGTCTATAATTTCTGTGATGCTGAGTGATGAGTGCCTGCCGTTTGTAAAGGTCATCCGAAGTAACGCGATTGGGATGCCGATGCATGCTGACCCCCGCTACCGAAGAATGATGCGAGTGCGGCAGATGGGGTAGCCCGCTTCAGCCCATCAGCGGGCAGGCTGTCGCCACGCCACCACACCTCTCGCATGGAGCGGGCCTTCTGGGTGGCTTGGCTCTTTAGTCAGCAGCTCCGACGGAGACGGACGCACAGAATTGCTCCGTCTCCGTTCGACGAGTGCCATCTCAGCCCCCGTTATTGGTTGAAAATGCCCACCATGACTTACACGAGTTCAGGAGAACCGTCATGAAGCCATAACTCAGTTCAAGGCTTACGACGCGAACATTGGAGAGACGAGTGTTTCGTGTTGTGTTCGTTCCCTTTTCTTCCCTTTCTCTCACATGCCCGTGAACCCAGTTCATTGTTGGCTCTCATGACTGTCTAAAGATTTCCTCAAGATGCAGATGGATTTTGAGCAAAGAAACAAGGGGCCTCGGGCCTGTACCACCTGCGCCAAAGCGAAGGCGAGATGTATCCCGGGACCGGAAGGGAGCAACAAATGCGAACGGTGAGCCGCCTCCATCCCAAGCCCCTCTTTTATCTTCTCCGTAGAGATTTCTGATGATTCATCCAGATGCTACCGGCTCCGGAAGCCGTGCGGCTCGCAGACCCCTGCGCCGCCGAGGCCGAAAAAGGACCCAAGGCCGACAAAGGTCTCGGAGCTTGAGAAGAGGCTGGACGAGTTGACGACGCAGCTGAGCGCTTCCCAAGGTAGTGTCATTGCCACTCCTGCCTCCACCACCGCCGCCGTCAATGGCACCGCCGCCGGCAGCGCAAACTCCCCGCTCCCGCCCAGTAACAGCATCAAACCGGCGTCGGCAAAGATTCCAATCAACTGCGATCACCTCTTCCCGCCAGAGGACGTGCTCGCGGGTGATGGCACGGGGGCCGGCGCATCTGATACGTCGCCGGCGCCGAGTTCTTCGACGGCGGATGACCACCACACCGTCAGCAGCCACGGCCAGAGCCAGTCCGACGTCGCTGGCGAGTCGACGTGGCCGCTGAACAACGAGCAGAGCATCATGCTGCAGACTTTCGTGGACGATCTGCAGCCGCTTTACCCGTTCGTGATTGTGCCGCCGAACATGAGCCCGACACGGCTCGCTGCCGAGAGGCCGTTTTTGTGGAAAGGGATCCAGATGACGGCGAGTTATCTGGATGCGACGAAGCAGGTGACGTTGGGGAACGAACTGCTGCAGGATATCGTGCAGGCGGCGTTCACGAAACCCGTTCGGAGTCTGGACGTGCTCCAGGGCCTGCAGCTTTTGATTGCATGGTGAGGCGGTGAAACCCGAGGGATCCGGGACTCGATGAAGCTGACTTGGGCGGGCGCAGGTTTCACTACAACATCAACAGTTATCAGCTTACGAACTTTCTATTCTTGGCGAGGTCCATGTGCGTCAGCCTGGGCTTCAAGGACAACCCCATCCATGTCAAGGAGCGGGGGAAGGGGGTCTGCAGCATCAGCGTGCAGAACCCAGACGCCGATTCCAAGTCGAGGCCGCAGACCAAGGAGCAGATCTCGGCGCGGCTGGAACTGATGAGGGCTTTCGCTGGTTGCTACTACCTCAACACGCTGTAAGTGCACCCTGACGAAAGAAGCTGCACAGCCTTGGTTTCGACTGACAACTGGAACAGGGTCTTCACGACAAACAAGCGGCCGGATGCTTTCATGAACACCGCGCATCTCGAGTCTTGCTGCCGACAGATTGAAGAAGCCGCAGAGTACCCCACCGATGAGCTCCTGGTGCAGCTGTTCAAGATCCAGCAGCTCGCGCAGACCATCTCCCTTACGCTGGGGGCCGAGAGTACGAGTTTCCAGTCGCTGCAGCTGCCGCTGACCATAGTCGTCCAATCGTTCCAGCAGCAGCTCGACATCTTCAAGACATCACTCCCGGCACACCTTAAGGACAACCGTAAGCTTGGACGCGCGTATTCTTCCGGTAACAATTGTTGCTAACAGCCCCCACCCGCCAGTTGGCCTTCTCACACACATCAGTATCGCCGAGATCCTCCTCTATGAGATCGGCATCCCGGAAGGCCAGGGCCCGGCGTCCGTCATCTCGCTGACGGAACGCCTCGAGCTCCTCTGGGGCTGCTGCAGCGCTGCCAAGACGTTCCTCAACCTTCGCTTCCCGCACAACAACCAGAGCGTCCAGCCGCGCTTCACGTGCCTCAGCTCCTCCGACTTTCTCTACGTCTTCATTGTGTGCCTAAAGCTCATGACGCTCGAGGTGCCCGGGTGGGACCTGACGCTGATCCAAAAGCATCTGGACCTCGCGAGGGTGGTGGAAAGCCAGGTCGCGCATCTGGATATTTTTGTGGCGCACAGGAACAGGCGCTCCACGAGTGCCACTGCTGCGGCAGGGACGAACCCAACTGCATCGTCAACGGACGTCCCCGGCCCGTACATCGTCGACCCGTTCGTGCGGGTGACAGAAATGCTGCGGTACTTCAAGGAGCTGGTCAAGGGCGAGCTGAGCACGTTCCGGTCGCAGCCCGCCATCCAGGAGCCGATCCAGCTGCCGGCGAACCTGTCGGACGGCACGCAGGCCATGATTCGGGACCTGGACGCGACCTTCTGGAACGGGATGCTCGGCGATGACCCCGGGACGTGGGACGTCGGGTCCATGTTTACTGGCATGGACTGGACTGCCACGTGAGGAGACGGCTCTCGGATTCGTGCGGCCGGGACGACGTACGAAAGGTAGACGATCTGTATTACCACTAGAAAAGGGGGGGGATGGGACGACGCATACGAATGTTACGACTGAATGACATGGTAAAGGACGAACTCCGCTCCTGGATGAACGACCAATCTCATCTCCGATCGCGCAACAGCCTACGAGAATGGGAAACTGAGCCTGGAAGGAAGCCGGATACGGCTTGCATAACCTGCTGCTTGGTGCAGAGGGCCGGCGAGTAGGTGGCGCCGAGAACCATGCACGTTATAGGAGAGGAAATATCCTGGGCATGGCCGGAGTCGGTCGGCCGACTACAAACCATATGTAACAGTACAGCTCTGGGGGTTTCGTGTATTTTCTGAGAGGACACACGGCAGGCCGTTAAAAACTGTATTAATATTGAAAGGGGACAATGACATTGCATCTAATCACACGCATGGAACGTGTTTTAGAAGGAAACACCATCTCGAGTCAAAACAAACGCGGGATATACATCCAAGTGAGTGAACTTTACAATGCTTGGCCAATGTATATGCATCTTTGACGGGCGGCCCAGTCCGTTGCAGAAGTCTAAATAGTTGATGTCATCGTCAACCCCACCTGTGCAGCCGCATCCCCCCGGTTGCGCCATCGGCGCCGTTCCTCGGCCGCGGATATCCGCAAGCACGCCAGCAAAACGCGGCGCCGAGAGCGAACCTCGTCGGCAATCGTCCCACGATACAACACTCGCTCGCTTTGACGCACCGTCTCTCCCCCCTTCCCTTCGTAGCAGAAGACCCGTACGTGAAACCCCAAGGAACCAGAGACGAAGAAAAAAAGAGCCGCCGCCGCCATGCCCCAGCCCACGGTGGACTACTCCCTGTACCTGGTCACGGACTCAACCCCCGCGATCCTCGGCGACCGCGACCTCGCCTCCGTCGTCGCGGCCGCCGTCCGGGGCGGCGTCACCGTCGTGCAGTACCGCGACAAGACGAGCGACACGGGCGCCCTCGTCGCCAACGCTAAGAAGCTGCACGAAATCACCCGCGCCGCCGGCGTGCCGCTGCTCATTAACGACCGCGTCGACGTCGCCCTGGCGGTCGGGTGCGAGGGCGTGCACATTGGGCAGGATGACATGGGTGAGTGCTAAAGACAAACATCCCGCCTTTCTCTCTGTACTTTTTGTAGCCATGGCCCTATCTAGCACCCCCGCATTTGGTCACACATTGCTACGAGACTCGTGACTGACACCCCCATTAGAACTCACCGCCGCCAGAAAGATCCTCGGCCCGGATGCCGTCATCGGCGTCACGGCCAGCACTGTCGAGGAGGCCCTCAAGGCGTGTGAGGACGGCGCGGACTACCTAGGCATCGGCACAGTCTTTGCAACATCCACGTACGTTGACCCCGGTCCCCTCAGTCCTCAGTCACTCATCTCATCCCATCTCACCACCTCCTCACTCGCCTGACCACCCGGTCCATTGTCTCACTCCCCGTTGCTCGGCTCGCTAACGCCAAGCAGCAAGGAGAACACAAAACACATCATCGGCACGGCGGGCCTGCGCCAGATCCTCGCCGAGCTCGCCTCGGCCGGCCACCTCCCCCGCGTCAAGACCGTCTGCATCGGCGGCATCAAGCCCTCCAACATCCAGCGCGTCCTCTACCAGTCCGCCCCTTCGCCGCCCGCGGGCCCGGCCCTCGACGGCGTCGCCCTCGTCAGCGCCATCGTCGCCGCGCCCGACCCGGAAGCCGAGTCCCGCCGCCTGCTCGACCTCGTCAGGACCAGCCCCTCGTACCGGCAGAATGTCTCGCCGTCCTCCGCCGCCGGCCCCCTGAGGACCGTCGACGACATCCTCGACCGCGTCCCCGCCGTGATCAAGGCCGTCGCCTCCGCCTCCCCGCTCTCCCACAACATGACTAACCTCGTCGTGCAAAACTTCGCCGCAAACGTCGCCCTCGCCGTCGGCGCGTCCCCGATCATGGCCAACTACGGCGAGGAGGCCCCCGACCTCGCCCGCCTCGGCGGCAGCCTCGTCGTGAACATGGGCACCGTCACGCCCGACGGCATCGCCAACTACCTCCAGGCCCTGTCCGCCTACAACGCCGCGCGCCGCCCCGTCGTCTTCGACCCCGTCGGCGCGGGCGCCACGTCCGTCCGCAAGGCTGCCGTCAAGACGATCCTGGCCGGCGGGTACCTCGACCTCATCAAGGGCAACGAGGGCGAGGTCGCGACCGTCTACGGGCAGGCGGCGCTGGAGCAGCAGAAGGGCGTAGACTCGAGCTCGACGCTTTCGCATGCGCAAAAGGCGCGCCTCGTCCGGGACCTCGCAAGGAGGGAGAGGAACGTGGTGCTCATGACGGGCGTGACGGATTACGTGTCCGACGGCGAGCGGACGTTCGCCGTGGAGAACGGGCACGAGCTGCTGGGTCAGATCACGGGGACGGGGTGCGTGCTGGGGACAACGGTGTCGGCCATGCTGGCGGCGTGGGACGACGACCGGCTCGTTGCCGTCCTGGCGGGTTTGTTGCATTTCGAGGTTGCCGCCGAGCGGGCCGCCGTCCGGGGGGATGTGCAGGGCCCCGGGACATTTGTGCCTGCCTTCATTGACGAGCTGGCGAGGATACGGCGGTTGACCGTTGACGGGGACTTGAAGTGGCTGTCTGGGGCCAAGGTGAAGGCCGTCGATGTCGAGTGAAGCGTCCCTCAAACCAGGCCCGTGCAGGAGAGAGAGAGCGATGAAAGAAAAGTCTGTGTATAGCGAAACAAGACTCGAAATCTTTAATGATGCACGTCTAAAGGGGGTCTATCGCCCATTAAAACCAAACCACCGACCCTTAAATCTTGGGCGCCAAAGCCTGCAAAACCTCCTTGGTATCTTTCCCTGTGTCCTTGACCAGCCCGACAATGCTCTTGAACTCGGGCCTTGCCGCGTCCCCCATCATCTCGTAAATCACACTCTCGCTCGTCGTGACCGTGACGCCCTCGTGCCGCAGCCGCGCCAGCGCGATCGGCACCTCCTCCCGGTTGCAGCTGCTCACACCGTCCGCGAGGACGTACACCTTGTGCCCGGCCGCCAGCAGGTCCAGCGCCGTCTGCGTCACGCAGATGTGCGACTCGATCCCCACGACCAGAAACTCGTGGGGGCCCTTGCCGTCAAACTGCGCCGCGATCTCGGGCACCCACATGCTGAACTTTGTCTTGTCGACGGGCGCGCGAATCAGGTCGGATTCCTTGAGGAACGACGCCAGCTCGGAGACGGTGTCGCCAAGGCGCGCGCGGTTCTGCGTCGTCGTGTAGACGGGGATCTTGAGGGTCTCGGCGGCGCGGAGGAGCTTGGACGTCGTCTTGACCACCTTGTCGAACTCGAAGATGGCATTGCGGAACTTGTCCTGGAGGTCGCAGACGCTGTGGTGGTCTCGGGTTAGCCATGCGTACGCTTCCTTACGTCACCAAAGCTTTAGGAGGGCCCGGGGCGGTGTCGTCAACGCACAAGATGATCGGCCTTTGCAGGCGGCGAGCTGCGGTGCCGGACATGGTCGCCGTTGTGAGGGAGCGGGGTCGGAGTGAAAGCCGGTGCGGTCGTGGCTGGATGAATTGGACGCACTGGAAGGGGATCCGAAGTGTTCGCGCAATGGGCATTTCCCGAACACAGGATCCAAGGTCAATGAACGTCAATCGAGGCTATTACAAAGATGTACTCGGTCAGGAGCTTGGAAAGTGGTTGACTTTGATCAATCGTCATATTGCGGGGGAACGGAGCGCGGGGCGCGACTAAGTGGGGTAACTTAGTACCGGGCCCGGCCCCTTTGACCTAAGTCCCGAGTTTGAGGCGTGCTGCGCGGAGTGTGTGCATACATACATCTCTGCAATGTAACAATGGTACGAGTAACCCAGTACTTGTTGGTTGGCTAAAGGGGGCATGTCCAGCCGTCAATCATTACTTTGGCCCACAGGGATGGGTAAGTGGGCAAGTGGGCAAAGGATTTTCGATGCAGCCAACACTGTGGACTGCTCTGCGGCGCCACGCTGCCGATCAGGCGTGTGCAGTCTGAAAAACACTGGAGATGGTTGTGAGATCGTGGAATTTTTATTTTTGTTTCCGCCAGGCGGACTTTTCTAGCCGTCGTGCTATGAAACCTATCCTGTCCTGGTACACTGAATGGCTACCAGTCAGCCTGTCTCGCGCAGTACTGAAGTCACCCCGCCTCCTCATGTGGGAAGGGGTCGTTTGGTCAAAGCAAAGGAAAAAAAGATTAGTGCTCTCGCGCGTCGTGTTTGACCACCTTTACGTCAAGTGCCACCGGGGCCTGTTCTTTTCTCTTCCGCACCAACTACTCGGCCGTTGCCGTGGGCTTCGCTTTGCCGGCCGGGTTCATCCACGAAAACGCAGACGCGCCTCCGATTGGGTTCACCGACCGGGGCAAAGGCGGGCCGGCGTTCTTCGTTTCGCGTTGGGCCTTGGGTTCCGCCGTACTGCTGACACTACTAACTGTCCTCTTGGGTTCCCAGCGAACCGCTGCTGGGGGCGTGCTCTCTGCCACTAGACTGGCCTGGCTCTTTCGGCGGTGTTCGCCGCTGGTCCTGGGCGCTGGAGGCGGCTCATAAGCCGCCCCGGTTCGGGCAGAAGATGATGAACCCGATTTCAGGGGCTTCAGCACCTTCATATTCCGACTTCCGCGACCCGCAGGCTGGTAGCCGCTCAAGGGACCATTGGCGTCCCGCTGCCCGTTCTCGCTACCGCTTGCCGAAGTACCCTGACGCCATGAGCCCCAAATGCCACCAGCAGACTCACGTCGGCTGCCATCTGTGCTGGCTGAACTGTTTTGCACCATCAGAGGCTCTCTCGCTCCAGACTCGGACCCACTGGCGTGATCTTTACCTGCCCTCTCACTCTCCCCGCCACTTTCAGACAGGTTGCTGGCTCCAATCGACTTGTTGGGTACAGAGTGATGTCCCAATGGAGATAAGGGGCCCTGAGACTCGGCATCCTCAGGTTGCATGCTAGAGACGCTATTTTCCAGTGCATCGTGCATCGTAGAGGCCTGCGGTCGTGGGTCCCCAGATACGAATGGCGCGGCGTTGGCGTTGAGGCGAGGCTTCTCCGGGATGAAGTTGGTTGTGCTGATGTGCTTGAACGCGCCTTCATCCTCTGGGCGTACGAATGGCACTGATAACTTTTCACGCTCGCTGCCATACAGACACATGCGGTTCTGGGACAGGAGGATATCGGCCTGATGAGCACGGAGGGTGTCGCTGCCGATGAAAATCTGAACGCCCTTCTTTGGTTCGGCTCCTTCGGACTGCTCCATGCCAGACACCTCGAACGTAGTCAGAAGGCTAGGCATCTGATGGCCTGGGCTTGAAGACCGACTGCTACGTTCGGACACGGTCGCTTCGACTAGGTACACGGAGAGTCGGATCTTGTACGTGCCGTCCACATCACGTTGAACCTCGTCCAACAAGTCAAGGTCCTTGACGACAGAATAGTCCACCACAGACTTTTGGGAACCCGTACACAGATCGGCATACAGCACCGTATCGTGGCAAAAGTTGGTCGTGAGCCAGCATCGGATGATGGTTGGTACGGATCCCAAGAAAAAGAGGCCTGGTGGCGGCTCTGGCATGTCCAGGGGAGAGTCATCTTCGTGGCTGCTGACCATGAAGTTGGTGTCCAGACCCAAGCTACTGGCTCGGCCAGATGCCACGGAATGGAAGGAGTGAACTGAATGGCCCGCTGAACTGTGACGGCCGTCCGATTTATGAGATAACGACCTCTCCATCATCAGGCCACTGCTTGGGCGTGGAGGTCCAAACTCGCCAGAGTGGCGGTTGCTTTGACTAGACCAGTCTGCTCCCCGCAGTGCACTTTCGTCAAACCGTACACTGTTCGCTCGAGAGGCAGCGCCGCGGCGGGTAGGCTCTTCTTCGGCAGGGCCGAGATGGAGGGAGCTCAGCAAATGCTGACCTTGCTCGTCGAAATCATCAAACATGTCGTTGGGTGATATATGGGTCGGCCCTGGTACATATAACGTCAGCAATGTATGGATGGGAATGGAGATACATGGTGGCCCTACCTTGCTGGGGAGTTCCGGCTAGAACGCCAGGAAAGGGATGCTGCTGCCACACCGACTTGAGGCTTGCATCTTGCTCCTGGCGCCTTTCTAGTCTCACAAGTCTTTCGCCCTGATTGCTCTGAACCAGTTGGATTTGCTTCAAATCCATCTGGATGTTGAAGAGATCGTCACGGGTGATTGGGAACCGGTGATCCATGCCCGGAAATGGTCCCGATCAACTGAGTATGGTGTTTCGAGGTCGAGGGAATCGGAAAGTATATGGGATGGGATATACGTTGGCAGATGAGGAAAGGCAACAGCAAGCGAGTGTATCGGGATCGGATCGTGACCGAGCGGAAGCGCCAGCGAGGGTATCGGCAGAACAGGTGGAAGTGAAGGATCGGTCGAGTAGAGGGATACACTCATATAGGGGGTTGTCGAGTGCAGGCGCGTTCGAATGACGGGTCGAGGAAGGCTGTGGGCTCTTCCGACCTCGATCCCTACGATATCAGTTCACGAGGTCCTCCTCCCCCGCCACATCGCACGGTGAGACCAAATAGGTCGTCAACGGCAGTGGCAGCAAACGCAATTCCGATGTTCTTTCGTTTGACAGTTGGGTCTTCTCTCAGGATCCAGTCGATCTGAGCGACTGCGGCAGCTCAAGAATGGCGACGGCACTATGCTGGCTTTGCACGATGGTCAGTGGAGGCGGAATTGCCCCGAGGAGGATGGCTTCGGAAGGTCGTGGATATCGGCAGGATTTCGATGCCGCGACGCAGTCAAAGGTCGAGCTTATCGAGCACAAAGATATACGGGAACCGTGTGCAAACGGGAGTAGAGTTCGAAGGAAGGCTTCTTCTCTTTGTAGTTGAAGAGTGTCGTGTCGTCACTTGAAAGTGCTAGCGAGGAGCGGGAGTGATTGATACGGTTCAGGGCCGACGGCGGGCTCGCGAAAGAGCCGATTGAGTAGGGTGGGATGTAACGGAGGTGGCGTCGGAAGGAGTAATGGTTCGAAAAGGTTACTGCTAGGTTGAAGCAGACTGTCGAGCGTTTCGTGGCAAGGAGTTGAAGAGGGGAGGAGTTGAGGAAGACAAACAAGATCTCGGGGCCAGTTTAGAAAGGCACGTCGAATTAGTGAAGTGGAAGGGACGTGGACGGAGAGAAGGCCAGGCTCGAAGGAGGTGAGGTGAACGGGCAGCGACGGGAGTGGAGGATGGACCGGGCCAACGCGAGGTGTGGTCCCAGAGGTTCGGCCTGTGGCTGTATACGTATGGATGTAACCTGGATGTAGTGGTCTCCAAGTGTTGCCAGAGAGCCTGCAGCTTCTACAGGAAGAGAGCCGCTGTTGGCCTCGTGCAGGGCAACTCCGGGTACTCGGACAAGGAGGGGATGAGGCCCAGTACCTCTCGGCTTGATCCAGTGCGCTAGACCCGGACTTTGGAGGTACTCGATAAGTACCTTGCCACGGCCGCAACACACTGCCTGGGGAGGTACTTCCCACTGGACTCGCCCCTGTGCAGTGCAGTGCAGTGCAGTGCAGCGCGGTGCTCGCAAGGCCAAGCAAGTCGTGGCCCTCCACCAACTGGAACTTGCAGCGGGGCCACCAGTTGTTTGTCGCGCTGGCGTAGTGTGACGCGGTGGGAAGGGCTGATTGGGAGGGGCCTAATTTCAGTGTTAGGGGACGTGCTGAAGACTCCAGGCGTCATCCGTCCCACCCAGGCAGACCTGCCTTACACGCCGCTGCTATCACTTGCGAGCCGCACTTCCGTCCACAAAAAAAAAAAAAAAAAAAAAAAGTGACTTCCTCTACTTGCTCACCTCCTGCAGACACTTCAAACTCTAAAGCAGCTGAGATGTCGATGCAGAAGCAGTCGAGATCTACCCCCCGTTGCTAGGATGGACTCGCAAAACTCCGCATCTTGGCTGTCTTGCCTTGCCACACGCTACCTCGTGTTCCCACCCTGGCAGGGTAACCTCGCCGAGGCCAACGTAGCCTACGTTGGGCAGTCAGTGAGAGTATATGCATGGCACAGAGGTAGGTTTGGCGAGTTGCTATACTCATCCATGAGTATGGGTGGGTATATCAAAAGTCGGTACGTCCGGCCGGAACAAGTCCAGTCCTAGAGCAAAATATTACCCAATGCGCTGCTGAAATAGCATTGATTCTTGTACGTCGTCGGCAACCCCAATGGCCTGCCGTGGAATGCCAGGCTGACGAAAGAAACAAAGGCTTGGGTAGATGTTGTCGCTGGCGGTTCAAGACATGTCTCATAACAGCATGTCTTGTTGTGGCTCGGGACGAGGAAACGCGCGAAGATAGGTCAAGCTACGACATGATCAAACCAAATAGCGAAGGATTTTCACATGCTCGTCAGAGCACAAGGGCCGAAATTATATTTTTTTTCTTCTCAAGGTCTGGAATCACGCAGTTTCTAAACACGGCTTGATTTCTAATGCTCCTGCAGGGCACATGCAGCATCGCATGGACCCCTCTATTAGCCTCCCCCTTCATGTCAGAGTGCCCTTATCACGTCTACGCCGGAGGGTTCAGATCACGCCAGTCCGGGAAGATGTAGCCCGTACGATCGTCCTCGGGCAACCCCGCCCACTCTTGGCCGATGTGAGGCACCACCGTCTTGTAAAACACCCTGTACGCCTCGCCGCTCATGTGGAGGCCGTCCGGGAGGAGGTCCGCCAGCCCGCCCTGCTCGCCGAGCTCCGGCGTGCCGAGCAGGGGCCCTCCGGTCTTGAACCCAGGCGTCTTGGACACGGCGTGGTCCATCAAGGCCTGCCACAAGTCAATCAGAACCACACCGGGAACCTCGGCCGCCACGTCTCGGGCCGCCTGGGTGTACTCGGCGCTGATCTTGGAGGTCCGCGTGGCCTTTGTGTGACCCCAAGCCAGGTCGAGCTCGGTTATGCGAATCTCATCAATGGGCGGCGGTGTAACAAGAAGAATCTTGGGGTTATGAGCCGTGATGTTGGGGTGCGTGACGATCTTGAGAAGGTTCTCCTTGTAATCCTTCAACGGGACATGTTGCGTCGTGGTGTCCATGGGCCGGACAGCATCATTTGCGCCGAGAAGCACCAACTGGTCAAGACTTCAGCACAGCGCCCCCTGAAAGAGGTTTGTCGCACTCACAAGATACTTCAGTCGTGGTCCGGACTCTGAAGGAGGGGAAAACATCTCAGAGAGATATTTGAGAGCGTTCGCTGTATTCCAGCCCGAGAAGCCGCGGTTGACCACATCGTAGCGGCGCATCACGTCTGAGAGGCGGTCTGTAAGCTCGAGGACGGAACTCAGACTTGGGTAAACTTACGGCATTGAAGCTCTGCTTGGAACGAGAAGCCATCGGACGTCACGGCAGAGCCCTGGAAAAGGGAGTCTCCGAAGAGCACGATTTGAGGGTAGGGGTTCTGCGATCACAGTGAGTAACTCGCCTTGGTTGCACAAGCTCCCCGAATCATAACTCACAGCCATGTGGGAAAGTGTCGCAGGAGCCAAGATGTATTGACAGCAGGTGGTGTGAGAAGTAACTTGGCTGTGGAGTATTAGATAGTTAGGAGCAATCTTCTATGTGTAAGAAAAGGTTTGGTTGTTCAGTCAGACGAAGCGCACACTCGATTCCCGGTGTTGTGTCGCTCGGCCTTAGTTCTATCTTACTCGATTAGTCCCTACAGGCACCCCGCAGAACCCCTCTGAATCCCGCAATCACCACGGAGCCACTTGCACGGCATGGCAGCCCGCATAGCCGAAGGCACGACATGGCAACTGGTCAAGCTGGCTGTCTGCGGTTATCGGCCTATCAATAGTACGAAATGGCCGTGCCAGTCGCCCCGAATTGGGGAAAGCAAACAGGGTTCCTTTCACAAGACAAATAACAGCGGCGGAACGCTGCAATGACTCTTGACTACGAGATATGCTATAGGCAAGTATACCTGTTCACCAACAAAACATGAGCTATGGCTCGAGATTACACCATGACAGTGCAGTAGTCGTTTGAAAACCACCAGAATTTTAAGAATCAATGGATGGATGAATGTAATAAACCTTATAGTGGGGTGAGCTTAACAAGCTTCAAGCAACTGCGCGGATTCCTGAGATTCCAGAAGACTTGAGCTGGCGTGCAACGGTAGTCAAAAGTCCAAGAGGGACGGACGGTGGGGTCGACGCCGTCATACCCACTTTCTTATCGATAAGCATGGTGATTCGCTGCGCACCTTATCAGCAAAAAAAAAAGTCGGCGTAACTAATACCCGCCCAGAAAAAAAATCGAGAATCCCCGGTACATGCTCTAGGAAAAATCCTAGTCTTGTAGGACTCCCCGCCATTGAGTATTCAATCACTGCGGAATGCCGCAAAACTTCTGAAATATGGCGTCCTCTCTTGCTGCGCAGCTAGCGCAGATCGCCGCCAACTCCAAGGCTTCCTTGGATGTCAAGGCGCAAAAGGCCGCCCATTCCAAGTCCCTGATCTTCGAGCCGAGAGTTGCTGCGACCCAGAGCTACCAGACACTTTACACGATATGCTCCGAGGGCTTTGAGGAGCTTTGCGAACTCGATGGCCGCTTCAAGCCCTTCTCCAAGACGCTCTTCAGCGAGCAGAGCATGAGCGAAGACCGTACCCAGATGACTGCCGCCGAAAATGCCGAACTGGATAAGAAAGTCGAGTCCTTCCTCCGCCTTGTCGGCAGCCGATTGAGGCTCATGCCTTCGATCCGGGCCCTCGAGTGGCTTGTACGGAGATTCAGGTATGTCGGTTTCGGTCCATGCTATGTTGTTGTGTCTAATTGTGTAATAGGATTCACGAGCACAACACCAAGTCTCTCATTACAACTTTCCTCCCATATCACTCGATCCCCGCATTCGTCACTTTGCTCTCGATCCTCCCGTCCAAGATTCCTCACGAGTACCGATTCTTGAGCCCTTACATCAAGTCGCTCACCTCGCCCCCGCGATCCGTTTTGATCCACGAAGCGATTCACAAGGCTGACTTCCTTAACACTCTGTCTGAATACACGCTCGAGGCATGCAGAAACCAACAACAATACCCGACTTTGGTCTCGTTCTGGGGTGGCATAATGACGGAGGCTGTGAACGGACTTCTCGAGAACATGCGATCCGGACGCGCCGCTGTTCAGCAGGACAACAACGAAGCCTTCTTGCACCGTGTCGGACCTACTCTCGCCGAGGCAATGTCGATGAAGAAGGTTCCCAACATGCAGATTGCCTCCTACATGGCTGTCACCATCGTTGCGGCCAAGGGCAGCTTCGACGACGCGACTCTCTCGGCGTTCATGGAGCAGATCGTGCACGGTTGGACTAGCGAGACTGTGCGGCCGGGGCTCGTCTGCTTGTGCATCCTGGCGCAGTACCGGTCAGCGAAGCAGCTTTCCGGAAAGGTCACCAAGGCCTTGTTGAAGGTTCAGAACCTTGGCGAGATCCTGGTCGAGCTGGGCCAGGAGAGGAGAGTTGACAAGCTCACCAACGGACTTTGCATTGCCTTTATCGAACGTTTGTGCAAGAAGGGCGACGCTCGCGGCCTGCCGATCATCCGCGCCATCTTGATGAGCAAGATCCTGAAAGAAAAGCAGATTGCTGTCATTTTCAAGTCCCTGGTGCTGGCTGCACACAGACTCGACGACGAGGTTGACAAGGACGGTGAAATCCGCAAGGAGCTTGGCTCAACATTGATCGATTTGTCTCGCTTTTCTGGAGAGACTAGTGAGATTATTCGGACAGTCCTGGAGGAGGTCGATTTTGATGTTGAGGAGCTGGAAATGAAGCTCGACGTTTCCATTCGCCAAAGAAAGGCCCTGCCAGGCTCCCAGGAAGACGTTGAGATGGATGAGTCCAAATCCTCTGCCCCTTCAAAGGAAGACTTGAGGGAGACTATCCAGGAGCTATCGGGCCAGAAGCGCGCTCTCCCCTCCTGCCTTTCTACCAGCACTGGAGAGGTTTACGACGAATTCAGCCGACTTTTCCTCCGCGTTGTCTCACAGCAATCCGAAGACCCGACCTTGCTTGCTGATTTCGACCAGCTGCCATCTCTCAGCCGACAGACGGCAGTCAGCGATCACACTTACATCACCTTCTTTGTTCGTATCTGGTCAGGTCCTTACCCGACTCTCGCTCGCGCTGCCGCTGTGGACGCGGTCAGAAGACGTCTCAGCGACGGTGACGGTAACGACCTCGATTTCCAAGCTCTCATCCCCTACTGCCTCGTGGCTCTAGTCGATTCGTCCAAAAAGGTGCGGCGTGCTGCTGCCGAGCTCCTGATCCAGATCGGCCATTTCTTCCCCCATCAGTCAAAGGCCGCGAAGAAGTCCGTCTGGGGCGGTAAGAAGCTATACGACGACAGCACCAACGTGCAATGGCTGGACGCCGATATTGTTTCCCGCCTTCTGCACGGCGTTATCCTTCCGGCTCTTGAGGAATGCATTATGCACGAAGACTACATTCGCGCAGTACTGCACACTACCCTCGACAGCAGCGCAAAGAACGAGGGCAGCGACGGAAAGAAGGCACTCAGCTCGTCGGGCAGAATATCGGTTCTTTCGTTCCTCGCCAGCCATATCGTTGCAACGCCGCTGCTCCGGGTCAAGTCCAATCTTCTTTCAATCCTGAACCGTATCAGAGGAGTTTCGTCCACTTCGAGGACGAAGGTGCTGCTGCCGGCGTTTCAGTGGTGGGCGTCCTTGTCTGCTGAAGAGACAAGCCGTCTTTCCGAGGCTGAAGAGGTGGACCAGGCTGTGCTTCACACCAGATTCGCCGAGATCGTTGTGCCGAATGACAGCGAGGGTCTGGATTGCCTCCTCTCCATCATGAAGGATCCTGCCTCTGCCAAGCGCCCGGAACTGGTCCGATCCATCTCTGCCCGCATCCGTGCCATCTGGAGTTCGATGAAGGCCGACACCAAGTTCGACGTGGCTCAGACAATGCTGGAGCTCTCTCAAGCACGACATGCATCCCAGGACGAGGAGGATATCATTGCTGACGAGGCTGCCGATTTCCTGAGGAACGTCGAGCTCACCACGGAGATCCTTGCATACTTCCTCGAGTCCATCCAGACCGGCACAAAGCTCATCACTGAGCCCCCGGCGAACAAGCGACGCAGGACCAGCTCATCCGAGGCGAACCGCGGTGTCACCGCGCAAGCCAGTGCAGAGCTGAGTGCGACTCTGAGATCAGTCACTTTTGTGCTCCAGCTCGTGGATGGTTCCAACCCCGCTTCCCACCCAGAGCTCCTGGACAGTCTCTTCGGCACCCTCTCCGAGCTCCAGCATTTCCGTACCGTCATTGGATCCGAGCTCGGTTACCTGCAAAACCTGGTTCTCACGAGCTTGATCGCAATGGTTCCTGCCTACAGAAACAACAAGAGCCTGAAGATTGACGGCTCAGGAGGCCACGGCGACCTGCTTGTTAACTGCATCCAGAAGTCTTCCAGCCCGATCGTGCAAAACTCGGCCCTGCTTCTGATTGCTAGCCTTGCTACTGCTGCCCCTGATCTTGTGCTTCATAGCGTGATGCCCATCTTCACTTTCATGGGCGCCTCCGTCCTCCGCCAGAACGACGATCACTCCGCTCATGTGGTTAATCAGACCATCAAGGAGGTCGTTCCGCCATTGATGGCATCGCTCAAGAAGGGCAAGCGAAACCCGGTTGCTGGTGCCACTGAGTTGCTCGCAAGCTTCGTCACTGCATACGAGCACATCCCCGCGCACCGCAAGCAGGGCTTGTTCGTTGCTCTAATCAACACCCTTGGGCCCGATGAATTCCTGTACGCCCTGTTGGCGATGTTGGTTGATAGATACGGCCCCAACGACAGCCTGATGGCGTTTGCTTCTGAACTCCTTGGCGTGTACAGCGCTGAGGTGCAGCTCCAGACCTTGGCCAGGCTCCTGGATTTGATTAGTGACATCTTCAAGCCCAAACCCGGTCTGTCGGCTACCCTGCTGGGTGTTGGGGAGGACTTGGCGGAGAAGAAACCTGAGACCATTGCCCTGCAACAACTGACCGTCTTCCCGTCTCTCCTTTCCAGTAGAAAGCTCCGAAAGGAGATCACCGTCCTCACCGAGAGGGACGACATGGACTCTTCCAAGATTCGGGACTTGTACGCCATCCTTCTCAGGGATGTCTTGGCTCTCGCCGAGACCGTCAAACAGCAAAAGGCGTTGCACGAGTGCTGCGGCAATGCCCTGGCTAACCTGCTTAACCTCCTGTCTATTGGCGAGTTCATCAAGTCGGTCGAGAACCTCTTGGATCACACGGAAATTGACCTCCGCCGCAAGGTTCTCCGAGCCCTCGAGGTCCGCGTGGACCAAGAGGGCGTGGCAGATGTGGCCTCCAGAACGGCACTGCTCGCTTTCTTGCCGCAGCTCACTGCCGCGATCAGAGACACGGACGACCTCAAGTACAAGCACACCGCCGTTGCCTGCGTCGACAAGATTGCAGAGAAGTACGGCAAGAAGGATATCGAGGCTGTGGCAGGTGCCGCGGCGACCATTGCCGGACCTCACTGCCTCGGCCAGCCCGATGCCCGCCTGCGTGTCATGGCCCTGCTCTGCCTTGCCTCTCTTGTTGATGTTCTGCAGGATGGCATCCTGCCTATTGTCAACATTGCCATCTCCCAGGCTATCCTCTACATTGAACAGAGTGTGGAGGACGAGAATAGTGCAAATGAGCTGCACAACGCTGGCTACGCGTTCATCACCGCCCTGGCGCAACATCTGCCCTACATGATCTCTGCGAAGCACCTTGACAACATCCTCCTCGCATCCAACAAGTCAGCCGAGGCTAACCTGGACAGCGAGGCCGACGATGAGCGCCTCAACTGCCTGAGATTCCTTGCCAGAAAGGTTGAAGCCAAGACCATGCTAGCCAGCCTGAAGAAGAACTGGATCCCGGCTACCGAGACTGGTTTTGACGTAAGTTGTTCAGGGGACAGCCTGATTAGAACAAGACTAACAAGCATGCAGGCAACTGACGAATGGGTTGACATCTTTGGCGTTGTGGTTGAGAGCCACACCAAGTCTGTCGTCACAAAGAACGTGACAACCCTGTCCACGATTCTCCTCAATTCGTTGGACCTCCGAAGACGTGAACACGCGAAGGACAAGCTCAACAACGCAGCATCTCAGCGCGTGGCCAAGATCGAAGCTTCTATCAACGACGTCGCCCTCAAAATGATTTATAAGCTCAACGATGCGGCTTTCAGGCCCATCTTCACCCAGATCGTCGAGTGGTCGACACAGCTGCCCAAGCAAGATGTTGCTGGGCGCGCACTGCGTCGTTTCACCGTTTATGGGTTCCTACATGTGTTCTTCGAGAGCCTGAAGTCGATTGTCACCAACTACGCGACTTACATCGTGGACGACGCCGTCGACATCATCAAGGGCTGCGACCTCAAGTCGCCGGAGCAGAAGGATCTGTGGCAGCGCGTTCTATCTACTCTGGCAAGATGCTTCGAGCACGACCAGGATGACTTCTGGCAGGCGCCCGCACACTTCAGCAAGGTTGCGCCTGTCCTTACCGCGCAGTTCCTCAACGCTTCTTCCGTTGACCTGTCGGCTGAGCTGATCCCCGCAGTCGTGGAGTTGGCGTCCGCAGCAGACTCCCAGGAGCACCAGAAGGAGCTCAACAGCGCCATCCTCCGCCACCTGCGGTCCGAGCAGGCGGCCGTCCGTCTGGCGGCCGTCAAGTGTCAGCAGGAGCTCGCCGAGAAGCTTGGCGAGGAGTGGCTGTCGGCGCTGCCTGAAATGCTGCCTTACATCAGCGAGCTTCAGGACGACGACGATGAGGTTGTCGAGCGCGAGACGCACCGGTGGATCGTCAAGATCGAGGGAGTCCTTGGCGAGAGCTTGGACTCCATGTTGCAGTAGAAAACCCGCGGGAGCAAAAAGAAAACTGGAGAAAATGGACCGCGAGGCTGAAGGTTATCGGACGGATATTCGGGGATTTGTGCGTCGTCAATCCGTGTAATGGGTACAAAAAGTAAAATATTGAGACGTCATTTGGACATCAAAAAGCGGGAATGCTATGCCGGAGTGGCCGGACGGGGAAAAGTGGAGACGAAGGACGTCACTTGTCCGTGTAGCCCGGACACTTGCGACTCAGTCTCGGTGACGCAGAGCTTAGAAAAAAGTTGCATGTAATTGGATTCTGATAAGAGCTACTGCTGCAATACTGGCAGAATATTCTCCTTGACTTCAAAACCGTTCCCCCGTATTACAATAAGCGCCGCATTGTTTTCAGCTCGACAAGTTCTCACAGCAGCCCCTCGTCCCGTCTCGTCCCGCAAACAGTAATTGCGCTCTTTGAGAAGTCTCCGACACCGAGCGCCTTGACTTCCGGCACATTATCGTGCCCACCTATAAACGCCTAAGCCATCCGTCGGACTTAACCCACCGCCTAGGACGCAAGTCAAGGCCTAGCCAAGGGTTAAATTTGTGGATGTCCTATATATGACATAAAGTTACTACTGCCCCGTCTGAGTGCGTGTGGTGGTGTGATTCAACCGCCAAAATGGCCTCATCGAAAGTCGCACAGCAATATTGGAGAAGCCTTGCCCGGCCTGGACGCCGGGGACCCGCCGGGACGGCATTGCAGGTCGAGGCGGCAACTAGCACAAGCGTTGTGAAATATCGCAACAGCACGAGCTCGAGCTCGCCGACGGGTCAGTCTCACTTACTCAGCTTGACGCTCTCAAAGCCAAGAGACAACAGGAACTTGCTAACTCATGTATCAGAAAGGAAACGTGAAAGGGTCGTTGTGTTGGGTTCAGGATGGGCAGGCTACGCCTTCGCTCGCGAACTCGACCCCAAGAAGTACGAGCGCATCCTTGTCTCGCCGCGCTCCTACTTCGTCTTCACCCCCTTGCTGGCTTCAACCTCGGTCGGCACCCTCGAGTTCCGCGCTATCCTTGAGCCCGTCCGCCGGCTGAACCTGGATTCTTTCCACGAGGCCTGGGCGGACGACATCGACTTCTCCAAGAAGCTCATCCGCGTCGAGAAGGTCACCTCCGAGGACGCCACGTCCCGCACTCTCCCGGCGAAGGAGCCTAGCCGTCCTAAGGGGGAGATGATTGACGTGCCCTATGACAAGCTGGTCATCTCTGTCGGGGCGTACTCGCAGACCTTTGGCATCGAGGGTGTTAAAGAGTATGCCAACTTCCTGAGAGATATCGGTGATGCAAGGAGCATTCGTTTGAGGGTGCTTCAGTGTTTCGAGAAGGCTGATTGGCCTACGACCACGGACGAGCAGCGCAGGAAGATGCTGCACTTTGCCGTTGTGGGAGGCGGACCAACAGGAATTGAGGTCAGTCGCCATCCGACTTCCCTCCCGAGCGTGCTACTGACGCGGCTTCTAGTTCGCTGCCGAGCTCCACGACCTCATCCATGACGACCTGTCCAAGCTGTACCCGCACCTCATGGAGTTTGTTGGCATCACAATCTACGACATCGCGCCCAAGGTCCTGCCCATGTTCGACCAACAGCTCGCCTCCTACGCCGAGGACCTCTTCCGCCGCCAGGGCATTAAGGTGAAGACGGAGCACCACCTTCAACGCATCCGGCCGGATGAGGAAGACACGCACAACACGCTGAAGCTCAAAATCAAGGAGCTCGGCGACGAGGAGGTTAGCGCGGGTATTGTGGTATGGAGCACGGGGCTGATGCAGAACCCGCTCATCCAGACGATCATGAAGAAAGAGCTGCGCAACCCCAACGCGGCAGCCGAGAGTGAAGAAAAGGAGATGGTGAAGATCATGAAGGCGGAGAGAAGCGGCAACATCGTCACGGACTCTCGCCTGAGAGTTCGCCTCGACGACCCCAAGGACGAAAAGGCCGTCCTGCCGGACGTGTATTCCCTGGGCGACTGCTCCGTCCTGGAGACCGAGACGCTCCCCGCCACGGCGCAGGTCGCGAGCCAGCAGGCCGTGTACCTCGCCAAGACGCTCAACAAGGCGGCGGCGCGGGGCGGTGTGGATCCGGCGGACGACAGGCAGAGCAAGCCGTTCAAGTTCCGCAACCTGGGGACGATGGCGTATCTGGGAAGCTGGAAGGCGATTCACCAAAGCTCCGCGGACGAACTGAAGGGCCGCGCAGGTATGTTATGGAAGGTGCGCCTTTGGGAGACGACGGCTTTGCTAATGCGTGAACAGCTTGGATCTTGTGGCGCTGTGCTTACTTGACCAAGTCGATGAGCATTCGGAACAAGATCCTGGTGCCAGTCTATTGGTTCGTCACCTGGGTTTTCGGAAGGGGCATTTCTCGATTCTGAGCGGGGTCGGAGCTGGATATCTCATAATGGGTTACAAGATGTAAGTTATGGTTAGAGGTCGCAATGGTCAAAATTTGATAAATGGTGCAGCCAGGCTGGGTTTACGATCCGCATGTTTTATTAGCGATAGACTTAGACGGAGGAAGGTGACTTAGGAGCCTCGACGGAATTACTGGGAGGACCGAGAGTCTACCAGGCTGTATACCGTATAGAAATACTTCATTCTAATCCAAGATTTCAAAGTTGTGCAAGTCGACCTCGTCACAAGCGGCATTAAGCGTGTCTGAACCGAGGATCACGGCAACTAGCAGGTGACGCGTAGAAGCATTTGACCTTCATTCATTTGACTTACGAACTGGGCCAACCTAGCCGGAACAATACTTTCGGATGGAGTAGGTCGAAGACAACTCTGGCAACACATAAATCCGATCCTTATCTATGAGAGCAGCATACTGATCCTCGCTTTCAGCCCCGTCAGCCAGAACCATGTTGCTGGCGTCTACCCGGCAAGCTCCCAGGTGATTCCAGTGTTGCTCTAGTAAGAAATTCAAGAGTGAGATGGAGGCTTGCAATGATCCAACCCCCCACCATCCCAGTTAAGCCTGATAAACTACAAAGGGACCAGACAAACTATGTCGAGTTTATTCAAAAGAGGCGAGTAACAATTGTTTGTTCTTCATCCATGCTCTATATCTCTAAAACATTCTTATATAATCAGCGGCGCAAAAAGGAAAAAGAAAAAAGAACTCCACCAAAAGAAAAATCAGAAACCGGCTGAGTATTGGGTGTATCCTGATTGCGGGGGGAAACGAGTGCCGTTGACTCCCTGAACACCCTGACCAAGCTGGCTGGCAACGACGGTCGCCTCACGCACAGCACGCGCAACGGTGCCTCTGACACGACCCTCCTCGAGCACCAACAGCCCTCCAATCGTACAGCCGCCAGGCGTGGTGACCTTGTCCCGCAGCAGGGCCGGGTGGTCACCGTTCTGGACCAAGCATGCGGCGCCCTTCATAGTCTGAGCAGCCATCCTCTGGGCCTCGACACGGGGGAGGCCCATGGCCACAGCGCCATCGATGGCAGCTTCAAGGACCAGCGAAAAGAAGGCCGGGCCGGAGCCGCATAGAGCAGTGCTGACGTCCATATTGTTGGCGGGCAGGTAGACGACATCACCGATGCGCTTGAAGATCCAGGTAACGAGGCTCGCTGTCTGGGCAGGCAGCGGGTACGTCGGGGCGCCGATGACGGTCATGCTCTCACGGATGAGCGAGGCGGTGTTGGGCAGAGCGCGAATGACGCGGCACCGACCGTCCTCTTCGGGATTCTTGGTCGGCACGGCGCCGTGGAGGATCTCTTCCAGGTGAGTCTCGGTGAGGCCGGCGCAGATGCTGATGAGCAGCTTGCCGTGGAGAGCCCGGGCCATGCCAGGCTCGCTGAGGACGTCCTTAACCATGTAAGGCTTACAGGCAAGGATGATGACCTCGGATTGCTGAACGGAGTTGACGTTGTCGTTCTGGACAACCTTGAGGATGGAGGAGTGCTCCCAGAGGGCCTTCTTGACCTTCTTGGCGCTCTCCGGGCGGCGGACGCAGGCAATGAAGCGCGAGGGGAGACGGTGGGGAACCTCATCATACAAGGGGGTTGAAGTGCCCGATGGTGAGGGCGTATGGAGAGTCTGGAGAGGTCTGGGGGCCTGCATCTCCACGAGGGAGGTAAGGATGCCGTTGAGGATGGCGATACCCATGGTTCCTATTCAGGGGTCAGCATTGGGCTTCGCTCCAAGTGTTTATCCGCCTACTCACCGCACCCAAGGACAGTCACTGTCAGCTCCGAAGAGCTATAGTCTCCCATGACAGACATGATGAGGGTTGGTACGAGGTGAGATTGCGGTGTAAGTGATGCTGTTACAGAGCAATGAGTTTGATGTTGCTGGAAATATGAGTTGGATCACAAAAAAAACAGCTTGGTTTGCACAATCAGGTTCAGAGTGCAGAAATGTTATTTGATCAAAGCGACTAGGTTTATAAGCCAAAAAATACAAGATTAAAGGTGAATAAAAGAGTTTCCCGGCCAATATTATCCACCTCCTTTTACTGAAGAGAAGCTCTCCACTCTTCCGATATCGTCCGTCTTCCTCCACTGAGCTGCGTTTTCCACACGCTAAGCCCAAATAGTCCTAGCGTATCACCACACCCTTTCGCACAGTGCTGGCCACGCTAAAATCCCATGAAGACAGAGACAATTCCAGAAGGGCCCCCTGTGGGAAACTCGCCTGCTATCCCGGGAGAAAGAGACCTATGCTATAGTAGCTTTCATTCTCAGCAGGAGCATAGATCTAGTCTTGTCAACGACCTCAGGCTGGGCATCGCCAGCAAACTCGACAACCATTTCAGCTTGTTCCCTCAGGGTCAATCGACCGACACCGACGCCGACGCCAACGACAACTGGGATCCAGCAGACATGGCGGACCCTTTCGAGGTTCGAATGCGCTTCACGGCCCAACTTCAACATCTCAACGCGTCCGTCACCTCAGCTCAGAAGGCCGCTCAATATGCCCTTAAATACAAGGACATGGATGAGGACCTGCATTCTTGCATCCTCGAGCAGTTGGAACGGGTGAGTCTACTGCGGAGATGGTAGAGACTGAGACTAAATCTCTTTCCCCAGAACAATATGAATACGCGCGCCAACATCATGTACTTCATTGAGCATTTCCTGGAGATGGCCCAGAAGGAGAAGCACGTCGACTATGTTCGCATGATGCAGCGCGACATCATCCGCATCGTCGACGCCGTCGCCCCCGATGACGGATCTGGCGCCGCCAACGTCAAGGTCGTCAGAAGAGTGAGTCTCACCGTGCTCATGTGGCATGAGTGGCTGGGTTACTGACATACATATCAGGTTCTCCAGGGCCTTCAGCAAAAGAACTTTCTTGAGGCGCGCACCGTCGTCGAGATTGAGGAGGTACTCAAGGAGCGTGAGACCAGTGCCCACGACGCCGGTCTCTCATCACCTGTCAACGGTGACGTCGACATGGGCGACGCGCCGCCCAGCCACGCGCTCCCGTCTAACGGCCGGGCCCCGCGGCTGGAGAAGCGCCAGATCGAGCAGCGCATCGAAGAGGATCGCGAGCGGCACAAACGCCTGCGCGAGAACATCTGGGCCATCGGATCCCATGAAACCGCCGAGATCGACAAGATCTGGGAGGAGACGAGCGACCTGGGTGACGATGACCACATCCTTGCGGAGGAGGAGTTTGCCGCATGCACCCAGGCCATGAACCACTCATGCCCCCCCAAGCCACCTGCTGGTCCCGCCAGCACTCGTATCCCGAATGGGAAGAAACATTGAGGACTGACATGGTACTCACTTCTTCGACTTGACATGAGCATATCTCGGCGTTTTGGAAAGTGGAAAAACTGGCGTTCAGAGGTTGGTTTCGGCGGCTGGGTCTGTATACCGTTGGTAATGCCGGGTTTTGGGGTTCCCATCAACAGTAGCTCAAATAGCACAAGGACGAATCAACAAGTTCACGGGTTTCAAAATCGCCTTTGCAGTAAGAAATGGTGGTGTATGTCTTTGATAATATTGTTACATGGGTGTTTATACACTCATACACGTCCGTCTAGACCAATCCAATCCAGATGTCCGACAATAATGCTCCCTCCCGAGTTTTACATCTCCTCCCCAGGAGTAGGGCTCGCTCGTTTCTCAAATCAGCCAACCATGCAGACCGTCAGTGCGATTTACTCCATGGTGACGGTGGCGCCAAGCTCCTTCATCGTGGCGATGATCTTCTCGGCCTCGTCCTTGGCCACGTTCTCCTTCATCAGCTTCGGCGCGCTCTCGACGAACTTCTTGCTGTCCACCAAGCTGAGACCCAGCAGGTTCTTGACTTCCTTGATAACCTTGGCCTTCGCGGCGGCGTCGAACGCCGTGAGCTTGATGTTGAAGACGCTCTTCTCAGCAGCCGCCGGCGCGGCCTCCTCGACCTCCTCAACCGCGGCGGGGGCTGCTGCGGGAGCGGCAGCGAAGCCGCCGACGGGAAGATCGGGAATGTTGAGCTTGGACTGCAATTGAGCGGAAGACGGTCAGCATCAGCCCACTTCTTTGTCTCCCCCTTGTGACGAATCCATTTTGGGGGATGGATCGATGCACCCCCGTTCGCTGTTCTTTTCAACTAACCTTCAAGCTTGACACGAGGTCTGCGGTCTCGAGGAGGGTAAGAGTGCTGATCTGGTCGACGATGGCGGCGATCTTTGGGTTCGTGGGAGCGGCGGCCTCGGTGGAGTTGTGCCTTCGTGCAGTCGCGGGAGTTCGGGTCTGGAAGAGGGATGTCGAGGCACGCAGCGAGCCGGTGGCACGGAGCTGACGAGCGCAGCTCTGAGCTGCGTATCTGCAAGAGAGCGCCATTGTGTTTTGTGGATGCGAAGAGGTGGGAGGAGAGGGGAGCCCAATTGACGTTGGTGAAGAGCGGAGCGGATTGTCGTCGAGTCGGCCTCAAGCAAGCAGGGAGGTTCTAGCTCGGGATATCTCTGGCTTGAAGTTTTTCGAGCTCGCGAATGGTCCCAGTCGCGTGAACGGGCTGCAGAGTCGCCTTGGCTCTGATTGGCTCGGGGGCTTTGTAGCGCCGCCTTCCGCCCCGGCAGCAGCTGCAGGGACCCCGGTCAGGTCGCTCCATCCGAAAAAAAAGTTGCCTTTGGCTGGGGCGGCAGGGTCCTTCTCTTAGTAGGAAGGAAAAAAATAATTAGAGGTACATACAAACCGGCCTCCCATGAACATCACCGCCGACGACGTATCTTGAGATTGAGCCGCAACCATGGCTGCGATAGACGTGTCATCGCAGAGGAGCGCTCTCCTGAACGACGCGATCGTTCTGGAGCATCTACCTACCGAAATACTAGAGGTTATAAGAAATCACACGGCCTCAAACCTCCTCGACGCCATCGCAGAGGCCGCTCTCATCCCCCAACTTACAGATCGAATTTTCATTCACTTTGAAAATGTCTTTCCCGACATCTGCGCTCGTTGGCTTCTTAATCCCAGAAATCAAACCAACAATGGACCCGTACTTGCTTCTCTTGCAAGGATATTGTCTTTTGCTCCGTATTTATCGGAATTCATACAACATGTCATGAGAGAGGACTTGACCAAGACGCCACCCCAAGGACCCCAGGCGCTGAACCTCCGATTCCCCAACCTCACCACTTTCACTCCTACTCAAGATTCCGACCTATTGAGGCTGTTACTGGCAGCATGGCGGCTGGTCTGTTTCGACCAGAGGACTTACGGTATCTTGGTCTCACCAACGCACATGCAAACCCTTTTCACGCATGAGAGCCGTGCCGTTAGGTACTTGGCGATCCGAATATTCAGCCAGCTTCTCCGCGCAGCCGACTCGAAACTAGAAGCTCTTATTCACGAACATGTCGGAACGAAGGAGACTATCCTCGCTGACTTTGATGGGCGCGAAGTAGACTATGGGTTCCTGAGTCTGTATGAAGATGCACGGGTCAAGAAGGTCGCGGCGCTGCGTCGTGAGCTTCGCAATGCTTCTCAAAGCAATCAAATCCATCCTGTTCCACCACAAAGCCTGACCCCTTTCGTTGCGTGCTACGGCAAGACAATACTGCCGCGACCGTCTGGACCGGTCGAGAAGAACTCATCTCTCGTGCTGACATCCACTACCACCCAAAACCTCGAGACTCTGGCCGGTCTCCTGAAGAATGCAAGTCCGATTCTGCTACACGGTCTTCCCGGCTCTGGAAAGACTTCGCTGGTCCACGAAGTTGCCAAGGAGTTCGGCAAGCATTCAGAGATGGTGACATTACACATCAATGAGCAGACAGACGCCAAGATGCTTATTGGACTCTACTCGACAGACTCAAAGCCGGGAACATTCTCGTGGAGAGCTGGTGTTCTGACGACTGCCGTCAGAGAAGGTCGTTGGGTTCTCATCGAAGACTTGGATAGAGCGCCGAACGAAGTCATCAGCACACTCCTGCCCCTGATCGAGAGAGGCGAACTCCTCATTCCGAGTAGGGGTGAGAGGATCAAGGCCGCCAACGGATTCCGTCTTTTTGGTACAGTAAGAAGCTCAAGGGGTATGCATGGCAAGGAGACGCTTCCAAATCTCCTCGGCATGCGCTTCTGGCAACTTCTTTCTGTACATACGCCCACAGAAAGCGAGTTACAAGACATCATCGTCGGATCCTATCCCATCCTCCACAAATTTGCCCCAGGAATTCTCGCCGTGTATCGGCGCTTGTCGAAACCGATTTCCGGAAACATGCCGTTCTCCTCCAGCCGTGGCATGGCTGACCGCCAGACTAGCTTGCGAGACCTTCTACGATGGTGCAGACGCCTTACAGCTACGCTCTCAGCGGCAGGGTGCAGCACCGGCGAGGAGCCGATCACTGATACCACCAGAAACTGGATGTTTATGGAGGCCGTCGACTGCTTCGTTGCTGGTGTTCCGGACGTGCAAGTCAAGCGACAACTGATCTTTGGCATTGCTGAGGAGATGCATATGGCGAAGGAACTAGTAGAGTATCACTTCGACCAATATATTCCACAGCTTGAGCAAAGCGACAGCCAATTCAAGATCGGCCGCACAACGTTGCGCAAGCGAAAAGAGCGTGTGAACAAGGCTGCCCTCGCCAAAAAGCCGTTTGCGAGCACCACGCATGCGAAGAAGTTGCTGGAGCAGACCGCTGTTGCCGTGAACCTAGGCGAGCCGATCCTGCTTGTTGGTGAGACCGGTATCGGAAAGACGACAGTCGTTCAGCAGCTGGCGGACACCCTCGGTCACAAGCTGGTTGCCATCAACTTGTCTCAACAGAGTGAGGCCGGCGATCTGCTCGGTGGCTTCAAGCCCGTCAACGTCAGGAGCCTTGCTGTTCCTTTGAAGGAGGAATTTGAAGATCTGTTTTCTGCGACCGGAATCTCGACAACGAAGAACCAGAGGTACCTCGAGCAGCTTGGAAAGTGCTTCGCCAAGGGACAGTGGGCAAAGGCTGCCAAGTTGTGGCGCGAAGCCCCCAAGATGTTCAAGAAGATTATCGAGGAGTTGACACGACGAGAGAGAGAGCAAAGCCAGGCGCGCGACGAGGCAGGTCAGCCGACAAAACGACGCAAGACCGAATCCAAGCTTCAGACCCTTCTTGAGCTCAGTCCCAGGTGGGATCAGTTCTCCCGCAGCCTTGACCAGTTTGAGGTCCAGTTGTCTGGCGGCTCAACAGCGTTCGCATTCTCGTTCGTCGAGGGTAACATCATCAAAGCCGCCCGAAACGGTGACTGGGTGCTCCTCGATGAGATCAACCTTGCGTCGCCAGACACATTGGAGAGTATAGCAGACCTCTTGACGGGCCCTGCCGAAACTCCTTCTATTCTGCTGTCTGAGACCGGAGAAATCGAAAGGATCAGAGCACACCCGAATTTCCGTATCTTTGGTGCCATGAACCCGGCAACAGATGTGGGCAAGCGCGACCTACCCATTGGAATTCGGTCTCGATTTACCGAGCTTTATGTCGACAGCCCGGACAAGGACAAGAACGACTTGATCACTATTGTTAAGACATATCTGAAAAACAGCAGTATCAAAGACGAAGCTGCAACGAGTGATATCGCGGCGCTGTATATGAATACCAAGAGCTACGCCGAGCGAAAGGAGATTGTCGACGGTGCCAACGAGGTGCCGCACTTTAGTCTTCGTACCTTGACCCGCGTCTTGACTTACGTCAATTTTATTGCTCCTTTCTATGGCATTCGTCGGTCCCTGTACGAGGGCTTCTCCATGGGTTTCCTCACCCTTCTTGACAGAGAATCGGAGAAGCTGATCATGCCGCTGATCGAACACCACCTGTTTGGACGCATCTCAAATCCTCAGTCTCTCCTTTCTCAACCACCAAAACAACCTGACGACGGCAAGCAGTATGTGCGGTTCCGTAACAAGGCAAAGGACCGTCACTACTGGCTTGCTCAGGGAGAGGAGACGCCGAAAGAGCGAACAGATTATATCATCACGCCTTATGTAGAGCGGAACCTTCTTAACCTCGTCCGCGCCACATCTACTCGTCGGTTCCCCATTCTTATTCAAGGTCCGACGTCAGCAGGAAAGACAAGTATGATCGAGTACCTGGCGAACTTCACCGGCAACAAATTTGTGCGCATCAACAACCACGAGCACACCGATCTGCAGGAATATCTTGGCACATATGTGTCGGACTCTACAGGAAGACTTCGTTTCCAAGAAGGGTTGCTCGTGCAAGCCATGCGTCAAGGTCACTGGATCGTTCTTGACGAGCTGAACCTTGCCCCTACCGATGTACTCGAAGCGTTGAACCGACTTCTTGACGACAACCGAGAGCTTCTAATTCCAGAGACTCAGGAAGTTGTCAGACCGCACGAGAACTTCATGCTGTTCGCGACCCAGAACCCCCCGGCTTGTACGGTGGTCGAAAGGTGCTTTCACGTGCGTTCCGCAACCGTTTTTTGGAGCTGCACTTCGACGACATCCCTGAGGATGAATTGGAGTACATCTTGCAGAACAGAAGCATCAACACCGCACCCTCAGACTGCAAGCGGATCGTAACGGTCTACAAGGAGCTTTCTCGTCTTCGCCAAACGAGTCGACTCTTCGAGCAGAAGGACAGTTTCGCCACGCTTCGTGACCTTTTCCGATGGGCTTTGCGAGAGGCCGATACTCGCGAACAGATTGCTGTCAACGGTTTCATGCTGCTGGCGGAGAGAGTACGAGTCGAGGAGGAGCGAACCGCTGTTAGAGAGGTCATCGAGAGCGTTTTCAAGGTCAAGATTGATCCAGAAGTTCTTTACACCGCCAAGTCATCGCCGATCTTGAGCAAGCTTCAGGGAATGCCCAACAATCACGGCGTTGTGTGGACTCGCGCCATGCGTCGCCTCTATGTCTTGGTTCACACTGCCATCCGCAATAACGAGCCTGTCCTCCTTGTGGGTGAGACCGGATGCGGCAAAACCACTGTCTGTCAAATTCTGGGAGATGTGCTCGGAAAAGAACTGCACATCGTCAACGCTCACCAGAACACCGAGACAGGAGATCTTATCGGTTCCCAAAGACCGGTGAGAAACCGTGGGGCGATTGCAGACTCGCTGAAGAACGACCTGGCTGCGCTCCTCGTAACAATTGGCGAGGACGCAACGGGCTCGTTGGACGACCTGCTGCAAAGATACCACGCCCTTCCAGCCGAGACGTTGGCCAAAGTCGACGCCGTCACGCAAGAAAAGATTGCACTGCTGGAGGCTAAGAGCAAGGCCTTGTTCGAGTGGTCTGACGGAAGTCTCGTCCACGCTATGAAGGCCGGTCAATTCTTCCTGCTCGATGAGATTTCCCTGGCCGACGATTCTGTGTTGGAGCGTCTGAACTCGGTTCTTGAGCCTCAGCGATCTCTTCTTCTCGCAGAGAAGGGCATCGATAACTCTTTTGTCACTGCAGCGGATGGGTTCCAGTTCTTCGCTACCATGAACCCAGGCGGCGACTTTGGCAAAAAAGAACTGTCTCCGGCGTTGAGAAACCGTTTTACTGAGATCTGGGTTCCGGCCATGTCTGAGATGGACGACATGCTCGATATTGTTCTCTCAAAACTTGATCCAGCCTTCAAGTCCTACGGCAGGCCTGTGGTGCAATTTGCCCACTGGTTTGGACAAGTCTTCAGAACATCGTCTTCTACAGCCTTCTCGATCCGTGATATTCTCATCTGGGTCAACTTTATCAACCTCTGTGGACCTGCATCCCCCCAGTTCGCCGTGGTTCATGGTGCAGCAACCGTCTTCATTGACAGTTTGGGCGCCAACCCTTCGGCTTTATTGGCCATGGATCCCAAAGCGCTCGACTCCCAGAGACAGAAATGTCTCGACAAGCTTAGCGAGCTTCTTGGATACGATACTACGGCCATTTATCGAGCACAACCCCAGGTCATCCTAAGCGAAGATAGACTTTCCATTGGCGAGTTTGGTCTACCCAGAGAAGCAGCCCGCTCAACGGACCCCAGCTTCGCGTTCAACGCCCCGACTACCAGACTCAACGCTATGCGAGTGATGCGTTCCCTTCAGATGCGGAAACCCATTTTGCTGGAAGGTAGCCCTGGTGTCGGCAAAACAACTCTTGTCGCCGCTTTGGCTCGAGTATGTGGTCGGCCCCTAACTCGGATCAACTTGTCAGACCAGACCGATCTGATGGATCTGTTCGGTACGGATATGCCCGTCGAGGGTGCTGAAGCTGGCAATTTTGCTTGGCGCGATGCTCCCTTCCTCCAGGCCATGCAAAACGGTGAGTGGGTATTGCTTGATGAGATGAATTTGGCTTCCCAATCGGTGCTTGAAGGTCTCAACGCCTGTCTTGATCATCGTGGCGAGGTTTACATCTCCGAGCTGGACCAAGTCTTCAAGAGACATCCGGATTTCAGATTGTTTGCTGCGCAGAACCCCCACCACCAGGGAGGTGGCCGAAAGGGTCTCCCCAGCTCCTTCGTGAACAGATTCATCGTCGTTTACGCCGACGTCTTCACAGCTGAGGACCTTCTCCTCATTGCGCAGCATAACTTCCCAAGCATTCCCACCGATGTTGTTAGCGGCGTTATTCAGTTTATCTCTCGCCTTGACCACCAGGTCGCGATCGAGAAGGCATTTGGCTCACACGGAAGCCCCTGGGAATTCAACCTGAGAGATATCCTCAGGTGGCTGCATCTGTTGGCGACAAAGGACCCTCTATTGGCCACTGGCAAGCCAGACGACTTCCTCGATCTCATCATTCGTCAACGTTTCCGATCTTCTACGGACCGCGAGGAAGTGAACAAACTCTTTGCCCAAGTTTTCTCAAGAGCCCCGGAAAGCCACAGCTTGTACCATGATACCAACGCGGCTTTCTCTCAAGTCGGCAATGCGCTGCTTCCCAGAAACCAGACCTCGCAGCCTTTGGCCCTACCTGGCATCGACATTGTGCCTCGACTCCCGGAAATCGAGTCACTCATGGTTTGCATCAAGCAAGACATCCCGTGCATCCTTAGCGGACCATCAGGTAGCGGAAAATCAGTGCTGCTTGAGCACGTTGCTGCTCTCGTTGGCAAGCCTTTGGTCGTCTTCCCTCTCAATGCCGATATCGACACGATGGATTTGGTCGGTGGCTTTGAGCAGTCAGATCCTCTCCGCGAGGTCAACGCTTCTTTGAGAGAGCTCTACGAGGGGCTCCAGACTACAATCCTGACCCGAGTGCCCAGTCGGGTTCCGCCGCAAGCGCTCGCCTTGCTATACCTTTTGGAGACGTATCGCGGAGACACCAACGACCTGCCAGCCATCACAATTGCGGTTGAGAAAGTTCTCTCTGAAATTTCCAGAGAGTCTGACATTGGCGTCCTTCTCTCCAACGTCCACGCCGTCCTGCAGAGCCCGTTGGTTGTCAGCAACCCCCGTTTCGAATGGCTCGATGGAGTCATCGTCAAAGCTCTCGAGACTGGCCAGTGGCTAGTCTTGGACAATGCCAACCTGTGCAATGCTTCCGTTTTGGACAGACTTAACTCTCTGCTCGAGCCCAATGGATTTTTAAGCATCAACGAACACTGCGGTCCTAATGGAGAACCTAGAATCATCAGGCCCCACCCGGAGTTCCGAATCTTCTTGACGGTCGACCCGCGCTATGGCGAGCTGTCGCGAGCCATGAGAAACAGAGCTGTTGAAATTCATCTCAGCGAGCGGAAGACGCAGAGCCTCCAAGGGCATGCCTTGAACGTTCATGTGGAAAGCAGTCTCCAGAGATTCTCTTCCTCCAGAGAGATTTCCACCTCCGTCTTAAGCGAGAACGACTCCTCAGACGTGAGTAACGCAACGGTCGAGAACTTGTCGCTTAGAGACACGGCACTCATGGAAAGATTTTCTCGCTCCCTCCACCGCGGATTGACTGATCTCAGCTCGCCTGGACTTGACAAATACCAAGAGAGCCTGAACGAGCACCTCGGATTCCTTGATGCGACAGAGACAGCCGGTCTTCGCCAAGCTATTTCGCAACTTTATGCCGCCCTGCCTGGTGCCAACTCGGGTCTTGGTGACGCTCAGGTAAGATGACGTACCTTTTTAAGAGAGGAAAGCCAACTAACAGTTTAAATGTAGCCCCTGAACCCTCTTCATAACGCCTCTATGGTGCACGTTCTGCATCAAAGCAAGGATGAAATGCCTTTCTGGCTTTCAGTCTCCTACGAGTTCCTCTTGGAGACCCAGCGATGCCAAGCTGCGATTACTACCCAGGCCACAAAGGCAAAGGCAGCAAAGCTCGCATCCTTGAATCGTCTCCAGCGATCTATTGTATCAGACCGCGTCGCACCGGTCGCGAAAGACTCCACAGTCAGAGTGTCAAAGTTCCTGTCGAGAACACTTCAAGTCGTCAGAACCTTTATCCAAGCCAACCTTACGACATGCCAAGGCTGGAAGGAGCGTGCTCGCGTGATTCGAAAGATGCTGGACTTCTGGTGGCGAACTCACAACCTTACCACCGAAAACCTTTTTGAGGAAGCACGATTCCAAGCGCATCTGGCGCATGGTGTTGAGTCTGTTCAAGCACTCCTTTCGCCTACTACGGAAGCCCTCAGCAAGCAACTCGCCGATCGTTATCTCCAGACCGTTGACGAAGACTTCACAACTGGTTTCCGTCTGACAACTGGCTTGAGCATGGAAGTCATGTGGAAGCAGATCAAACCCCTACCCATCATGAGCGAAGAAACACTCGCCAAGAGCCAGGAGATCGAGCAGCTTGGCAAACGTCTTGACGAGCTCAAGTGGAAGGTCAAGACATCCATTACCGACCTAGCCAGAGCCATGACAACTCTCGTCAAAGCCGACGAAATTGTACGAAGTACGGACTCTGACGTTACCGAGCTTATTCATGATCTCACCAAGGAAATCGAGCTTTTGGAATCTAAGGTCGGTTCAGAGTCCAGCGAGGTCAAGCCGTTCTTTGCAGCGGAATTCGAGACTCTTAGACAGGCCTCCCTGTTAAGATCTCAAGCCATTGAGTATTTCGAAGGTCTCCCATACAGCGCCAATGAGACGGACCTTTTGGTCTTGTCGAACCAGCAGACCATAGACCAGATTCGCCTTGGCAGTTTCGGGGCCAAGGAAGCCCGTTCCTTGACCATCGGCCTGCTCGCTTCCCATGATCCTGCTACTCATGTTTGGAACGGCAAGTTCGCCACGTCTCTCTTGTCAAGACTCAACTCTCTTCATGCAACGAGTCTGCGCTCACTCGGACTCCTTGAGACTGAATTGCCTGCCATGGGTCGTTCTGTTGCGGCTCTGGCGCCGGCGTTCCAGAAAAACCAAGTCGTGGCCCTCAATGCGGTTCTCAAGAAGCTTATCACAACTGCATTTTCTGTCCATGGCAACGAGCAAGAGGAGCCTGTTCGTGCAATCTACGACAGGGTCATTCACGGTTTTGAAGGCACCGAGGTCGCGCCTCTGATGATACATCAGCTAGCCGCCCAGTTCGAAGGCAGCATCCCCAGCGACTGGCCAGCGCATCTTCACCAGATCGCCAAGCGGCACTTGATTCCTGCCACGGTGGCCCTTGCTGTGTCCGACAAGATTGCAGGCAGCAGTCAACACAATGGAGAAGCCAGCGCCCGCGCCGTTGCTGCTTGCTCTGCAGTCGCCTGGGTTGAGTTCTCGATCGGCACGATCAAGCTGTACGTGCCGGACAAGTCTTTCGACCCGCAATTGCGGCCGCAGTTCGAAAAGGACGTTCACGACGAGCTGACAAAGGGACTTGGGCACAAACTGTCGTCGCTCTTGGACTTTGAGACTCGCTTCACAGGTCAAAATACGTCTCTTCGCATACAACTTGTGCAAGAAGATATTGAAGCACTCGGCCCTGCACCAGCACCAACACAGCTGCTTTACAGACCCGCTCGATCAGAACTCACCAACGTCCAGACATCCTTTAATAACGTCCTGGCTACCGTAATTGGACAAGAGCTGTCAGCCCATCACACAGCATTTGCCCTAGCAGGTTCTCTTGATGCTGTACAGGTCATCAACCTCGTCAAGCAGAACTTGGCTCATATGGTTGACCGCCTGGCAAACCGTGACCACCGGGCAAACCATCTCGATGCCTACCAAGATATGACACGGCCTCTTGTCAACATTCTTGGCTGTCTCCAACTTGGTCTGTCGTTGAGCGACGGGCTCGAATCCATTGAACATCATGCTGCAGACCAGACTCTCATGGACTTGACGCCCTTCATTGGCGGCAACCCCGAGCACCATATCCTCAAGAAGTTCCCGAACAGGTGCTTAGAGTTCCTCGACTATATTGGCCTGATCGCATCTGTTGAGGGATTGACAAACTTGAACGCCAGTGTCCGCGAAGCATTGTTCGAATGCGTCCACAGATTCTTCCAGGAATGGACCAAGAGGCTTGAGGACGACCGCAAAGCTGAAGAGGCTCGAACGAATCTCTATCGTTTCAAGGGAAGTTTTGAAGATGAGGAAGAGATGGACGAGCAAGAATTCAACGAGCTCTTCCCCACGTACGACGAGGAGCAGGAAGAGAAGCCCGCCATCGGACGTCAGAAGGTTCGAGACGTGTCTGTGAAATTGGCGGAGTCCCATCGCAAGGTCTTCCTGGAGCAGCCGACACCGTCCGAGGCACTTCAAGAAGTTTGCAAGAAGGTTGGCAAGGGCATTGCACAGGAGCTCACACAGAAATCTGCGGTTCACCAGGGCATGAACAGCCGAATGCTTCCCCTTGCACTTTGGTCGGTGGATGAGCAAATGACAATGCTCAACGCGAGTACCGTCAGCACAACTTATAACTTCTACACCGACTCAAACCTCTCTGAGGTTCGCCGTCTGATTCCACTTGTTGACAAGGTGGAGGCTCGCTTCCGTGACTTGCAACAGGTGGACGAGATCGGCCACATGCAGCCTTTGGCAGATGTGCGAGCTGCTTGCGAGCAGCTCCTCGACCTCACCCACACCGAGCCCCTGGCCAAGATTTTGCCCAAGCTGGAGCATCTCCACGGCATTGTCTATGAGTGGCAGCACGGAGGCTACGCTCCGGCCATCTATGGAGCGCCTGCCCTTTACACGTCTCTGACAGATACCATCATTAGCTGGCGACGCCTGGAACTTTCGACCTGGGCCAAGCTTTTCGACATGGAGGCTCAAAAATGCTCGGAGGATGCCGACTCGTGGTTCTTCGTCGCTTATCAGGTTCTTATCGCCGTACCTCTGTCCCTCGTTGACTCCACCGAGCTGAAGGACTATGCAGTCAACCTGGTGAGGGAGCTCGAGACATACTTCTCCACTGCAATCATCGGCCAGTTCTCTGCCCGCCTCAGGCTTCTGAGACAGTTGCAGAAGCACCTGCAGCTACTCACCGTTGACTATCCCTCCTTGGCTGTTGTCTCCGACGCAGCACTGAACTTCATCGACTTCCACTCTCGTTTTGAGAAGGTCGCTAAGGAGGCAATTGCTAAGGGGAGGGCGCCATTCGAGAAGACCATGAAGGAAGTTGTCCTGCTGGCTAGCTGGAAGGATACCAACATCAACGCTTTGCGTGAGAGTGCGCGCAAGTCTCACTTGAAACTTTTCAGACTTGTTCGGAAATTCCGCGCTGTTCTTGGCCAGCCGATGAAGCCAATCTTGGAGCAAGGCATCCCTGATGAAGAGGTTCCCATCGTCCAGAACACAGATGCGGGAGACAAGGCCGATATCAAGGTGGACTCCAAAGCCATCTTGGCTTGCAACAAGGCCTTGCCTGGCTGGTTGGCCCAACACAAGCGTCTGTCAAACTCTTCAAAGACGCTTTCCATCATGGCCAATGTTGCTTCCAAAGCAAATCAGAACTCCCTCAATGCCACCCAGGAAATTCTCTCGTACGTTGAAGAACTCAAAGCCTCCATTGCGGAACTGCGTAAAGAGACTCCCGGCACCTTGACCCCTGAGAACAAGGACCAAGTTAAGCACCTCAAGACGCGCAAGCGCAACCTCTTTGCGGACGTCCTGAAGATGATGAGGCAGATGGGCTTCCGCTACAATCTCGGAACTGAGGAGTTGACCAAGCAAGAGTCCCTCGCAGTCGTCCTGGCAAGTATGCCCGCCTCTCATATCGACAACAGCATCAACGACGCCGCCGAGTACTACTTCCACAAGGTTGTCGATATCGCGCCCAAGGTCAGAGCCTCTATCCACGAATACTCGGAGGAACTCACCGGGGCCGAGATGTCTCGAAGCACTGGATTCATGGAGGGCATGTTGGCTGTAGTTTTGGGCCAGCACAGCTCTTTGTCTGCTGCTCGCGAGGCCATTGCCTCTCTCGACCAAGTCATCGCCTCAGTACAGAGCTTGAGCAATACGACCATCGGGCGCAACACCAACGGCGGCCGGCCGAGCATCACCGTGAACTGGATGAAACCAATCTTGGACTTCGGGATCAAGATTGTGGACATTCACGGCAAGTTAGCTTCAGTCGACAACGGAAATGTGTTGAGCCACCTGCAGAGCACCTTGCAGGAAGTCGATGATTTGTCGAAGCAATGGTCCTCTCTGGGTTCGATTCCTGACAGATTCACAACCGAACAGCACGACGTCCTGCAGAAGCGCTCCTTGCTCGCAGAAGAGAATTTCAAGACTTTGCTCCCTGGTCTTGGCCGCTCGGATCTTGACTTTGTTCTGAAGCAAATTACGAGCTGGTTCAGCATGGGGATTGCGCAGGGCGATCGCGAGTTTCACGATTCTGACAGTACCGGCCAGCATTTCAAGAATTCGATTTCCAGTCTTTGCGACACCGTTCTTGTCGCGGTCCAAGAGTACAAGAAGGCTATGGCCGACCTGCCAAGTTCAGCTGAAGATTCGGGCTGGCTAGCAAAGACCTCTGCTGTCCGCAACTCCGGTCTTAACGCTCTCTACATCAATGCGATCGTGAGCAAGGTCAAGGCTTGTCTCTCCGCCTTGGGGAGTGTTGACCTGGAACAACCCAGTATGGGCGCAATTACTTCGTCTCTCTTTTCCATTATCCTTCCTATCCTCCAGCAATATGCTCTCACCTGCCGCCGAAGCTTCTCTCAGCTGTATAGCTTGCATGCTGCAACTGGTCACATGACCTATCAGCTGGCGCGAACTTTTGTTCAGCTTGCTGCCAAGGGCTTCTGCTCTCCGCAAGAGAAGCCGGGCGAAGAATCTGGGGAATCTGGAAAACTCGAGTCCGGAACTGGTCTGGGAGACGGCGATGGAGCAGAGGATATCAGCAAAGATATCCAGCCTGACGAGGACCTATCCGAACTTGCCCAGGAGCCGAACAAGGAGAAAGACGGCAAGATGGAAGACGAAAAGGACGCGGTCGACATGGCGGATGAGGAGCTTGAGGGAGAGATGGGTAGTGTGGGTGGTGGAGATGACGAGGAAGACAAGTCAGACGGAGAAGGCGAAGATGGCAAGGAGGAGAACGAGATGGACGAAGAAGTTGGCGATGTTGATGACCTCGATCCCACAGCCGTTGACGAAAAGATGTGGGACGGAGACAACGAAGAGGCAGAGAAGGACCAGCAGGGCGACAAGGCCAAGGGGCAGAAGAAGGACGAGCAGATGGCCGCCGATGCCGACGCCAACGCTGAAGACAACAAGGCAGAGGATGACGAGCAACAGGTTGACCAAGGAGATGAGGAGATGGAGGAGGAAGAGCCCGGCCCGGAGCAAGAAGACGCGAAGTTTGAGGACGATCAGGTCAAGCAAGATCAAAACGTGGAGGAGAATGACGCCCTAGCGATGCCTGACGAGATGGACTTCGACTTCGACGAGGAGGGAGAGGACGCGGATTCCGAGGACGATGAGCTTGACAAACTGTCAGACATCGGAAAGGAAGAGCCTCAACAACAGCACGAATCCGACGTAGAGGACGGAGAGGATGAGACGCAGCGACCCGACGAGAAGGGTCCTGAAGAAGACGGAGAGGAAGAAAAGGAGGAGGATGCGCCTGAAGAAGACCTGGCGGGTGAACCAGAAATCGACATGGAGCCCAAGGCAGAGGAGGAAGAACAGCCTAATCAGCCCGAGGAGCCTGACAACCGCATGGAACCCCTTCGGGATGACTCCAACGCGGACGCAAACGCTGCGCCGAGCGATGTCAAGGGTGGCGGTCAAGATCAAGACGCCGAGGATATGGACGTTGAGAACGACTTCAATACGAACGCTGCTCAGAGGGACGATGGAGACGCAGGAGATGGGTCTACGGAGCAGCAAACCAGTGCCGGAAAGAAGGGCCAACTGTCTCGGTCCGACGACCAAGCGCAACCTACCGACCAGGACCAGGATGATATGCCTGAGAACAGCAGACAGGATCCCTTCAAGAAGCTCGGTGATGCCCTCGAGCGTTGGCACCGTCAGCAAAACGACATTAAGGACCCCGAGAAGCAGCAGGAAGAGGGCGAGCAAAAGCAGTCGCAGGACGTCGATGCAGAGCTTGGCGCCCGCGAGTTCCAGCATCTCCAGGACGACGAGACTGCGGCCGATGCCCAGGCTATGGGCAACGCCTCCGAAGACCAGGTGCAGCCTATTGACGAGGCGATGGCCATTGACGAAGAGAAAGAAGACCCCCAGAGCCGCGTGATGCCCGACGCCGAGGATGTGGAGATGGATCAGGATCCCGACAAGATGGACACCACGGAGGCCCCGGAAGCCCAGGAGAAAGACACTGGCGCCGACAAGGACGATGGTCGGTCGGGTGTCAAGACGCGCCAGGGCGCCTTCGACCGTGAGGTATCGCCCTCGGAGGACGAGGTCCAACGAGCCGAAGAGGAATCGGATGAGGAGCAAGTCATTGAGGAAACCTCCACGCAGCTCTCCACGACACATATCAGCGACGAGCAGCTGCCCCTCCGCGACTTCTCCGAATCTCTGCAGTCCTGGACGGGCTTCCAGTCCAAGACGCACCCGCTGTCGCTTTCCCTCACCTCCCAGCTCCGCCTGATCCTCACCCCGTCGCAATCTACCAAGCTCTCAGGCTCCTACCGCACGGGCAAGCGCCTCAACATCAAGAAGATCATCCCCTACATCGCCTCCAGCTACAAGCGCGATAAGATCTGGATGCGTCGCGCCATCCCCACGAAGCGCAGCTACCAGATCCTCCTCTGCGTCGACGACTCCCGCAGCATGGGCGAGTCGAGCTCCGGCACGCTCGCCCTCGAGTCCCTCGTCATGGTCTCGCGCGCGCTGACGATGCTCGAGGTCGGCCAGGTCGGCGTCCTCGGCTTCGGCGCAGACACATTTATGGCGCACGACTTCACCGAGCCGTTCGCCTCCCACGACGCGGGGGCCAAGGTCCTGCAGCACTTCAACTTCCAGCAGGACCGCACCGACATTGCGCTGCTGGTGCGCCGGACCATCGACCACTTCCGCGCCGCGCGCATGCAGAACCCGGCCCGCGGCGCCGAGGACCTGTGGCAGCTCGCGCTGATCCTGTCAGACGGCCTGACCCCGTCGTCGCAGCACGAGCCCATCCGCCGGCTGCTCCGCGAGGCCATGGAGGAGCGCATCATGGTCGTCTTCATCGTCATGGACGACACGGGCAACAAGAAGGGCGACAGCGTGCTGGACCTCAAGGAGGCAAAGTTTGTCAAGGACGAGAGCGGCAAAAGTCGCGTCGTCATCGAGAGGTATCTCGATACCTTCCCCTTCCAGTACTACCTCATCGTGCACAACCTCGAGGACTTGCCCGGCGCGCTGGCTGGGCTGTTGAGGACCTGGTTCGCCGAGGTCAACTCGTAAAGAGGGGAGACGGATAAGCGAAAGAGTTTGATGGAGAGAGCAAAAACAAAAGTCAATGTGTTTTTTGTTGTTGGTTTCTGTATGAACTGGAGTTTGGGATGGATGCATGTCATTATTCAAAAAAGTTTTATAAGGGCGTTGAAAAAGTGAGACTTTAAACTTAGACAAACAGGCAACTCATTCTTGCTAAAAACCTCCTTCCATTTTTATTGGTATGCCGGCCTTGCTTGGCCTGCTTTGAGAAAACGTGGTATCAACCGGGCCGTAGCCAAAGGTGCGTAGAAGTACAAAAATGACCCGAAGACCGCCGTAAACTCCTTAACCTGATCCCCTCCCTCATCACGCACCTGTCCCTGCGTCTCGGAGCAAGCGCCATGAACAAGGTTACGCATCCTGAACCCGGACCTTCTTGCTCGCACCCTGGTCCTCGGCATCGTCGACCGACTTGCGCTTGCTGCTAGAGCTCTCTGCGCCAGTGGCGTGCTTCTCCCATCGGGCGTGCCAGTCGAGGAGTCTGGCGTACTCGAGCTCGACGCTGCCCAGGGCCTCGTTGAGCTTTTCCGAACGCTCGGACTGGTCCAGCTGGCCGAGGACGTCGGCGTTCTGGCGGTACAGGCGCTGCTTGACAAACAGCTGCCACAGGCGGTAGTGGTGCTTCTCCTCCTTTGTCGGCTTGGCCTTCTGTTCCTCGCCGAATCCGACCTTCACAGACGCGGGTAGCTGAGACATGGTCTGCATCTCGATCAGGCGCTTAAACTGACGCTCTACGATCTTTGTCTTCTGGCGCAGGTTTCTGAGAAGCTCCTGGTCGACCAGATCCTTGGGTACGGTGCCGCTGGGAGGGCTGGGAAGGGCAATGCTGGTGTTGATCTTGACGTTGCTAAACTCCGGCAGAGATCGCAGGAAGGTCAAGTCGGCCAGGTCGCGCATGTCGTCAAAGGCCTCGTTGGGATCTTCCACGGTCAGCTCCAACGTCTGCGGGTTGTTGTAGTAGTGCTCGAAGATGGTCTTGTACAGGCGAGCACCAATGCCCTTGCCCTGGAAGGGCGGCAGTACCAAGAACTGCGAAAGCCGTGAGCGGCAGGGCAGCTCTTCCAAGAGGTTGAACTCCTCTTTTGGCAGATCCCACTCGGACGAAGGCGGGGTGAGCGGGCGGAAGCAGAAGAAGCGGTAGACAGTCCCATAGCCAACGAAGGTGTACGAGGGCTTGTCGTTCGCCTCTGCCGACGTCTGTTTGCGATAGAGGAAGAAGACAGTCCAGCGGTTGGCGTCCTCGGGGACTTTCCAAGGATCTTCTTCGTTGTCTATCTCGCGGGAGATGTATGATCCTCCCTCAATGAACATGGGAACGAGAGCCTCGACGCGAGTGACGATCTGCCGAACAGCGGGGTCCGCGAGGCTGCCCTTCCACACCTCGTATGTGCCGTCCTGGCCCTCAAAGCTCGAATGGAGCGTGCCAGGAGGGGTCCAACCATCAGGTTGGCTCTGGGCACCCGTGTTAAATTCGCGTGCAGACTCGAAGGCAACTGCGGGGCATCAGCATCAGCAACGTCAGTTGTTCGCGACGGCAGTGTCACTTACCCATTGGCAGGTGCTGCTTCAGTGTAGCGTCGACATCCGCAGCCTCGGTCTCGCCAACGGACTGGAACTTCTTGCCATACGACACCTTGACATTCGGTCGCATGTCAAAGGTGCGATAGCGCAGATCGATCCTGAGGTCCTTATATCCGAAGATGCGCTCATCGTCGCCGAAGATGGAGTAGGTAAACTTGGGGTTGAAGGAAGCAATCGTCTTGGTGGCTCCGACAGCAGGTGCGACCAGGCTGATGTTCAGCGACTCGGTGGCGTTGGCCGACCCTAAAGTACCATTTAGTGATTGTTGCGACGATGGATACCCAAGATTATGGGAAACATACACTCGTCAGTCTCAGCCATGGTGTCGACGGAAGTGTAGGTTGGAGCTCTTGTGCAAGGTATGCAAAGTAACGGGTCGCAGTTGCGGATTGTATCGTGGGATGATCTGATGTTTGGGAAAGGAGGTTTCAGGAGGGGAGCTCTTTGTATAGAGTGCGAGAGAATACGATCCTGTTTGGCTGTCAAGGACGATGCTCCTGGTTGAGCAGAGCTTCTTTTTTGCGATCAAAGCCTTGGAGAGGGACGCGCGCCAAACGATTCGCGACAGAGACGCGATTAAGTGGTTCATGCAGTTAAGAGGAACAGCTTAATGGGCTGTCAGCGGCTCAGGGCGCTAGTACTGGAATAGATTAGCTCCAGTACTCTTCGCAGTAACAGCGGCGGGAAGGATCCACCAGGCATTACGACATGGGGTGACAAGGCGCAGAAGGGGGGACCGCCAAAAGAGACCAAGGAACGAGGGAAGCCAATGGCCAATGGTTTGCGCCCGGTGCACCCCAAGAGCCAGCTCAGCTCCCCAACCTCGACGGAATTCTCCCTGTGCAGCCAAGCTGAAAGTCGAGAGCTCGGCTTTTTTCTGCTTTGGGTTCTTTTGATTATCTCGATTGCCGTTCGCCGACCATTCTAGTATCAGACATGCTGGCGTGATCCCACAGCTCTCGACAAACCCTCTCTTTGCGATTTCACGTCTTCTCCTGGCACGATCGACGGCACAATACCCAGAAGATGGGAGGGCTATTGTTGTTGCTCTTGCTGAGCGTATGTACCTCTTTACCTCTTGGCTTTGGGCTCCCAGCCGGATGGTAGACTTCTATGCACGACGGAAAGCTAACACGTTTCTTTGCGACAAATCAGACGGTAATGGCATTGGCGTAGGTTGCTCCTCGTGCGAAAAGGCCCAAGTTTCCTTCCCCATCACGGGGAGGAAGCAAATGGCCACCTTTACTGCCCGAAGGATCCATATACTGACGATCGACGTCGCGAACCAGGTCCTTCTTCGCCGGCTCATTACCCCTTGCCATAACCCTCACGCAGTCGCAACTCCGCTTGATCTCCAGCGTGGGCGTTGGCATCTTGGTCGGGACGTCGATGATTGTAATTATACCCGAAGGCATCGAAGCCGTCACGACTACCGGCGGGCACTCGCATACTAAGAGGAACTTGTTGAGTGCGTCAGGCAAGCAAGGGGCGCTCGATGTGCGGTGGGCGGCAGGCGACGATGTCCCCCAACTGGCGACCGCCCCCAGGTCCACGAGAATAGCGGAGGAGCTTCATACCCTCGGCCGTGATGTCGAGGATATTCCAAGGCTGCGCAGTCGAGAGGAGCAGGGCGAACACGGCCATGAGCAGCCTCCAACCGGCCCGCCGGGCCCCGAACCCCACCACGACGAAGAGAAGCACAACGAAGTGCCGACGTTCTACATCGGTCTCTCCATGATCCTCGGCTTCGTCCTCATGTTCCTGATCGACAGGCTGCCGCGGCACGCGACGGACCGAATGCAGTCTGAGCCGCAGATGCGCCACGTCAGCCTGGACAACCTGGGCGGATCATCGACGGTCGGTGATGAGGAGACGGAGGGCTTCCTCGGCCCTCTGGCGCCCCCACCGAAGCAGTCACGGAGCCTCGCGACAACCATTGGCCTGGTTATCCACGCCGCGGCAGACGGCATCGCCATGGGGGCGTCTACCTCGACATCCAACACCAAACTGGGCCTCATCATCTTTGTTGCCATCATGGTGCATAAGGCGCCTGCGGCGTTCGGCCTGACGTCGGTTCTCCTCAAGCAGGGGCTCTCCAAGCGGACAGCGCGAGGCCACCTGATCGTCTTCAGTCTTGCTGCGCCGTTCGGGGCTCTCAGCACGTGGGCAATTATCAGGATCCTGGGTGGCGGCAACTTTGAGGGAGAATCCGGCCAGTGGTGGACCGGCATGCTTCTGCTCTTCTCCGCGGGAACGTTCCTGTAAGTCAAACGACGAACCGATGAGTGTGGCCAGCAACTGACAGCCGACAAGCTTTGTCGCGATGCACGCGATGCAGGAAGACAGCAGCTCTCCAAAGCACGAACACGGTAGTGGGATGAACGGCTACTCGGAGGGTGGCGGCGTCCAGAGGGTCCAGCAGCAACCGCAAATGCGTGATACGTTTGCGACGGTCGCCGGTATGCTCTTGCCCCTTCTCACACAGTTTGGGCACCACCATTGAGTGATGCCCAGTCAAGAGCGCGGTTAAAGATCTACATCTGAGAGCTCAGAAGATATATCATATTTGGGTTTCTTGTATGAGTAAATCGAGACTTCGATGAAGCCAGGTTTTCCTGGCATATGACGATGATGATTGCATTGACTTCCACCAGTCGGGTTCCTTCTCTGGATCCCAAGAAAAGTCCAGACGATGTATCTAAAAGAATCTGTGCTCTCAGTTGGATCTGTGCTGCCGTGCTGCCGTGCTGCCGTACCGTCGTGCCGCTTTCTGGCCAACCGGGAGAAAAAAAGTAATTTTTACAAACCAAAATAATAAAAAGAGACCCGGTTTTCTCAGCGTGACGTTCTAGAAGCGGCAGATTACTGGCTCGAAAGCTGGTCCAGGTGGCTGAGTGGTGTGCTCGGCGTCGAAAGAGGACGGTGCTGCGGCACCGAAGCGCAGAAGAGTTCATGGATCACAGCGGCCGACGGGGTCGGGCGCATGGCGGGGGGGGGTTGCTCCATTGTCGACCGAGCGTCGAAGGATGGAGCTAAGTTTGTAGTCGGGGTGTTTCAAGTTCGTACGGCGACCTGGGCGAGCCGGCGAGGCGCTCCTGGCGCTTCCCTGCAACGGGGGAGGGCTACGTCGAGATAGACGAACGGAGGGCCACCCAAAGTCGCATTCGCTTGTCAAACAAACGCATGGCGTTTTCAACGCCTCAATAGTCCTCGAATGGTCCCCAATGGCGGACGGGTGGGGATCCTCGTCTTTGGCTTGGCTCGTTGGCGTGAGATATACTATGTATCGACAACCTTTTTTGCCTCGGCGATGAGGGAGGGCAAGATCTGCAAGACCTATTTCTAGAACCGGACACATGCATGCCTGCTGGCATTTCAGTCTGCAACGGTCAGAAAGGCATGCACATGTCGCATTTCTTCAGACATAGATCATCCCATAAGGACGGTAGCATTATTGCCCTCCCCCCTAATATTGGACAGTCTGAAGTCTGCAAAGGCAAAGAGAAGGGTCGGGCTCTGGCAGCGTCGGCCCAGGCGAGAGAGAGAGCCTGAGCGCCGGACAAAAGCCATACCCCTGTATCGTATCACTTGGGCAGATCTGAGGCATCCAAGCCGCCAGTGTCGCAAGTAAGAGGGATCCCTTGGGGGGAAGGAGCTGAGCAGAACGGCGACCGCGCTACGTTGAACCATGCAGCATGGTTTCTTTTTTTGTGGCATGTCGGAATTCCTTTGTCAAGGTGCTGAGCTGAAGTCGCTGTTGCAGTAGCTCGACTTGTCCGGGATGGTCGCCACGCAAATTTGCTTCTTGCTTCTTTCTCCCTTCCCGTCTCAGTTCTCTGAACTCTCTGAGCGCGAAGCTTGCAAGGTATTCCGACATTTGGCGAATAGGGATCTCAAAGAAGTCAACTCCAGGGCCGCAAAGATAACAGATTGGGAGGGGGGCGCCCAAGCCGTGCGGTGGTGCTGTGGATTCAACACCGGCGGGTACTAATGTCGACTACGCCGGATCTGTACCATACATAGTAGAGCGATGGACTTGATCACATCGACTCCATTTGAGAAGGACAATCCCACCAAGAATCTAGATCGATCTTGGTTTTGACAAGCTCCCAAGGACGATGACCACTCGATAATGTTCCCTTTTGCGCTTAGCTTGTACTAAAGACTCTAACCGGGTCGACATTGAACCCTCGCATGCTTTGCAGCGCAACCCGCCCAGACAGAGTGATCGATATATGGCCGGCCCCGAAGAAGAGTACGACACTTAACGTTGAACGAAGTTTCTGGCTAGCGAGCCAACGGCGAGCCGTGCGCATTCCGCTGACGAGCAGTTATTAGATCGAATACTTGGATAAGTGCCTGTGCGGCGGTTGGTTGCTTCGACGGCCAATGATCAGGGAGTCCAAGTCTTTCCCCATCACGCGACAAACACCAAGTTAGGCAGGAAGAAAGCCTTTATTGTTACAGCACCCAACGGTTTTGCTGGATCACCATGTCGCCGCCGCATGGCTTTGGCGGACCCTTGGGCTTAGCTGATAGTTGCTAGAAGCTTTGGGTTTGCGTATGAGTTTTTCCTGCAAGGCAATGAAAGCCGCAATCCCAGACGATAGCGCAGAGTCCCGGGCTCAAAGACGAGGGGGCGGCTGTGGCTGCCCCAAAGACTGGGGAAAGATGCGGCTTGATCCCCATTCGGCGCAGATATCGCGAGGGCCATCGGCTAGCGTATTGTCAAGATATGTAAGTCAAGCGGAGCCATCCCCATTGCGCCATCTGAGTGTCTCCATCCACGGACTGAAGCATGACAGTGAGAATCAAGGCCCAGCTTTTGTCGTCCCCCCCTCCCTTCGCAAAATCATGAAGGCACCATGGCAGGCATTGATGCGGTTGGAGTGGCTTTGTTTTGTACAGAAGAGAAGCTGACACCGAAGGACAACTCGACATGAGAGTGCTCAATGAACATCCTGGCTCCATATCCAGACTTGGTAGTGACTTTGCGTGAATGAATCGATCGACGTCACGAACACCCACTAGGATGTTGATGAAGTGTAGACGAGAAAGAACCACTAGTGCGGTGTAAGCGCCGCTAACTCGGACCCTGCAGGGGCCCCCGGGAAATAAATGCGCGGTTCTTGGTTGTAGCATGAACAGCAAATATGTAAGACCCCTTTCCACCTGCTCATAGTAAGCACCATATAGACAATAGACCCAGGAGCTGTGGAATGGAAAGACTCGAATCGGTGTTAGGTCGCTGCATGCGAAGGAGCGGGCTCGATGGAAAAGCGACAACCGCGGTGGTTGAACGCGGTTATAGCCAGTGTTGAAAACGCATAGTGTTCGCTACCATACGTTCGGTCTGCGAACGGTGTCACTAGTTTCTCAAACATGCCAGGCGGCCTTCGGAAGCCAGCGGTGACTTTTTGATGCAATGTTACATCGAACGTGCTTCCCTCTTGACGATGCGTACGTCGTCGGCGGCCAACCGTCATTTGCCCTCTCGAACAACGATGCTGGCGGGACTTGAGGCCAGGGGACGGACGCTTGCGGGCCCTGCTTGGCTCCCGTCCCAGAACCGGGGGTATTCCGTGTTGTTCCCACAGCCGCACAGGAACCCCGGCGGCTCAGGAGAGCCGGACGGCGTTTCCTGGGGTCCAACGCTGAACAAGACGTGCGAGTCCCGTCATTTCTCAGCGGTTCAACAGAAGGAAAGGGGGCCCTGTCTCCTTGTCGGCGGGATGTTATTGTCTTGGCCGATGCCTTGCATCGGCTACCTACCTAGACCGTAAGGTCAGCTGAAGTGGCAGATGTCAGTGCTGTGGTGGAGGGTAGGTGAAAGGTGCCGTAGCGCAAGTGTCTTAGCAAGAACGAAACAGCGCTAGAGGGGGGGCCCAGAATAAAATTCTATTTTGTTTGGGAATCATGAGTCTGAGCCTCTGCTGTTGTCTGCGTGATTGGTGTCTGAGTAATGATACTCGGGGACGCGGGAGAGGTGACGCTGGCTGGCAGGACAGGCTGGCGTGCGAAGCGGTGTGTGTGTGTGTGTGTGTGTGATTGCGTAGTAACGTCTTTGTGTGCTTCAAGTTGAGACGACGGTTTCCTGCTCTAGAGGCTTCTTTTGCTGCCGAGTCTGGTAGTAGGGCGCATGCCGAATGTTGTTGCTCGATTAGATACGTACTTGGTATAAAGTGAGAAGTGAGCGAGGTGACCGACTTTGCAAGGTACGGACTGCCCAGGCTTTGCCAGATGCGCTAAGATGAAATATCTGTCACGGGCTCTTACAATGCTGCTTCCTTTCCCTTCTTCGCCTCCTCCTCCCCCTCCTCGCCTCTGTCCGCTCCGTCCAAAACCAAGCCAGCGATGCGTGTGCCTGTGCAATGTGAAAGAATCGACACAAAGACAAAGGAAAGCGGATGCACAGTGACCTGTGTGGCACTTTCTCCAGTGTCCCATCCTTTACCCTTCTCCCACCCTCGAATGGCACTCGCGCACACAACCCACATTGCCTGAAGCCCAGGCCTTGCTCGGCGCACCTCCTAGGTAGTGCAGTCCCGTCCTGCCCGCCCCCTTACCCTTCCCGTCGTTCTTTCTGCACCTTTTCTCTTCCCCGAAAACAAGGGCCGCCCACCGACTCCGCCTCTGCTCTGCTCTGCTCTGCTCTGCTCTGCTCTGCTCTGCTCTGCTCTGCTTGGTTTATTACCTGCCCAATACCAGGCACCGTGCCTTGTCTCTGCGCCTCGAGCCTTGACTTTCTTGACCTCGCTTTTACTCTAACTCTCACGCTGTGCTCACTGGCCTCTCCCCCCTGGGTCTTGGTCCTTTTCCCGTTCCCTTCCCTTTCCCGACCTGGTCCATTATCTTGCATACTAACCCACCCCCATACCTCCCAACTCCTAAACTCCCACAGCCGCTAGGAGACTCACCCAGTGCATTCCATTCCTTACCTCACCTGCCCTGGCCTATCTGATCTCCCCCCTCTCTCTCTCCCTCTTCCCTCCTCCAAAATCCCCAATTCCAGCCAACAAACACTCGACGGCTAAACTCCTCTCCAATCCCATCCCTCACCCTCTCCTCCTTGTTGCGCTTCGACGACAACCACCAGGAACGACGCGAGACACTCCATTGCAGGGAGGTGCAACAGATATTTGGGCGTCAATCAAGCGAAATCCTCCGATACTATCGAACAATCCACTTTCCATTGTGATTCGCCCTGGCATTCCACACTGCAAGGCCTAAACGACCCACGCTTTCCGCTTGACGCCTCCGATTGTTAAGCTTCCCGACTCCCGCTGGCCCCATCTCACAGTACACTATCCTACAGCGTCACCATATCCTCTCGCTTTCTTCGTTCCAGTTCCCGACTAGGGACCGACCAACTTCAGGTTTCCCAATCGACAGCGTCGCTACCCCACGGGAGACACCCCATCGCCTCGTCCTGTCGCGTACGGAACCATACCACCACGCCGTTGCCGCCTCGCCGTGATCCTCGTTGCCATCCAAGTCGCTCGAGCCCGCGAGAGTCGCCGCACAGATTCCTAACGACCGACGCTTTGCTACGGCGTTTCGTGCGGCCCTACGGTCCTCATTTGTAACACTCCGCCAACACAGCGGCTGCGTGTCTCCTCGAAAATTCGAACCGGTCAAACGTTGACCACTGAACTTGGACGTTTAATGAACGCCAGGTAGCGATTTCAGACACCCTGAACCGCCGCCCTTGCCACCACGTCCCATTGCTTAGGGGCTTGCGATCGCGACCTCCGACATCTACAGTACCGCGGTCTCGAGGCTGTTCAACTACGATCGTCGTATATCACAAATCGACATGGCCGGCTACAGTAATAGACCATTAAGTTTCTCTGAAAGAAGAGGGAGCATGCTCAGCGACGACATGACGCTCAACACCGGCGGAGCCTCTAGTAGTACAAGGCTTGAGAAGATGCCCCAGCGACCAGGACACATGAGAGGTCCTCCGACGCCCAGCATGACCACTCCTGCTGCAGACTTCGATCAGCAGTTGACCGGCTCGCCGCCTCCCCCGCCCACGCCAGCAGCCTCTCCCGGCCCCTCGCACCGTCAACTCGACTGGAGCGATGCCGCGGACGACGAAGATTTCTTTCTGGCCAAAGTGCGCCATCACTTTAAAAACTCTGGTGGTCCTCACCGTACCCGTCTCTTGGCCGACCTCCTGAACATGTGCACAAGTCAACAGCTGAGCTTCGTCCATCAGTTCGTCAGTCCTTTACTCAAAAAGGATCCGTTCACGAGTCTTCCGGATGAGCTGTGCCTACGCGTAAGATATCCGAAATCGGTTCGTGGGAATTCGGTACTGACACCATTGCTCTAGATTCTCTCCTTCATCGACGACCCCAAGGTCTTGGCTCGTGCCTCACAAGTATCCCGGAGGTGGCGGGACTTGTTGAGCGATGATATGACGTGGAAAAATCTTTGCGTAAAGCATGACTACGGCAGGCGTCTGTCCGAGGTCTCGACATCGATGGGAAGTGGCTCGCGACCTGGAGCTCAGCCTTTATGGGGGGATGACTACGCCAGCAGCAGTTTCCCGGGCGCTCTGCCAATGACGGCTCATGCTTCAGGGTCTCGCAGCCTTGACGGCGCCAGTAATGCGCGGCCCAAGATGAGATCATACAAGTCGCATTTCAAGCAACGGTATCTTGTGGAGGCAGCCTGGAGATCTGGCGGTACCAGCACTACTAGGAACATCACTCAAGAGGGAGGGGTTGTTACGAGTCTGCATTTGACGTCCAAGTACATCATCGTCGCTCTTGATAACGCCAAGATCCACGTGTTCGATACAAAGGGCAACCAGCAGCGCACTTTGCAGGGCCATGTCATGGGCGTATGGGCCATGGTCCCTTGGGACGACATTCTGGTCAGTGGTGGATGCGATCGCGATGTGCGAGTGTGGAACCTGGCTACGGGGTAAGCAAACGACGACATAGATGCAAGTTTGGAAATGCTAACATGGACAGTGCCTGCCTTCACACACTTCGTGGCCACACATCAACAGTTCGCTGCTTGAAAATGTCTGATGCAAACACGGCGATATCGGGCTCGCGCGATACGACGCTTCGAGTGTGGGATATTCGGACCGGGTTGTGCAGAAATGTGCTTGTTGGCCATGGTGCCAGCGTCCGATGCCTCGAAATCAAAGGGGACATTGTTGTCTCTGGCAGCTACGACACCATGGCCAAGGTTTGGAGTATTTCGGAGGGCCGCTGCATTCAGACGCTTCAGGGTCACTTTAGCCAGATTTATGCCATCGCCTTCGACGGCAAGAGAGTGGTGACTGGCAGCCTGGATACCAATGTTCGAATCTGGGATCCGAGAACAGCGTAAGTGCTCTTTACACACAGAGTGATGTAATTTATGTTGGTATACTAACTTAGTCTAGTGAGTGCTTGGCCATCCTACAGGGTCATACGTCTCTTGTTGGCCAACTGCAGATGCGCGGAGATACTCTCGTGACTGGCGGCTCCGATGGTTCAGTACGAGTCTGGTCATTGGAGAAGATGTGTCCCATTCATCGACTTGCTGCGCACGATAACAGCGTGACCAGTTTGCAGTTCGACGATACACGGGTCGTCAGTGGTGGCAGTGATGGCAGAGTCAAGATCTGGGACTTGAAGACAGGCCACCTTGTTCGTGAGCTTATTGCTCAAGGCGAGGCTGTCTGGAGGGTAGCTTTTGAAGACGAGAAGTGCGTGGCGCTGGCTTTGCGGCAAAACCGTACAGTGATGGAGGTAAGAGACTTCCCCTTGGCAGCTCTTAGTACGACCGCTTCGTTACTAACTAAACACCCCTTAGGTTTGGTCGTTCTCTCCCCCTGAGGATGTTCTGTATGACCGTCCATTATCTCTTCAACAGCGAGTCTTGCAAGAGGCACCCCATCGGCCGATGAGTGCCATGCAGCTCGATTACAGACAATCGCAACCGGCAGTCGCAGGTCCTAGTCGAGAAGCCGCCGGAAGCCAGGATGTCGACATGAGAGACGCCGGCCCATCCACGGCCCCACTCCAGGGCGGTAACAAGACTTTCTTCCACGACGACTGAACGGGCTTCCACATCTGGATCTACGGAGGCATGAATTCCCCGGGGCTCGACTGACGACGAACATCATACCGCAACAAACATCAGGTCCATTTGTCCAGAACGCAATGTTGCTATCGGAGCATCAATAAGACGTTGTGTTCACGACGGTCGACGAGATCAAGGCGGCTTGGCATGGCTCATTCATCGTCAAGACGCTACTGAGTATAGATGGGAGGGACGCCTGTTGAGACAAGGGCGTCGTCTTTTGGCGTTGGTCTGGAAGCATCATATGCATTTGAAAGGGCGGCCAGCATAGGTTTAACAGCATTGGGAAGAAAGCTTGATTCGAGGGTCTAACCGGCAGGACAATTTGGGGCGGTGATCACGACGACTTCAGGGCGTAAAGCGTTGCTCAACTACGTGCATGCGGTCGGCCCGGCCGCTTCTTAATATACCCCGTGGTAGCGTTTAGTAGAGCTGTATACCACATCAGAACGAGTGTCGATGAACAGGATGTTCGAAATGAGATGACCGATGTGACTGCGGCAGTGGGGCGTTCATGCAGCTTAATTGTCCAGAGTGTTATGACAAGCTGTGGATTTGCCCATGACTGTTGTGTGGTGGTGAAGTAGCACAGAGCAGCATGGCTTTGGCTGCTGGGAACACGGTGCCTGGCCAAATTCATCGGCACCTCCAGTGTTTTGATTGCCCTGTAGGGGTTTGGGTGTTTGCGGCGATTGGGCCGTTACTGCTTGCTCTGTTTCCTTGTTATCTCCGAAGGCCGCTCTCCCAGTCCACTGAACTGGAACAGAATGGGGGCGCCGAGCAAGAATAGGACCGACCGGTGAAAGTCGGGCCCGCCAAAGTCGCTGCACCTCGTAGCGCGCACCTCCCAGATCCCGTTGAGGAAGGGTCACGTGCAAATGTGCTAACCGTATCGGGACTAGTAGTTTTCAACAAGCAGCAGCTCCCTTCCCAACCAACGCCGCGATTTTTCGGAGCTCCAGCGACAAATAATTTGTTATCACCCTCCTTCCCCCGAACCCTTCTCACTCTCATCGTCCGGAGGCTCCATCATCACCACCCCCACGATGTTCTCCCGCGCGATCAGGTTAAACCGAGCGGTGCCTCTGCGCACTCGCGCCCCCGTCTCTTTTGTTGCTGCGTCCCGGTCCGTCACCACCAATGCTGCATCGGCAACCCTGGAGAAGGGAGTCCCGCAGGTTAGTTTGCGCTCTTTTCCGCCGCCACCTCCGTCGAAGGTGCCGCGACAACGACGATCATCGGACCCGGTGAAAATTACCAATTGCGCACTACTAACGTGCAGCGTTGTTTTTAGTCCGAGGAGGAGCCTTTCCAGATCACCCTGAGCGATGAGAGCTTCGAGACGTACCAGCTCGACCCCCCGCCGTACACCCTCGAGGTTACGAAGAAGGAACTGAAGCAGATGTACAAGGACATGGTCGTTGTCAGGTATGGCGAATTATCCTCTCTGCAGTGATAATTGCAACCAGGATCCCGTAATTGACCCTGCGCAGACAACTCGAGATGGCCGCAGACCGATTGTACAAGGAGAAGAAGATTCGTGGTTTCTGCCACTTGTCTACCGGTCAGGAGGCCGTTGCCGTTGGTATTGAGCATGCTCTTACCCGCGAGGACGATCTTATCACTGCCTACCGTTGCCACGGTTTCGCTTACATGCGCGGTGGCACCGTCCGCTCCATCATCGGAGAGCTTCTCGGTCGCCGTGAGGGTATCGCCTACGGCAAGGGAGGTTCCATGCACATGTTCACCAAGGGCTTCTACGGTGGCAACGGTATTGTCGGTGCACAGGTGCCCGTCGGCGCTGGTCTTGCTTTTGCCCACAAGTACGCTGGCCGCAAGAACGCCTCCGTCATCCTGTACGGTGACGGTGCTAGCAACCAGGGTCAGGTCTTCGAGGCTTTCAACATGGCCAAGCTCTGGAACCTGCCCGCTCTCTTCGGATGCGAGAGTAAGTTTGAGGGTACCAAAAAACTCAGTTGATGTTTTAGGCTAACCGTCTTGCCAGACAACAAGTACGGTATGGGTACCGCTGCCGCCCGCTCTTCCGCTCTTACGGACTACTACAAGCGTGGTCAGTACATTCCCGGTCTGAAGGTCAACGGCATGGACGTCCTCGCCGTCAAGGCCGCCGTCAAGTACGGAAAGGATTACACCGTTGCCGAGAACGGACCCCTCGTCCTCGAGTACGTCACTTACCGGTACGGTGGTCACTCCATGTCCGACCCTGGTACCACCTACCGTACCCGTGAGGAGATCCAGCGCATGCGTTCCACCAACGACCCCATTGCCGGTCTCAAGCAGAAGATCATCGACTGGGAGGTTGTCACCGAGGACGAGCTCAAGACCATCGACAAGGAGGCCCGTAGCTTCGTCAACGAGGAGGTCGCCGCCGCTGAGGCCATGGCCGTCCCTGACACCACCCCCAAGATCCTCTACGAGGACATCTACGTCCCCGGCACCGAGCCCCAGTTCATCCGCGGCCGCACCCCTGACGAGACCTACTACTTCCACTAAATGTCTTCCTGATGACGAATAATTGTCTCTTAACCTTTCTGTCCTATTGTACAATACCTACTAGCTAGAGAGGGTGAAGTGGTCACAATCTGAACATGGCCGGGGTCTGCAGATATCCTCCTGGTTAAACAATATCCGTCCCTAGTTTGAGTGAAATTCGTCTCAATGAATGTGAAGTGCAATTTGGCATGTATACAAAATTGTTCGGCGTACCGCACTTTTCTACCGCCGCGGTGGTTTTTGGTGCATTAAACCCAATTGGTGCATATCAGATATCTGCCTACCTGCCTAAAAATTAAGTGGGGCTACTTAGCTGCTCTCTCGCGTCGCGGCGGTGCTCAATTAAGGGCAACGCGCCTGCCTGGCGCGTCGAGCGTCCTCAAAAGTCACCCGACAGTCTTCATGGCCTGCGCTCGCCTTTCAAACAGTCCAATCCCTCTCAGGAACGCAATCAGGGCGGCTTTTCGCATCGACACTCGATTCTTCACTATTTGCACTCGATCAATCATCACAATGGCGCCGAAGCAGGCGACATTGGGGTACGTCAAGCCCTCGCAGACAACGCTGGGGTGTGTATAAGGGCAATTTTCCTCGGACCACCATGTATGCTCTGGAGCTCCGTCTTCTTAGCTATATTGTGGTTGATGAGATTGCCTGCTGACAATTGGTACAGCAAGTTCTTCGGAGCGAAAGGCTCCAGGCCCGAGCCGCAGCAAAGCAAGCTAAGCTTCGCCACCAAGGCAGCACCAAAGAAGGAGGTCAAAAAGGAGGAGGATGCTTCAAACGCAGCAGGCAAGGAAGAGAAGGCTTCAAATAGTAGGCCTGAATACCTTGTGGTCTAAAAAACACCTTACTAACAGTTCGTGTGCAGAGCCCAGGAAACGTACCAGAAGCCCGAGTCCCGACGTCAAGGCATCAAGTCCGAAAGTCAAGCATGAGGTCACCGAGGAGGACGATGAGGACGAACCTGCCACAAAGAGACCTCGCAGAGCTCGTAAACGTGTCATCGTGGAGGACGAGGACGAGGTGATGGACGAAGCCCCAGCCAAGTCACCTACAACGTCACCCAAGGCTTCAAAGGCCAGAAAGAGTAGTCCTGTGAAGTCTGCAAAGGTTGATAAGGCAAAGCCTGATGACCCCAAGCCTTCTCGTTCGAAGAGAGTCTCCAAATCTCCCTCGCCTACGCCGGCCGTCAAGGACGAAGAGGAGGAGGCGACGGAGTCTGCTTCGGAAGATGACGTAGGCGAAGATGACGAAGAGGATATCAAACCTGCGGTAGCAAAGAAGACATTGGAGGAGGTCCAGAAGAAGCTCAAGACGCAGACCAAGGACCCGTACCCCGACTGGAAACCAGGCGAACCGGTTCCCTACGCTGCGCTCTGCACTACTTTCTCCCTCATCGAGCTCACAACCAAGCGACTTGAGATCATGGCTCATTGCTCGCTGTTCCTTCGACAGGTCCTGCGTCTGACCCCTGACGATCTTCTTCCCACCGTCCTGCTCATGATCAACAAGCTGGCTCCCGATTATGCCGGTATTGAGCTGGGTATTGGCGAGTCTCTCATTATGAAGGCCATTGGCGAGACGACAGGTCGCAGTCTTGCCGTCATCAAGCAAGATCAGAAAGAGATTGGAGATCTCGGCCTTGTCGCTGTCAAGAGTAGATCCACGCAGCCCACCATGTTCAAGCCCAAAGCCTTGACGATCAGGGGCGTGCACAATGGCCTAATGGGCATCGCTACTGTGTCGGGCAACGGTGCTCAGGGTCGCAAGGTGGATGCCATCAAGAAGTTGCTGTCGGCGGCTGATTCCCGTTCCTCTGGAAAGGTAGACATCAGCAAGGACAAGGGAGGTCCTAGCGAAGCCAAATATCTCGTTCGATTCCTCGAGGGCAAGCTGCGGCTTGGTTTGGCCGAGAAGTCTGTCCTCGTTTCTCTAGCTCAAGCTGTGGTTTTCCATGAGGCGAACGCTAAGGGTCAAGTACCCAAGACGACGGACGTGGAACAGGCAGAGGCCATTCTCAAGACGGTGTACAGGTATGTCATTCTGTTCTACTTCGTGCCCAGTGCATCGCTGATTCATGACAGTGAACTCCCGAGCTACGATGTCATCATACCCGCCATGGTGAACCACGGCATCATGAATCTCCGGGAACACTGCAAGCTCAAGCCTGGAGTGCCTCTCAAGCCCATGTTAGCCAAGCCAACAAAGGCCATCACCGAAGTGCTGGACCGCTTTGAGAACCAGACCTTCACCTGTGAGTACAAATACGACGGTGAACGAGCCCAGATCCACTATGTGGCCAAGTCCGCGGACGAGGAGATTAGTCAATCTCTGCCGGGAGCCACAAAGGCTGCGGCAGATGGAGTTGCTTCCATCTTTTCCCGAAATTCTGAGGATCTTTCCAAGAAATACCCTGATATTCTCGCCAAGCTACATACCTGGGTTAAGGAAGACACGAAGAGTTTCGTTCTGGACTGTGAGACAGTCGCCTGGGATGTCGACGAAAAGAAGGTCCTGCCTTTTCAGCAATTGATGACACGCAAGAAGAAGGACGTCAAGATTGAGGATGTCAAGGTCAAGGTGTGCGTGTTTGCCTTTGATCTACTCTATCTCAACGGAGAGGCCATTGTCGAGAAGCCGCTTCGCGAACGCCGCGAGCTCCTTGAGAACGCTTTCCGCCCAGTGGAGGGCGAGTTCTCTTTTGCTACGCACATGGATGGACAGGAGCTGGAGCAGATCCAGGTGTTCCTTGATGAGAGCGTCAAGGCATCCTGCGAGGGTCTAATGGTCAAGATGCTGGACGGCTCAGAGAGCGGGTACGAGCCCAGCAAGAGAAGTCGAAACTGGCTCAAGGTAAGCCGCTTTGGTCCCCTACGATTGATCTGTGCCGATGAATGTTGTGTGCTAACTGCATGCCCTCTAGATAAAAAAAGATTACCTCAGCGGCATCGGCGACTCGCTCGATCTTGTCGTGCTGGGCGCATACCACGGCAAAGGCAAACGTACATCCGTCTACGGCGCGTTCCTGCTTGCATGCTACAACCCTTCGTCCGAGTCTTATGAAACCGTCTGCAATATCGGCACGGGATTCTCCGAGGCCGTCCTCGAGGAGCTGCACCAGCAGCTCTCGGACATTGTCATTGACCGGCCCAAGCCGTTTTACGCACACTCCTCGGGCGGGCAACATCAGCCCGACGTGTGGTTCGAGCCGCGTTACGTCTGGGAGGTCAAGACGGCCGATTTGACGCTCAGCCCGCGCTACAAGGCCGGGTGCAAGGAGGGTGTCGACCCGGGCGGCGAGAAGGGTATCAGTCTGCGATTCCCGCGGTTCATCAAGGTGCGCGACGATAAGAAGCCCGACGAGGCTACGTCGAGTCGCCAGGTGGCCGAAATGTACCGCAAGCAGGAGAGCGTCACCAAGAGCAAGGGTCCCGCGGCGGACGATGATTTCGAGTATTAGCTTAATGGGTTGTACGATTTTGCCATCACCAACACGGCTTACGGCGTTCTCGCATTGCTTTTTTCCCCGGGAGCATGTTTCCTTCTCCCTGGGAGGGGGTGGAAACGACGGCGGATGTGTATGACCTGCCCCAGCTCGCTCCCATCATGTCATGTTTAGTTGGTCACGGAAGTCAAAGAAGAAACGGGGAATTTGTAAGCATGGGGTTTTAGATAACCTCGATCCATGGATTTTAACTCTCGCCTGCATACGTCCCATGTGGTTTGCTCGGTTCTCGTGTCCTTTTTTTTTTGTTCTTAATCCCCCCCCTTTTGCACGTCTCATGATGGACACATACAACACCGGGCTCAGACGTCTGCGATCGACCGCCGCCCAGATCTGCTTCGGCTGCTGCATGCAGCAGGGCAAAGCGCGGCGTTCATGTGCGTGGTCGTCATCGCGCGTCCCCCAAAGGCCAGCCGCCGAAGAAGGAAAAAGAGAAAAAAAAGAGCCTTGCATCGGGACGTGTGCGCGGATGCAAGAAACACCTGCAGCCCAGCCCTTTTTTCCGCCCCTTTTTTTATCAAAACGTCTGCTGCGGGCAGCAACCTTCATCGACGGGGTCAGGTTACTGGTGGTGGAAAATTACTAGATGACGTGACGGGTTTCAGGGGGGGTTCACAGAGGTCTCGAGAACTTCATGTTTGTGTAATTCCGTTGCTACATTCTATTGTACAACCGACGTTGTGTTAGACTTAAACGCTTGGGCATGATCTTGCGCCAATCCCAGTTACGTTGGCTCTGTCTAGACGGCCGGGCAAAGCCTAAACGGCCGGATGATAACCTTCTAGGCTCTAACGACACTCCCCTCTGCACCTTTTCCTTCGTCACGCTTCCCAGACCGATACCCTTCCGTCGGCCCCGAACAACAGCTTCCAACGCCTTGCCAACGGCTGGCATGTCGCCGAGCATGGTCAAGTGCCCGCGCTCGGTGCTGACCCGCCCGCCACGCACCAGCTCATACCCCTCGGGCAACTGCGCCTCGCGTGCGAGGACCACGCCATCCCCAGCGCGGAAGATGAGGTCGTCGTAGGCGCCGTGGTGGGCGATGGCCTCGCGGCTTGCAACCTTGACGGCGTAAACAGTGGGGATCTCCTTGCCGTAGATGACGCCGAGAGGCGGGTAGGCGTTGGCTTCCGAGAGGGCCGGGTTGAACTGCGTCTCGGCGCGGAACTGCTTGACTTCAGCCAGGACACGCTCGAGGTAGGCGAGGTTCCTGGCGCGGTTGGGAGGCGTGGGCGTCCCCGATGACCCTTTGGTGAACGGTGACGGCTTATTGCTGGATGCCTGGCTACGAGTGTTGCCATCGATCTGCGGGTTCATGTTTCCTTCACGGGCCAGCTCTGCTTTGCGGGCCGCGTCGGCGAGTGATGGTGAGAGTATGTGGTTCTGTTTCTTCTCGCTTGAGCTACGACTGCGGACCGATAGAAGAGACCCAAACGTTGTTGACTTTTCCTTGGGAACCAGCGGCGGTAAAGGGGGCTCGATGCAGGGCGAGAGGCAGTATTTGATCCAGTCGTTGACATCGTGAAAATTGATCTTGTACTCTTCCTTCGTGTCTTTGTTGACGAAGCAGAAACCGTCATCGGGCAGAAAGACGAACGTCGTCCTGAGTGAGAAGTTGACCTGAGCAGTCAGGATCTTCTCGTTCAAGAGTACCGCATCGCCGTCCCTCAGGGGCCCTAGGACGTTGATGCACCTTTGAGGAGTGCCAACATATACCACACCGGAGAAAAGATCTGGCCGCTGGTTGACCACGTGGCGGGTGATGAGACCTCCGAGACTGTGTGCCAGGACTAGCGCGCCTCTGGGTTCCTTGGAGTCCGGTTGGTTTGACGGGAGCTTTTCCAAGAACTCTATCATCTTTCGGGACAGCAGGTGAGGGCTTAGTCTCCAGTCATAGCCATAATCCCACAAACGTAGCTTTCCTTTTCGAACGTTTTCGCAGGCGGCAATCTTCTTGAACAACTTCTTCGAGATATCAATGGGGCCGATGTTTTGCAGCATGCCTGACGGGATGATGCGCTTCTCCATCGTTTCTTCGTCTTCCGGATCCAGGCCCACCTCCAGATCGACTTTCCTCATGTTCAACCCAATCTTGACAGGAGCCCATAGCTGATGGTGTGGAGGCTCCGCCGATCGCAGAATTGAGCCTCGATATCCGCCGAGAATGACTATATCCCCAGTCAAAGTCTCCAGAACTCTGTCCAGGGTCGAGGATCCATCGTTGTCAACCTTTGGCGCGGGAGCCTCAGGCACGGTTTTGCCCATCCCGTCCTCGTTCAGTTTCAGTGACGACCCGAGCCTCTGTAGACTGGGCATTTTGAACGTGGGTCTCTCAGGCAGACTGTCCTTGATCGCCTTCATTCTCACGTTCGCCATTTCCCTGACATGGTCAAACCTGCCATCGTCATCCCCAATCGAAGATGTGCGGGACAGAGAGTGATACAGGAGCGAGTCATCCGAAGTGACCCTCCTTAGCACGCGAGGTCTGGTGGTGGAAGGCCTTCCTGAAGACACGGAGGGGCGGTTCGCAGGCGCATCTTTGGACATGGTTTGCGCTCGAGGTAGCCCGTTGGCACCGCTGGACATGGGAGCCGCATTGCTGTACGACCTTCCGCCCTGGGACAGGGCTGACCTCCGTTGGTCCATTGGGGACTTTGGCTCGGCTCTCTCTGCGGCTGCGGTGAAGAATGAAAATGAATTGAAGATTGCAGAAGGTGCTGGAAATGAGGAAAATGCATTTGAGAACTTTTTGAGGGCGTCGGCCCCCGTGGAAGAAGAGCGCTTGTGCCTCGTTTGACCGAACGATACGGACTCAAGAGCGTTCTTGGGCGCCTCGCCATCTCCGCCGCCGAAGAAGGGGTTTTTTGGACTCGATTGCCAGGGTGAGGGCAAGTCTTTCGGGACTGGCCTTGCCTTTTGAAGCTTTTGCGACTGCCGTCTGCGAGGTGGCGCTGGGGAAATCCGCAGTTCTGGCTCCGTCTCAAAGTTGGTAGGGATCTCGTCAGGGAAGGGTGTCAATTCCGGCGAGCTAGCGGAATCATCACTGCTCAAAAGACCCGATTCGAAAATGTTACCGGCAGATCTTTTTCTTTCCAAAGCAGCAGCTTTCTCAGCAGCTGATGTTTGTGGGAGAGTGAGACGGGTCGCAGCAACGCTCAACGCGGGCTGCATGACGGTTTGGGCGTCATCCTGGTCATCATCACCATAAACAGGGTCTTCAGAAGGGACCCTTTCAAGGGTCGGCGGCGGCGAATTCCTCCTCATGGCGATGCCTTCTTTTTGAGACATGGCAACCATTGTGAATCGGACGCTGTACGTATCGAGGGTATGTGAAAAGCCGGGTCGCAAGATGGTATATAAAGGCTGCAATTTGCAGCCGGGAGTTCCGGGGAATTGGCTCAATGGCACATGCTCAGTATCCTCTTTTGGAGGCGCGATAGTGGACACCGGCCAGCACTGCACCGAGGTAATTGCGGGATAATGACTTCAACAAGAGGCCAAAACCGAAGGCGTGATAAAAGAAGGGGTCTAAAGAATCTGGGGAAAAGTTGGGTCGAGGAAGATGTGACCCAGTAAACCGGATAGGAATGACGAGGCTGCTTGCTGTGGTTGGGTGGTGTTTGGGGGTTGAGGTAATGAGGACGATGATTCAACACAATCCCTCGATCTGAAAAAAAAGGCAGATTTGGCAGTGACGACCCGGGTTTCTTGGGGGCAGGGAAGCACCAGGTAGGTATTATAAGAAGACGACCGTTAGATAGTACCTACCTTGCGACTCAGTAATGGCCGTGTACCTAAACGCGTACAATGGGGAGGAGGCAATCTGCCAATCCACGCGTGCCCACTTGTTCCTACCTTTGGCGGGCGTGCGTGCGTGCGTTGCCGTACCTGGCCAAGTTGCCATGACAGAAAAGTGCCCAAGGCAAGGTACAAGTCGCCTCAGTGCAAGAGAGTGGGTAGCTAACACAAGACTGGAGCACGGAAGGGAAGCTTGCTGATGTCGTCCCGCCGCGTAGGGACTACGGTGGTAGGGAGCCAGAAGTCTGATGTGCACAGAGCTGCGCCTCCTTCGCCCGAGAGCAGGGGACACCCTTCCTCGGTCGAACATCGTACACTGCGAAGTAAATCTTCCGGTGCGAAGGGGCTCGGACTTCAGGCTGCCAGACGTCGAATGCGGCTAGGCTAGGGGATCACCGAGTTCATTTCACTTTTGTTGCTCCCGCGCACTCTACTGTCAGAGAGGCTCGGGTAATGGCGCCAGGAGCGTTGTTGCTCTGTGGATTTTGTGGGAGAGCGAGCAAGACGATGGCCTTTTCGTTGTTGTTTCTTCTTTTCCCCCCTCAACCGTTGTAGAGTTGAGAGGGAGGCTCTTGACGGATCCAATTGCAAGGAAGTCACCCCATGCTTCGGCTGCGATTCATTGACTGAAAGGTGCGCGTATTGGTACGCGAATACGTCAGGTCGTCAACCAGCGGGCGTTTTTTCCTCCCAAGCTCCCCGTTTCTTTTCTCTCTCTGCCACTGACATAATCACATGCGCCGCCGGAGACTAGCTCCGGGTCCACTTTGTCTTAGCTACCAATTGGAAAGAGCCTCATTGGCCCAAGGCCCACATCGCCGGCCGGCAGCTACGGGCACTGCGGCACTCGATGATCCGGCATGGTCCATGTCGATCGGCTCGGCTGAGCTGAGCCTCTGGATGATTTTCTTGGGTTGCTTCGATACCTACCTGTACAGCTGTGGTGGGGGGATATGGAGAAACAAACCAAAAAAAGAAGTCGAAGTAGGATGCAAAGGACATGTGCCATCACATGGACTGAGTGTGAAGCAAAGCTGCGAGTCGATCCAACAATAGGTACATAGTATGTGGTGCATAATTATGGGTCGGTGCAGCCAGCACAGTTGGCAAGTTTGTCCAAAGGCCCTGACTGATATTAGGTGTTTGTCGGCAAAAGTAAGCTCGGGCAAATGGCCTGACAGAAAGCTCAAACCCGCAAGCGTGAGGCTCTGAGGAGTACAATTGGGCCCTGCTCGGACGTTCTCTTGTGATTCCAGAGTCTGACTTGTTGGGCCGATGTGCGGCGCCCAACGCAGCAATTCATACCGAGCCGGCCAGCATGAAGCACGTTCCCACGCTGAGATGCGCGCTGCACGTCGCCCACGGACGGACCACGGCGTTTTCAGAGCCTCCCTCGGGTGCCAGAACGGACTGCTTGCCCAGCCCTCAGTGCCCCTCACAGCTATCTGGAGGTGCTGTCCCGATAAGGATTCCGATGGCCCCACAAATTGCCATACACGTCAGTGTCATTCCCGCCAGGGTAACTTCCAGCTTGTACCGTGAACGTCATTGCAGGGCCAAGCCGCCAAACCAAAGCCTCACCCGCGCGACAACAACACCAATAGGTAACACTGCTGGGCTTGGCCTTCAAACGTTGAATCCTTGCCCCCGCGAAAACTGTACGCGGTCGCACACTGCTTGCAAGCACGACAAGGTACCCTTGGGGTAGCGCAAGGGGTTGTGGCTGACACCATCCGCCGTGCCAAACAGAATCCCCATCTCTCTCAGCGACTTTTGGCGCAGCAACAGCTCTGGAGCCGCGTTTCCACCCTCCTCTTTCGTTGTCTTCGTCCCATGCATCACCTTGTTTCCCGTGCTTCCACCTCCCTTCCCTTCCCTTTCGCGCCCTCTCCTCACAAGCATTCCTCCACGCTCCCTACACTCCACCTGCACCGTCCATCCGAGAGCCGCCCATAATCTCCGAAGCTATGACTACCCTTGAACCTCGCCAACCTTACACCGACGCGGAGCTGCGCCAGCTCTACCCTCCACAGCTCAAGCTCCAGCTTGTGCAGATCCTCCTGCGCCACGGTGAACGAACTCCCGTCACTCCTCGTTTTCAGAACACCGGCCTCCCGCCGTACTGGCCCTATTGTCGTGCCGTCCGCCACCTTCGATCCGCCGTCCTTGACCCGGATACCGGTGAATACTCCTATCTTGACTGGAAGCGTCGTCTGGAAACGTTCAGTTCGGACGATGACAGCCCAATCATCGCTGCCGGCCCCAACGCCGAGCTTGACGATATCTGTGACATGGGCATGCTCACCGACCGCGGTCGGGAAACCACGCGCAACCTAGGACGCCGCTTCCGCCATCTCTACGTCGATCGCCTAAACTTCCTCCCCGCTGACCTCACCAATGCCGAGTCCCTCTACCTCCGGTCCACCCCGGTTCCTCGAGCTCTAGAGTCCCTCCAACAGGCCCTGTCTGGCCTGTACCCGGCGACGCACCGAGCTCCCGATCTTCCTCCTCTCACTCTCCTCACTCGAGCCCCTCAGGACGAGACCCTGTTTCCCAACGATGGCAACTGCCGCCGCTTCGCCGCCCTCTCGCGCGCTTTTGCTCAGCGCACTGCCGAACGATGGAACAACACTCCGGAGATGGAGTACCTCAACAAGAAGCTCGGCAAGTGGATGCCCAATGATGCTCGCATCGCCGTAGACTCCAAGCCTCGGTTGAGCGGCATCATGGACACAATCAATGCCACCCGCGCACACGGTCCCCAGACGAAGCTGCCCTCCGAGTTCTACGATCCCAAGGCCATAGCTATAATCGAGAGAATTGGCGTGGAGGAATGGTATAGCGGATATACCGAGAGCCAGGAGTATCGTACCCTCGGCATAGGAGGCCTGATGGGTGATGTCGTGGCTCGCATGGTTGGTAGCGCGGAGCACAGCCCAGCGGACGGAGACTACGAAATCAAGCAGCCAGATGCTGCCCCCAGACCCATCCGGTTTGGAATGAGCGGATGTCATGACACGACACTGGCCGGTGTGCTTGCCAGCCTGGGAGCCTTCGGCCCAGACAAGTGGCCTCCCTTCACAAGCCACATCGCCATTGAGATGTTCCGTGATGCTCGGGTCCCCGCGGTCGAGACTTCGACCGAGCTACCGGTTGCGCCGACCCCCAAGAACGGTAGCTGGTTTAGCTCGTGGTTCTCCTTCGGTCGGGCCAGCGCTCCGTCGCCCGGCACTGCGCCGCCCGGCATTGGCCGTAAGACAACTCCCGAGTTGACTGATGCCGAGAAAAGCAAGCTGGACGGATACTATGTGAGGTTGCGGTACAATGATGAGCCCGTGATGATCCCTGGCTGCAAAGCCCCTGGCAACCATCTTGATAGTGACGAATCTTTCTGCACTTTGGTAAGAATTTGTATCTGTGCGTTTGGTCCCGGCAGGAAATGACTGACATGTGACCAGGCCGCCTTCAAGTCCATTGTCGACAAGTACACACCTGTCGACTGGAGAGAACAATGCCGCGCGAACGCCAACATTCCCGCTTTCCCGGCCAAGCCTGAGCCGGCAGGATATTGATGGCTTTCAGGAGCCGCTGGATAGGGCTGACCTAACTTTTTGAAAACGAGACTTGTTGCAAAATTACATAAAAGAGCGGTGAGGGGCATGGCCATGCGGTTATGATAGATCACCTCGGAGCGTACAAGATGTCACTTCTCACATATCTGAGTTCTTCAATCCCGCCATGTTCTAGCAGTCATTGGCGTGGCGTGTCTGTCATAAGCCACTTTGTTTTGGGGGCAAGAAACATATGTCCCGGTTTGTGTTGAAACAAGACCAATAAAATACGGTCTTTTTTTATCAGTGGCAAAATGAGCATGCAAGAGAGTCGGGCTTTACTAAGATGCAAACATTCGACTCATGACAAAGGTATATACGTTGGCAGTGAGACGGCTGTGACGAGACGGGGTCTCTGGCCGCCCCGGGACGGCACACACAAACTACCGCACGCGTCCTGGCCCGTAAGGCTGCATCCGCCATCGGTGAGTGGGAACTTGGCGTCCAATGTATCGTGAGATGCCGCCAAGACGACAAAGTATCCCAGTGCATGGTGTTCAGCCTCAACATGCGTGCTCGGACAGCCCATCTCGCAGGTTGCATACTGGACATTGATATGATACGGAGGAGTCACGAATACTGCAGCTACGTAAAGGACCAGCAGAGTGACGGTCATCACGATGTCTCGCTGCTAAAACTGGCTACCATGAACTTGTGTGATAGCCATTGGAACCCAGGCAGGCGGTTGGGTAGGCTGGTGACCGCTGCAAGGGGTAGTTGGGGGAGACGACGTCCGCGCCAGAGGCACTCGGAGCTTCGTATACTATGGACACTTATACCCGTGGTGGTTTGCGAAGCCGTCCTACACCGACCTGGTAGTGTGTACTCGCAGTTTTGTATAGGAATACCAGACAGTAGCTCTTCCTCTCCGATCGGGCTGTCTTTAGAGAACGGCACATGCGATATACAACAGAACCGGTGGTTTCTCAGATTCTTTCTTTGGTCAACCCGAGCCGTTATCAAATTGTTTCGACCAATCTGTATGACAGGATGCAGTATGGCCCCCAACTCTGGGTTTCCCTGTTTGTTTTCAATGTTGAACTATAGCCGATTGCTTGTCTTTGACGTATACACGTCAGCACATGCGGATATCAGAGAAGGGCAGTGTGGACTTTGCTTCGAGCTGCACGGTAGCCGTCGGTTATTCACGTCAACCAGATGGCTCACCTCCTATGCTGATGAACTCTTTTCTCTTCACCAACAGAGAACCCGATAGAGGTTTTATGTTGGAACTCAGAAGGAGATTCCCATAGAATTGTTGCCTTATATCATTTCCCTCGGGGCTTTTGCCATAAGTGATGCCTCAGTTGAGCTCGTCCGTAATGGTATGAACATTGCTTAGCTAGGTTACGAGAGGATGTCGAAAATCGTAAAAGCTCTCACCTTGATCACGATTCTCGGGCAAGGATGCAAGATCTATGCTTGTTGCATTCCCAGATGTTTGTTGAATTGCCGTATCAAGCTCTGGAGCTCGTTGCTGCGTTTGTAGATAGGGCTGGGCTTTATCATTGTGCGAGGTGGTGTTTGAGTTACAACACACATTAGTGTAATTGCCATCGGCTGTTTCTTGATCTGGGTCCTTCCGAAATCTTCAGCAAGCAGTGTACCTAGCTGACAGGAACCCGCGCGAATGGCATCTTGGGCACGGCCAGCGGTGGCGGATGTAGTTGCTGAAGCCAACGCCACGAGTCTACGTTTGCGGTCCAGTAATGTATACAATTCTACTGTATCCCTACTCAACCTGTTTTATATGTTCTTAAGAAGTCACCGTTTCTCATGGATCAGCCATTGGAAAAATCGTGGACTGAGAGGGGTGAGCAGCACTGGGCTGCAATGCATTGCTTCAGATTCGGCCCGAAGCCGCTTCCGCCCATCGGCAACCTTCATGACGTGCTGAGGTATACTCGGTGTTGTGCCAACCATTCTTGCCTTTCAACATGAATTTGCGAGACACAAGCGGTGAGCACTGCCTTACACATGCATACATGTTGCAGTCACTGCTCGGCCACTCGTGCCAAAACCAAATGTGTTGAGAAAGGTTATCGACCAACATGCTGGCCTCAAAGGCAGATCCCCAGAGAACCAGCCCCGCAGCCGTCTCCCTTTCCAAGAACTCGAATCTATACGTACTTGACACCTTCAAGGCAGGAATCAATGGCGGAATCCGGGCCATAAAGCGGTCGTCTGCAGTGCCCAGCGTGGAAGAGACGAGTGCTGTCACCAACCGTCGCGGAGGCCGCCAAGGGCACCGAAGGAATCTGCCGCCCACAAACCCGAAGGCCACCTTCGTCTAGCTGCTCTGGACCTATTCATGACGAGGAGCTACGGCCACCGCGGGGTAAATCCCAGCCCAGCACCTCACCACATCGAGATCCGACAGGTCCAATTCCCCCGCACCGGTTCCTAGACGTCACTCCCAAGCCCATGTTGGAATGCACCCCTCTCAGCTAGGCAAGCTGCCGCGATCCAGTGCGCATGCGGGGTCATCGAGCCATCGACGCACGTGGAGGTGCAGTTGGCAGCTAGTCGATATTGCAATATCGCAAGCTCAGCTGGTGATGGTTGCCGGAAGCTTGAAAGGTTGCCAGGAACGTCAAAAGCGCGCAATTCCATAGGTACCCCTGTCAAGCTGTGCTGGTGGGGCACGCTGGGCCGTAACCTTGAGACGGCAGCATTCCCGGAGTCCAGGCCGATCCATCTGATTGCACCAATGCGTGGGGGAGCTTGACGTCGCCGGCGGCGCCGAGGCAGCGGTAGCTTCCTCCTTTCCGTGGCATCCATCCAAAGGTGGGCATGGGGAAGGAGAGGGAGGGCGCCCGATTCGTCCCATTCGCCAGCTCTGCAACTTGCATCATTTGGCCTCCGACCACCCGGGGCAGCTCATGGTGTCCAAATCAGGTTTCTTGGCACCCGGTTACTGCGCTACTGCTACGCTACACCCGGGTCAAACGCAAACAACCGACGAACCGGTCTACGGCCCAGGAGCATCTCCAAGCTCCTTGCGTGCCCTTTTCCTGCCAGCGCAGGGAATGCACTCGAGATGTTGGGACAGCCGACGCAGTGACACGCCCGCCAGCAAACCCCCTTCAATCCCACACCAATCGGCAACGCGTCCCCGGTATGACGACATTTCGGTGGACCAGGTGTCCGTTGCGCCATGGCGATACTGTGTAATTTTCCCTGCTCGACGTTCAGATATTATCCTGTTTTTCTGGCCTGCTGCCAGGACGAGCCGCAACGGAAGGGTCCCTGTGTGCCGTTGCGCCAGGCTGGTGCCGCGCCAGGCGTTGTCTCCCCATTGGCACACGTCGCCCCAAGGATAATCAGGGTCCCCGTTCAACCCGCTTTCATTCCTGTCCGTCTCGTCCTGCAGCTCGCCCACTTGGCTCTTCCCAAGACATTCCCTTCAGAGCTGAAGAGGAGACTGGCCAAGGGCCTCAGCTAGCTCGACCCTGGGCTAGACTATACGGACACAAGCGTTTCCCTAATCGCTGCGCCAAGTGGCGCAAGCATGGTCCAACGTCTCCCAGATACAACCGTTGCTCAGCTCGGAAGGGGGCACCGGTTTACAGTGACGACCACATTGAGCGTCCCTGCCGCCTGTTCCAGCCCCCAATACGACGATAGATTGGAAGAGGGGTTCCAGATATGGCGTAAACGTGCGTCTTCCTAGCGTGCGACCCTCATCTCGATGGGCCACTGCCTTGTCGATCGGGAGGGTCAGGGCCTTGGGGATGAACATGGCAAACAGGGTCCAGCGCATGTGAGAGTGAGACTGGCATCGTGGCACAGCTCCAAGACGGACCCGGGTTTCTTAAATACCCATCCATCTCTCGAATTCCTTCTACTGCTTCCAAGCCTTGCACCATCTCTTCATCTCCATCATCCAAGCTCACTTACACAACTTTACCCCAAACCCAAACCCTCAGTAACCATGTCTTACGGCGGCAACGACGACGTGAGTGATGCCCCTTTGCCTACTCTCCTAGCCTCTCCAAGCCATTGACTAACACACCTTCAGTCCAACTACGGTTCCTCCCGCAGGGACAACGAGGACAGCTACGGCACCTCGGGAACCACGGGCTACGGCTCGTCCAACACCCGTGGGGACAACGACTCGTACGGCTCGTCCCGCCGCGACAACGACAACGACAACAGCTTCGGCTCTTCCCGTCGTGACAACGACGCATCGGACTCGTACGGCTCCTCCGGCCTCGGCAGCGGCAACAACGACTCGTACGGCTCCTCCCGCCGCGACAACGAGGACAGCTACGGCTCCTCGGGGACCACGGGCTACGGCTCCTCCAACACCCGTGGTGACAACGATTCCTACGGCTCCTCCAACCGTCGTGACAACGACACCTCGGACTCGTACGGTTCATCCGGCCTAGGCCGCGGCGACAACGACTCGTACGGCTCCTCCCGCAACACGGGCGCCTCGTCCAACCTTGCCGGCGCCGACTCCCTCTCCTACAACGCCTCGGACAACAACAAGAGCAGCAGCAACTACGACAACGACAGCTCCAACACGTACGGCTCGTCGACCTCGCGTCGCGACAACGACAGCTCCAACACATACGGCTCGTCGACCTCGCGCCGCGACAACGACACCTCCGACTCGTACGGCACCTCGACGACGTCGGGCGCCTACGGCCGGGGCAGCGACGACAACGACACCTCGTACGGCAGCAACGACAGCCGCAAGGGCGGCGACAGCAAGGTCGGCAAGATCCTCGAAAAGGCCGGCGACCTGTTCAACAGCGACAAGCTCGAGTCCAAGGGCCAGGCGAAGCGGGGCAACGCCGCGTACGGCAACGACGACAACGACTACTAGGCGCTTGCTTGGGGTTGCGGGCGTGTGTAATGGCGAGGGCGCGTCCCGTCCTCTGCTCTCTTTTTTGACCATTGTAATATTGCTAGCGAACCGTGATTGGAACTTTTGATACCAGACCGTACCTCCGAATGAGAAACCCATGTGTGGAATGTGATGCTCGTATTGATGCTTTTGATGCTACGCTATTAAAGTAAACTCCACTGCCTGGACGCCTCGTCCACTGTACACCTCGACACAAGGAAAGCAAAAGCAAGGGTCCCTCGGACGTAGGAAAGGCTCCTGACAATCTAGGACAACTTCTTGGTGACCTTGACCAGCACCACGCCGTCCGTCAGCCGCCCCTCGCAGTCCATGAGGTGCACGAAGCGGTACCCGCACCGCAGCCGGTCCAGCCGCACGGCGGCCCACGCCGCCAGGTCGTCGCGCCCAATCTCGTCGTCCCTAACGGTGAAGCGCACAAACGTCAGCTCCTCGACGACCCGGGGACGCCCGTGAACTGCAGCGCCTCGCTCCCAAAGTCCGGGTCGACGCCGCGGTTCGACCTGGTCTTGGCCTTGTACTCGCTCTCGCGCTCGCGGCCGTCGTCCTTGATGTGCGCCCCCGGCAGCCGCTCCTCGGGCGACTCGGCGTGGATCTCCACCTTTACGTACGGCTTGAACCCGCTGACCTTTGTGTCGCCGGGCGGGAGCGGCAGGTTCTGGGCCGCGAGGATGTCGATCTGGAGGTCCAGCGTCTTGTAGGCGATCTGCGGCACGCCCTTGGCCGTGTCGGGGGCGAGCCCGCTTTGGGGCACCGGTATCCTGTTGGTAGTCAGCATCGGTGGCCGTAGTCGTAGTCTTGTAGGAAAATCATTGAAGCCGGGACACAAAAAAAAGAAAAAAGAAAAAAGCAAAACGTACCCTCGGGCTTCAGGACGTAGCCGCCCGTGCCGGCAAACATGGCCTCGTTGAGCATCATCCCCTCGTCCCAGTTCTGCCAGTTCAGCGCCACGATCTGGATGCCCCGGCGCCAGAACACGGGGGCGTCGAGGTTCGAGCTCCCGATCCGCAGCCCTGACGGGTACGCGCGCATCAGGAAGTGCCGGTTGTGGTGGAAGAGCTCCGCCCCCTGCTTCTCGTGCACCTCCATGACCCCCTTCTCCGACAGCGAGAAGATGTGCGTCGGCATCGTGGCCTCGGGCTGCGTCAGCGACTTGAACGACACGCCGCGCGTGTAGACGCCTAGCCTGCTGAGCGCCTGGATGATCTTGCTCGGCTTCTTCTTGGCGGCCGCGGCCCTCTTGTTCGCCGGGTCCACCGGCGGCGACGGCGACCGCTTGCCGTCGTCCTCTTTGTCGTTGTCTTCCAGCGCGTCCGTCCCGGGGCCCGTCGGCGGCGCGTACTTCACCTTGACGAGGATCTTGCCCAAGAGGTCCGCGGGGCGGGGCAGCTCCTCGGCGTCGACGTCGGGCGCCGGGACCAGCAGACCCTTCCACGTTTCCTCCATGATCTGCACCATGACCTCCTGCTGCTCGGCGCCGCAGTGCACCTCGAGGCTGACGATGAGCGGCGTGTCGGCCGCCGCGAAGCCGTAGTCGCGGATCGTCTCGCAGACGTGCCGGAACGGCACCTCCTTGGTGAGCGTATACCCGTGGAAGACCTGGGGCTCGATGGGGCGGAGCCTCGAGGGGGTCTTCTGCAGCGTCCCCGAACCGGCTGCCGCTGTTTGCTGACCCGCGGCCGCGGGCGGAGGAACGGCAGTCTCCGCCGGTGGGCTGGTGGACTTTTCGATCCGCTCGTCCATCTTCTTCCCCAGCGACGTCTTCTCCAGCCTGCTGGCCAGAGACCCCGGCATCTTATCCTTGAGCATCTTGAGCTTGCTCCGCTTCTCCTTCTTGGGATTTGGCGCACCCGCCGCAGCGGCGGCGGCCGCCTCCTCGTCGCTGCTGCTGACGGACGTGTCGTCCTCGTTGTCCGAATCATCGCCGTCCCAGACGTCGATCTCGATGCACCTGCATCCCCGAAGCAGCACGTTCTTGTACGCATCGGTGCTCGACTCGCTGTACAGCTGGTTCCCCGTGAGATACGTGTTGTGGCTGGAGCTGATGAAGTAGCTCGACAGCGGGTACGTCAGGTCCTGCTCGCGGGCCGGGGCAGTGGCGGCCGAGGCCGACGAGGTCATGTAGTTGAGAAAGCCCTTGAAGTCGAGCTCCTCCGGGGCGGTGGCTGCCGCCGCGGTCCCCGCCGTGAGACAGTCGGCCGTCTCCTCGGCCTGGATGTGCTTCACGAAAGAGACAATCTGCTCCTTGTGCCACTTCTGATCGGTTTGACCGGCATGGATCTCGAAGATCTTGGTCAGGTACGGGATGACGGAGTCATTGAGCGTCTTGACGGTGCGCTGCGACTCACTGGCGCCGCCGCCCGCCTGGGCCTGGAGGGGTGGCCTGCTGGTGGTGGTGCTGGCCGTGACGGCCACGGGTTGCGTTGCTGTGTCTGCCATGATTGGAGGTGCTAATGTCGTGAGGCGGTGAGGGTTTTGAGAGAGAGGCGAGCGAGTATAACGGGAGCGGCTGAGAGTCAGCTCGAGGGAGAAAAGGACGCAAGCGAGGTGAACAAAAAAAGGTGAGACGACGCCTGATGCAAGCTAGACTACGAGATACGGTCCGCGTCTCGTATGCTGGCACACAAATCAGCCACTCAGCGTCGGCAGCGTGTGCTTGTGATACCAAAAGTGTAGAGTATAACGGGGTTCGAGCTACAGCTGTATGTGTTGTCGCTCGGCTCGCTGTCCCGAGCTGATTGATATATGTGGGCGGGCTTCCCGTACGTCAGCCCGCCAAGCTCCCACAGCTTCGGTAGAGAGGAAAGGGGACAATCTTGTTTTGACCCGCACCTTGTCGTGCCAAAATAAAATGGGAAACTGGCGATCCAGTAAGTTTCAGCTTGGCAAGGGTGGCACAGAAGCCGAGTGGCTCTCCCAGGGGCGGCTGGCACTATGGTACGGCAGCTCTCAAAGGTCCAGTGGCTCTCTCTCTGCTTCTACCTGGTCGTGTCGAACCGTGGCAGCTTGTCGAGTAGCGGGGTGCTGTGCGGTGTGAGCTGTCCCGGCCCCCTGCACCCCTCCGCTGATTCTCTGTGGGATGTCGTCACAGGGTCTTGTGCTCTTCTTCTGGCGGTAAAGAGAGCCCAGCCCAGACCGTCTGACGAACCCCCGGGAAGCTGCCCCTCTTATCGATAGTACCAAACCCCGCCATCCACCCCTCATTTTAGTGCCGTTTCTCACGCCGGCTGCCACCCCTGTCTTGAGCTTTACCTCTGCCATGGTGATGGAGGGCGGTTGTGGGAAACGACTTTGCGAACACACGGCCTACGGTCGAACTATTTTATATAGTCTGATACCCGGCTAGAGCCAAGACCGCGGCCGTTGCCTCCCGCCCCCAAGCATGAGCATGAACGTCCAAAGTCTGCCAGGAACGGCCCGCACCGGTTCAAGTTGGCCAGTGCTTATTATGTTCATGCGTACGTTCATGTACCGGATGAAGTGAGCCACTATGAGCATGAACACGACCCGAGCCGAGTCGGAAGAATTACCGTGTAGCTCATTTTCGGTTCGCTGGTAACAGTATCGAATGTCGCTTGTTTGTCATATATAGCTAGCTCATAAATGTCGTCAGGTCGTAAGGCGTGATAGCGATAGTCTTATGTACATGTCCATCCACCATCCACCCACCCTCTTCATCTGAATGTTAGAATCCCGCGCTTTTTGGGCTTGTTTTCACACTGGGGCGTCTTCCGCACCCCCTCACTCGTCTCTTACAACCCTCACACGGAACGAATCATGACACCCATTCATGGTCGTATGGGCGACGTAACCGACGTCCACGTGTTGGCCTTGCTCATCGTCCGCTTCCGCATCATGGCCATGATGTCCGCCTCCATGTGCTCAATGTTCTTCTCCAGGTCCGCGTCCTCGGAGGCGAACTTACCCTCGCGCCGCCTATCGAATAGGATCCACCCGCCGACGATGATGATCGTCAGCGGTATTGTGATGGCGAAGTACACCCAGAGCTCCTTTGATATGACAGGATTCGCATCTGTCCGAGGTCAGTCGCCGTGCTTGGGGGCATTGCGTTGCAAAAGGGCTGCGACCATGAAGAGACTGGGGTTGAACTCACCGTTTCCGAAATCGAAAAACGTCATGCTGAAAACCGACGCGAGAAAGGTCCCCGGCAGGAACACAGCACCGAGCAGCGAGATGGTCTTCATCGCGGTGCTGTCCCGCTTGCTGGCGTGCGCCAACCTGCGCTGCTCTCCGGCCATCTGGAACTGAATCTTGGACTCTCGCTGGGAGAGTAGGTTATACAGCTGCGCGTGATCGTCAGCATTCCGTGAACAAGTTTTGACAACGAGGGTCTCTGGGACAGAAGAAACCAAGAAGAAGAAAAAGAAGAAGAACAGCCACATACCGCGCTACGCTGGATGTGAAGTCTCTCCAGCGTCGTCGCCTGGTAGTTCTCGATCCCCTTGAGCTTCAGCCGGTAAAATTCCAACCTGGCAATCATGCTCCGGTGCAGCTTGTCGAGGTCCGGCGTGAGATGCTCCGCGGGCACCTTCGCCTTGAACTTGTCCAGCCCGGCGGCGATCTCCTTGACAATCTCCAGATACGCCTGGGGCCGCTTCCACAGCACCTGGCTGTGGCACTCGACGAGGTCCCGGCTGATGGCGTCGACCTCGAGATACCCGTCCTTGCTGACGTAGCCCTCCTCGTCCTCGATCTCGTTGCGCATGCTGACGGCGTGCTCGAGCTTGCGCAGCCAGTCGCGTGCATCACGCTGCTTCTGGTCGTTCTGCGACGACAGGTCGTGCGAGAGGATGATGATGGGCAGCAGCATCGGGTGGCCCACCTGGCGCGCGCAGTACTTTAGGTGCTTGATCGCGGTGACAATGTCGGAGCTCGGCGTGCCCTTGACGTAACCCGAGGTGATGCCGTTGCTGAAGCAGTGCGAGAGCATGATCTCCCACCCGCGCGTCTTGCCCTTTTTGCGGACGTCGGACTTGCGGAAGATGATTTCTGCGACGGGAGGTCAGTGGTTGCAAGTCATTGGGCTCACGCATCGGCAACACCAACGTAGAGTGGGATCCTCGTCGTCCTGGTCGTAGGCGCACCAAAAGAACGGTCCGACGACGCTGGTACCCTCAACGGCTCTAAATGGCAGCCGCATGGTGCGGACCATGGACTCGTAGGCATCTGCCTTGAAGGAGATTGTGTGCGGCGTAAAAGTGTCCTTGTGCTTTGCGTTCTTCTGGAGCCTGTGGAGGTGTCAGTGTGTATTCTCTTACAAGAAATGCTTCACGGGAGTATGCGCACACTAGACGGATGCCATTGACCAGCTCGACGCCCTCCTTGACCTTTGCCGGCTCGAACGCGCCCTGCACGAATCGGGTTGTCAGCCGGGCCCAATTCTCATCGTGGGCCTCTCATGGAAGGCTGTATGGTTAAGTCCATTGTCACACAGCGATAGCACATACCCGTCGGTGAAGGAAGTTGTCAAACTCGTCCATGGTCAGGGGGTGCTCCTCGGACGAATTGTAGAAAGGGTCCTGGAAGTCAATTGGGTTTAGCCTGCGCTCAATGAGACCGCGTTCCTGCGCCTTGGACCCGTCGCATCCAGGCCATTCGACCCCGTCCGTCCATTGCGCAAAGATGAGTGAGGCATGTGATTCCTCGAGACTCACCGAATAGTTGAGAATCTCAACATAGTGCGTCGCCTCCTCGACTTGGCGGCAATTGCTGACATGTTCTCGGAACATGTAGTCGTCCATCTTGGACTATTATCAATGGAGCAAGTAGTGTGCCAACGACCAAAACGCAACCCGAAACAATTCCTCGGCTTCGGAGGAGGGAAAAACAGCAGCAACGACAACAGGACTACACCGGGCAAAGAAAAGAGAGGAAAAAAAGAGTTTTGAAGGTTCATGCATGCCGACTTCATGGCTCCAGACGGGCTCCTTTCATAAGCCGCCCAGCCCCGTGACTTTGCACCATGTCTGCACCGATTGCAGCGGTCCATGGTCGGGGCCCAGGTCCAGTCCCCGGCCCATCCAACTGGATCTATGCAACCTGCACTCTGCCCGCCTTGCAATTGGCCCAGTCCACCACCCACAGCCCAAATCGCTCACTGTCGACTGGGGCCTTCTACACCTTGCCACAGTGTGCCCAGTGGTCTGACAGAGTCTAAACAGGGGATTCCGGCGGGCTCTCATATCGCCTGCCAAATGACCGAAAAGCTTGAAGCCCCCGGCGGCCCGTCTAGCGTTGGAGCTCGTACTGTAAAAGAGGAGTCAAGGCCATCCTCCCGCGGCCCTAGCCAATAATCCCCGCACTTGGACCCTGTCACCGCCAGAACGAACCGCTGTTTCTCTGTGCATTAATAGGCTCGGATAAGGGGGGCCTCCTCTGGAGCTTGTTTGAACGCTTAGCTCACTCACGCGTGGGGGGAGCATTATGGCCTACATAGATAGTACATCAATAGCTAGAGGGCCCGATTCAGCTCAACTTGATAGCCAAAGCCGCCTGCACAACATGCAGTACATATATGCCGTGCAATGCCAGATGGTGCCCGCCATTTGTTCCGTTGCAGGTGCCGCCTGTTAATTTCCACATCATCGCCCTTGGCCACCCCCCCATCGAGGCGTTACCCAGCTCATCCGCCGGGTCCCATGCCTGGCAGACTATTGCATCAATGGTAGCCCCAAGGAAGCCTCAACACTCGTCCCCCCCTGCTTGCTCGCCTGGCGGCCATTTTGGAATATAATTGTTGTTAGGTATTGATGTAACCAAGGGATACGGTAACAAGTCTGCTCTTGTTGCACTTTTTCCATCGTCCAGGACTGTTCGAGCCATCACCCAAAGGCCCCCGTCGCTGCACCCCTTACCATTTTCCAAACCGTCGACCGGGCGCCCAAAGCAGTGCAGACACCATTATCGACACCTCCAGGGTCTGCCAAGCGCCTTATACTACCTATTCAAACACTGCTCGCAGACCGGAGCATGCAAGCACACGCCTTGCGCGGCAACTCGAAATCTCCTTCAAGCGAGACATTAGAAGTCGGTGAATAGATGGCCGTACCTGAGACTTCACGTTAGCTACACCCCGAATCGCCCTCTCAGGAGAAACCCACTCGTCATGTCCGGATGAGCCGTATCGCTCGGGATCCTCTGGATATCTGTCAAACTGGCTCGCGTCACCCGCGCCGGCCTTGACAGGAGGCGTGTAGGGTGCGTCGATGTCCTTGCGGGCGAGCCTGTCCCACGTGACCTCAGTGAACCACGGGTGGTTCTTGACGTCGTTCGGACCTGCGTACAGGTTTCCCAGCCGCTTGGTCAGATCCGCCGTAATTAACTTCTCCAGCAGATCCTGCGCATCCGGGTTGATGTAGGCAGGGTATTTCACCTTGCCCTTGAGGATGTTTTCGTAGATCTTCATCGGCGACCCGCTGTCCCAGAACGGCGTGTACCCGCACAACATTTCGTATATCAAAATTCCAAGAGACCACCTGCGACCAGAGGTTAGCACATGTGAGACGAGCAACGCGGCACGGCCCAGCCAGAGGACACCTTACCAGTCTACGGATTTGTTGTAACCCTTGTTCGAGACGACCTCGGGCGCCAGGTAGTCGGGGGTACCGCAAAGCGTCCACGTCTTGTCTGGCACTCGCTTGGCAAAACCAAAATCTGTTATCTTTAGGTGCCCATGCCGGTCGAGCAGCAGGTTCTCGGGCTTGAGATCTCTGTAGATAATGTTCCTTGAGTGCAGGTATTCGAGCGCTAACGTGACTTCGGCGGCGTAGAATTTCGCGACAGGGTTGGGGAAGCGCTGCAATTAGAGAGTGCCGGGTTAGCTCGGACGGCAACGGGGGGAGGGCAGAAAACATTCAATAACCGCACGTACCCCGGATTTCCGCAGCAGCGAAAACAGTTCACCACCCTCGACGAAGTCCATCACCATGTACAGGTTCTTGGAGTCCTGGAACGTGCCCCATAGCGTGATGAGGAATGGGTGCTTGACCTCGCCCAGCATCTTTCTCTCGTCATTGGTGTGCTCGACCTGCTTCATCTTGACGACCTGCGCCTTCTTCAGCACCTTGACAGCATAGAAGCGCTGATTGTGCTTGGACTGCACCAGATGCACTCTTCCAAAGCTACCAGTTCCCAGCGTCCGCAAGATATCAAAGTCGGTCAATGTATATTTCCCCTTGGTCTGACGGACCTGCTGGTCCACCGCCAGTTGTTGCATGCCGAACTGCTGCTGCTGCTGCTGCGGCGGCGGCGGCGGCGGGTGTAGCATCGACTGGGCTTGCTGTTGCTGGAGTCGCGCTGGGTCGGTTCCGGGGCTCGGGTTCGGCTGGGACGGCTGGGACGGCTGCGCTAGATATTTTTGGCCGTTGTTCGAAGCGTCCTGCTGCGTCGGGTTGATTAGGTTGTTGATGCTCGGGAGGTTCTGTTGCGATCCGGCTTGCTGGTTGTATTGCGATTGGTGGGCTGCTGGCGGGTTGGGAGGTTGGACGGCGGTAGGATACATCTGCTGCTGCTTCGCCGCCTCGGACGAGGCCGAATCGTCGTGCTGCTTCAGCCCCTGCTGGGAGTTGGAAGACAGCGAAGAGAGGGTGGTCGAAATGGAACTGTCGAAGGGCTTCGAGGAGGTAGGCGTTACCGGGCTAGTGGGTAGACTGGAGCCTTGAGGGTCCTGATTGCCCTCCCTCGTCCGTTTTTTCTTGAGGAAGCCGAGGGTAGGCATATGAAAGTCGGAGAAAGGAAGAAGGGCTGCGTGCCCCTTGACGAAAAGACGGATGCGTATACGCGCAGGTCGGGGCCCACGACGTTTGCAGTTGGGTTATGGGGGAGGAACGGTCGCAAAGTGATTCGTCGATTCAAGGGACAGCCCGGTCGGGCTGAGAGGTCCTTGGGGGGTGAGGTGAGCAGCGAACTGACCGAAAAAGAGGAGCGCGGGGAAAGCTGAGCTGTGCTTCTCCTCTGGCTGCTGCAAGTTCAGTGGGAAAGCCGCGCCTATTGTTGTTAGGAACAATGGGGCCAGATTGACGTAGCCTTTGGACGAGAAGAGGAGGGGGGGGGAGGCCGTCAAAGGGTGACGGGAAGCTCTTGCAATTGGGAAAAAAAGACGTACAAGTTTCGAGGGATACTACGAAGATGCAAGCAACCGGCCAGTTGGAAGCAGGGCAAGGTCAGGCAAATCGCGATGAAAAATCTCGGAAACGGCAGAGCGGGAGTAGTGGGAGCGTCTATTTGGTTGACGCTGGGCCAAAGGTGGTGTAAGTTTACGCCGCAGATGGGAAGTTTAACCAATGAGGGTCGGACTGCAAGGTTCAAAAGGTGATGATTCCACGGCACGGATCCATGAAATATAGCGAGAAAAAGCGAGGATAGCCAGCCGCCACAAACAAAAGAGGAGGGACGGGGAGAAGGAGGATATGGCCGAGAGCAGAACTGGGGGGAAAGCGGGCGGGCGCCAGATGGAATGGAGGGGGAACGAGAAGAACGTACAACTGATTCGAAAGCTGGCGCCTTTTCCTCCAGGGGTCCGTTTTCCTAGACTGAGAGTGACAGAAGGTCCCGTAAGACCGGATGAGGTAGGACTTTGAGTCGTCGTTGCTTTTCCTCCTTCCCGTCTCCCAGTCGGAAGCGACAGACGGCTTGATAGACAGCGGCGGCTGCGTCTGTGTCCGCGTCTGAGGGTTTCGGGGACGACAGGGCCAGCTGGGCAAGAGGGTGCGGGATCTGTTACTCTGCCTGGGCCAAGTGCGGGTGGGCGCAGGAGGTGACTGAGTCGTTGCGCACCCTATAACTGGGGACAGGATGGGGACGAGAAAGATTAAACGACAAGCTCGCGCGGCCTCGTAAGCAATCAATTGGACTGTATAGGCGACACCAGGGAACTCGGAAAGGGTTTTGGGGGGTGCTAGAGATGTCAGATGGGGGTTGAATGAAGGGTAAGAAAAAGGACCAAAGGAGGAGGAGGGGTGGAAAGGGAGGAAGAGAGAAAGAAGAGGGACAGCTCGACCAGTGGAAGCTGAGGTTAATGATGATGTAGTAGCAAAGGGTCAATTGGTAGGCAGACAGAGCTACCTCACTTGCTGTCTGCGTCTGCGTCGTGCGTCTCTGCGCCTGCTGCGTACGGATACAGTACCGGAGGGGAGGGGAACGACGGGGGAGCTTCTGGCCGCGGCCGTGAAGGTGGGAGGAAGTGGGCGTGCAAGGTGGGCGGGGGCGGAAGTGGTCCAGTCTGGTTTGACGCCCGCGTTTAGACGGGAACGGCATGGGCAGGGAAGGCCAGGGTACCGTCAACTGCAGCATCCTTACGGTACCGTCCAATGGACCACGCGGGAGACCAAGACACCTGCTGAGGGCGAGAACCAAGACGGCGATCCAGTCCCTAGTTCAGGGTCCCGAGAGGGCTGGACACAGAGACAGAGACAGAGACAGTCGGGGAGGCAGCGTGCGATGACTGCCGGTGCAGTACTCGGTCGAACGCGTGAGGACGAGCAACCGGCGGGGATGCCAGGTCCGTCGGTGGTTCGAGGCAGCGGCATGACTTGGTCACCGGGGCAGCACCAGGTAGTCCAAGTGCCTCGCGCGTGGTTAGAGGGTGAATCGTATCTTGCATTCTCTGGCTGGCCGAATGCCTCCTCCTATGCCTCGTCCTTGGTTACCCAAGGCACATCCCTTCCCCCACGGTTGCTCTACATCTACCAACGGATTGCTGCTGCTCCATCCTACCGATGCTGCTACCACCACCGCCCAGATCGAGCACCAAAGCGAAAGTATCGTAGTGGTAACAACTAACAAGCTTGCAAGCCCAGCCGAGGTGGGGTAGGGGCAGAGCCAAGTAATCCGACCTCAATCTCGACGGGGTCACTGACTGACTGAACTGACAGTGGCAAGCAGCGAGAGGACACACACACACACATTGTGTGGGGCGGCCCCGGGGACTCTCAACATGGAATTCCAACCTGAATCGAGCAAACTAGTGGTGCTCATCAAACGACCACTTCGAGTCCTCTTGATCCCTCCGTCAGCCGCGCCCAGTGCGCATGTGTGCGGAAGGTGGTCGTCCCACAACGGGGCGATGTAAAGGCGCGGGGTCATGACACTCTGCCCTGGAGCTAACTAACTTGCCCAGCTACGCCGTGTACCTTGGCGTGATAGCAGAGCCCCGGTATCCAACACCTCTAGCGCAAGGCAATCACCAACGCGCGACGTCGACAAAAGAGCTCGCAAGACTCGCCCAGTACCATGGCTGACCACCTGCTTGCTGCAGCTAGACCTGGTTGACCCCCCCTACGCCCAAGACGGGTTCAAGGTCCAGTGATGTGCATTTGCCATTCCAACCTCACCTGAAATAGTGGGAAAGGCAGAAAGAGAGAGAGAGAGAGAGAGAGAGAGACGCAAGGTACCTTGACTGGCTGGGCCTCTTCCATCTCATTCTCAGCTCTCCCTCCACCTCGTTCCATACATAGCAAGAAAAAAAGTACGTACCCTAAACAGAGCGAGCTTTCTGGCTAATCCGACCAAGACCACCCGCGCTACGCCCAGAATGTATCAAGACGACTTGAACATTCGAATCCAATTCCGCTTCCCCTCACGCTGAGGGTCTATCCCACCCAATTGTCAGATCACTCGCCCTCACGTTCCCGTCTGGCCCTCGCCGTCCTCAAAGGCGTGATACCGCACTTGTCACCGATCGTCCCTTTCCAAAACACAGCATCTGCCGCCGCTACCGTCATCCTCCTGCATACCTACGCCTACCTTTACCCCAACCTTAACCAGCTATAACCCCCGGCCCGTAGCGCAAATGCCACTGAGCACTCGCGGTCCTCGCGGAATTTCGCCGAGCACTCGCTCAAACTCGCCATGTTTGTCTCGTTTCCGATGAACCGTGAACGGAACAAACAAATTAAAAAGAACGCTCGTGCTCTCTAGCCCCCGCTCCTATGCGTGAGGCGGACGAGACCGCGGACTACCTACGGACGAGAAACGACATGCAAGCTAGATTCCATCTGAGCTTTCACGGGTCCTAGCCTTGCTACCCGCCCCGGGTCCCGGGGAGGTCAGCGTGCATTCCAGCGCCCCCCGTCCAATGACGAACTCGCGGTAGCTGCCGGTCGATGTCGCCCTCGACACTTCCCCCGGTACCAGACGTGCCGGGAACGGTAGGGTGACACCCGACGACCGTTCTCTCTCTCAAATTTCCCGTCTTCTCAGCTCCTTGCCATTTACATAGTATGTAACTTCGTTCGGCGATTGATGCAACCAGCGGCAAACACGGCATCGGGCTCGCCTGATTCAGCTCTCATCATTATTCCGAGGCCATGCTGAACCTGCGATCCCTGCCAATGGTGTCTCGGGGCCGGCGCCGGCGCCTCAAGCCATTGCCCTGATGCCCAGCTATTAAAGACTGAAATCAGCACATTCCCTCTCATCCCCCCCCCCCCCACGCGCTCTCCCTCCGGGCGACAAAGTCGGTCATCGAGCCGAGGACCCTCTGCACTCATCCCTATGTTAGCTTTTCACGTGGCGGTCTCTCCAGCGAGGTTCTCTCAGCCGATGCCGGATCTTCTCTAGTCACACAAAAAGCTGTGTCGGTCGTTGTGTCAATGAATCTCAAATCCCATTCCTCTTGCATTCGCATCGGAAATTCCTGTCGGACCAACTTCCCGGCCTGTCCAGAGTCTCGTCATCGTGTATGTACCAGAGATGGAGCATTCCACAGGCATCATCCGTTCGCCAACCAACCGTCGTATAATACACTTGAATTCATCTCAGACTGGTTATTCGTAAAACAAAAGGTAAAAAACATGAGTGAGAGAAAAAGGGTAGCCTTAGAAACTCGGTTTTCCGACCCTCGACCTGCTCATGCAAGGATGTGAGTTGATGTTGTTTTGGTATGTACGGTGTCAGTCCATCGTCCCGATTCACCCAAATGTTGCCCCCCCTTTTTTCAACATGCCCCTAATAAAAACCCCATCGCCAGTCGTTTTCTGTACTCGTAGCTTAGAAGCGATGTCTCTTGTCGTTCTTCGCCCTCCAGGCCGTGTAGCCGACGTAACCGCCGCCGAGGACGCCAAAGAAGAGGAAGATCTTGAAGAAGGTCCAAGTCCAGCTGCCACCGCCGCTCTCCTTCTTGATCGAGGATCCCTTCTTGCCCTTGCCGCTGCCGGGGGTCGTCTTGCTGTTGCTCTTGCCGGCCTGCGTCGTGTAGAGGTTCTTGGCCTGCACCGAGATGATGTCGTGGTTGTCGCTCAGCTCGCCCGTCTCGGCGCTAAAGCCGAGGTAGGCGATCTGCGGGATCGCAGGGGGCTCGCTGGTCTCGAAGCACTGGGTCCACTCGCCCTCGCTCTTGTACTGCAGCTCCAACTTGAGCAGCTTGTCCTGGAAGTAGGTGACCTTGGCCTTGGTAGGCACGCTGGCGTGGCGGATGCCACGAGCGGAGCAGCCGGCAAGCTCCGTGTTCTTGCCGTCGTTGTCCTTGTCGTAAGTGGTTTTGCCGTCGCCGAACATGGCCATGACGTAGGGGAAGACGGTGCCGGGGCGGTTGTTCTTGTACGTGTCGAAGAAGATGCCAAGACCTTCAAAGTTATCCGGGCTACCGAAGACGGGGCCGGCCTGGCCGCGGTTCTTGGTCACCCACATGGCGAAGCCGTCACCGTAGAGCTGGTTCTTGCCGTGGATCTTGAACTCGACTTCGATCTCCCAGTTGGTTGCTGTCAGAGGTACTCTCGAGAAGAGCCAGCCGGTTTGCGACGGGCGGTCCGATGTCAACCGAATATATCTAGATTGTTTGCCTTTGCTTTAGTTTCTCTTCTCTTGCCCTGGCTCATGTCTTTAAACCGTTGGAGGCGACTGTGACGTACGAGTCCGTTCGGATGATGGTGTCTCCGCCAAAATCATACCAACGACTTGCCATGTCGGAATCGAGGTACGGCTATCGTGAATAGTCTCAGTAAAGTGCATTCAGGGGTGTGGCACATGCAAGCGGGTGTCGCGAACCTGGTTCAGGGAGTGCGTTCGGAGCTAAAGACATATAAAGTCAGCTTCATCGTTCCACAACAACTGCGCAACGTGATTTTTGGGGGGAATGGGAATAGACGAACCGCAATGCTCTTGACTTCTCCATCATCCGCCTTTGCGGCGCCCAGGGCCATTGCGGCCAGCCACAGGGCCGACAGGGATTGCTTAAACCACATGGCTGCTGCTACTGCTAGCTCGAAATGAAAAAGAGTAAACCCAAGGAGAAGATGAGAATAGAGTGCGCGCTTCGCAACAGAGGAGAGGGAGGGGAGCGAAGAGGGAAGAGGGCGCCGGTTGAGGAAAGTGGTAGAGCCGCAAGGTCCAGCGACGAAAGGACGTCGTTCGGCGAGAGTCGAAGATGGTGGTGGGTTTTGCTCGTGTGTCTCCTTCCCAGCCGTTAGCTGTCCTCTTTTTTTTGGCCGATGGGTCCCGATTCCTGGGGTCAGCACGTTTTGGAGCTTCCCCCCCTGTCTTGCGCTAAGAAGTGCTCAAGCCAGCTACCACGGTGCTCACCACTGCAGCGCTCTTCACACTGCTGATGGGCGGGTCCAGTCGCTGTAGAGAGGCTCGGTTCTTCCCCCCCCCCCTGCGTCACTGTCCGCCAGGAGGACCAAACTGGAAGAAGCTATTGCTGCCTCAGGATTGAAAGTCTCAGCCACAGCAGCCTTGCAGCACAAGCCACTCCAGCTTTTCAGCATCGAGTTCAATGCGAAGCTAGCCGAGTCTCTGCGAATTTCGGTGCAACAATCAATTGCAGGTCAAGAACGTCACTTATTCTTCGCACCAACACAGCTTTCCAAGGTCACAACAATCTCCCTTGAGCTCCGTTCTACACACGAAAATCAGCAGCTATGGACTCCGACTCTGTCAAAAAGGCTGTTATGCAGCAGGTCCTCCAGGAGGCAAACCTGGCCAACGCGCGTGTTCTCATCGAGGTATGTAAAAAGCTCCAGTCAAGGCGCAACCGTGGGTAGACACTAATGCAGTCAATTGTAAACAGAAACTCCAGGAGAACTGCTTCGAGAAGTGCGTTCCCAAGCCCGGCAGCTCCCTATCCAGCGGCGAGACGACATGCATGACCTCGTGCATGGAGAAGTACATGTCGGCATGGAACCAGGTCAACAACGCATACATCAACCGGATAAAGCAGGAGTCTGGCAACACCAACAGGTCCTTTTAATCGATTTTTGCGAATGAAGGAACTACGATAGAGGGATAGGGGGTTGTTTATTATGTACTACTACTGTACAACAAAACCGCAAAAAGGGCCAAGGAGGCCCATTGGAAGCATCAACTGGGGGAGGGTACAACGGAGGAAGGAAATCTCCCCATGCTTGATTTCTACATCAAGGATTCGGCTTCAAGAGCATGTACACAGGAAATCAGCCCAAGCATCAGGTACAAAAAGGCCAGGCCTCGTCATGAAGCTGTCCAGCCCGCATAGAAGGCATTAGAGGAAGAGACGCACTTTGGTTCTCAGGGTATCTTGTCAACTTCTCTACTCGGCTAGCCCCTTCTTCTTGGCCTCCTCCGCCTCGCGCTTTCGGGCGAGGTACCGTTCCTTCGCGCTCGAGATCTCCCCCTCCGTCTTCCTCGTCTTCGTGACCCGTTCTACCTTCTCCCGCTCCGCCTCCTCTTCCTCGCGTGACCGCTTGAGCGCCGCCTCCAGTTGCGCCTCGAGCATCCGCGTCTGCCGCTCCCGCATCGCACCCTTGCCTCCAGAGCCGACAAATCCGGTGCCGGAACTGCGCTCCGGTCTGCTCTCTTTCGGTCGCGCGGCCTCTTGTCTAACCTGGGCCTCCTTCTTGGCGCCCACGTTGAGACCGCCTTTGAGAAGCTGTCTCTTGTCCACCACCTGTCCCTCCTCGTTGACGGCGACAGAACCACCCTTTTCGTTGATCTCTTTTGCAATGTCGGCCTCGGATTTCTCCTTGCCCGCGTCGTCTTCCTCCGGCGCAGGTGTCGGGCCAGCCTTAGTCTTGTCCTCGGCCGCCTTCAGGACCTCGGCGTGCCTCTCCTCACCCTTGTTGAGGAGGTTCTTATAGAAGGCGCTCATGCCACCCGTCTTGTTTTTCTTCGCTTCCTCCTCCTCCCTCCTCTTCTCTTCTTCCTCGATTCGCCGGTTCTCCTCCTGCTGTTTCTTGTACGCCTCCGTGACGAACTTCTCCTTGTCCGCGTACTCCTCGCCCTCAGCCTCCCGCTCCCTCGCAATCTTCTTCTCCTCGGCAATCAGCGCATCGCGTTTCCGCACGGAAGCCGCCTCGAGCAGACTTTTCATGTACTTGGGCTTCCGCTCGGCGTCCTCCTTTGTCTCCTTCTTCTGGGGCTTGAAAGACTCGTACACGCCGTCGTAGTCGTAGACGCTCGGGTCGAGCTCCTCTGCCTCCTCGGCGTGTTTCTTCGATGCGAGCGAGCTCGAGAGGTCGCCAAACATGGCGCTTTCTTGCTTCTTGGTTTTACTCGTTGGCGGATGTGTCGGTAGTGTGGTCTTGCTCCTTGGTTTTCTGTTGCCGCTCTCTTGTCTGCTGGACGAGGAGTCAAGATCGAAGCCGCCTAGCTCGGCCACTGTCTCGACCTTGGTTCCCGACTTGGGCGCATCATCGTCCGAGTCGTCGCCGCCGAATGCCTTCCGTTTCGCTGGTGCAGGCTTTGACACGCCGGGCTTTTTGCCCAGGTTAAGGCCGAAAGACAATCCTGGTTTACTCATGTTGTGTGTTGGTTTGAAGTTGTAGGATGAAAGCTCGAACCAAATCATTAAGACGCCTCTACGCAATGGCAATCGTGCACGGTCCATTTCGCGGTCCCACTAATGTATCCGGCCCTTGCGGCCCGGCGCCGACCTGTAGTCGGCGACGGGTCCGGATCCGTCCGCTCTACCAGATGTTAGAATAATGCTGGAAGCAGCTTTCCACCAGTGTTTCCCGCCAATGTTCGGAGCGAAATACCCCTTTGATAGAGTGCATTATTGATTACTATTTTGTGATTCATGTCGAGAAGTCTATGAAAAGTATCTATCTGGTACACGCGGCTTCTCGCGACTGCCATTAAACAATGTCTAAATAAAATTTCTCGCGAGACTGATCAAATCCCCATCTCATTGCCCTGGCGCGGGAACTCAAGCCGAAACTCCTAGCAATGCGTTCTCCCCAGCCCTTGGTAGAGACTCCGAATTCGTGGAAGCAATGGTAATTCAAAACAACAAAAGAGAAGATGGTCTCAGCCACTTGTTTGGCTGAATCAGAGTCGAACGCGACCCTCGCCGCCAAACCAGCGTCGAATGTCAGACTCGACGCCGCCACTACCGCCTCTCGCAGCACTACCACTGCTGCTGCCTGGCTCGTCATCATCACCGCCGAGCCACTTGGGTTTCTTGATGTCTTGAAACCACTGTGGAGCTTCAAATGTGTCCATCGTGTTCTTCATGCGATGGCCCAGTGATTCGAAAAAGTTCTGGTCTTCCTCCGGTTCGTCATCGCGGTACGGTCTGTTCCTAGCCGACTGGCCGGGTTGATGGTTGTGAGTGGCTCGAACAGGGGATCTTGCTGGGGATGGCGCGGCACCGGCTCGTCCGCCAGGTATGGTCAAAACGGGAGCAGATCTTCCGGCGGATTCAAGCCTGGCAAAGGCCTCTTCACGGCGTCGCAAGGCAGAGTTGCCGCCCAACTCGCGCTCGATGAGATCTCGACCCTCGCGCCAAGAACCCGATCCGAAGACTCTTCCGTCAACGTTGTCGTCATCGTCGATGAACTCGCCACCGAAGCCGAACATGCGCTTGATCTTCGAATACAAGCCAAAGAGAGTGGCCGCAACAGGGAGTAGTACAAAGATGGGGAAGAGGTAGTCTGCCCAACGGCCCAGCGCGGTGAAGTCGATAAGCTGTCCGAGGAAGCCATAGAATCGCGTCTTCTCATAGATATCTCTGGACAAGAAAGTCATAAAGTTGTAAGACAGAGGGACACTGAGCTTGGCAACTTGACCGGAGTACCAGAACGCCGATTCGTAAGCAGTGTTGCGTCTAACAAGCGCACGTCCTCGCCACGTCTTCACCTCTGTCATGGTGATAAAGGTTGCTGCACACATGTACAGAAGCCAAAGAACAGAAATGAGTTGCCCAGCAAATCCGACTTGTCCTTTGTCTCCGACCCAGTGGTGCACGACTGTCAGGCGGATAACAGAGAGTTGAGGGAATGCCGCCTTGATCACTTCAGACCAGATGATAAGAGCCGATGCCACCGAAAGGAAGGCCCCGAGAGCAATGCATGCATACGGCTCAAAATGGTAGTAGTACAGGTATCGCGTGTAAGGTGTGTGGATGGTGAATCGATCCCAGAATCCGGCGTGGGGGGAGGGTGCGCCAAATTCAAGCTTCTTCGAGGCGGCCGAGTCCAGAATAGCCTGTGCGTCCGATGCCTCCTTCAACAAGTCGTTCCAGTCGTTCACGTAACGAGACCGAGCATGCCGGGCGCGCATCAGTTTTCTCGACAAGTCTGCCATGAACTTCTCCGTGATGACCGTCGGCAGAGCGCGGCTTTCGACAGACCCGACAGCCGTCCGGGGCTGGGACTCGGGCATGCTGGCGGATTCAACGAGCTCATCGATCCACTCGCTGAACTTGACAGCACTACCAGTCTTACGGCGGCTCAGCTCGGACACCTGCAGTTCGACATCTTCCAGGTTCAGTAGGGAGTCTTCCATCTTTTCGTACAGTTTCGGCGCACGGATCTGTAGCCTGCGTAGTCTCCCGCTGATGGATGAATACCGGAAAAGTCGACGAGGAACTGCAACCAGGCCGTGTCCCATAAGATAGATGGCAAACACCAAGCCATAGAAATATGCGAGTGCCATGAAAGATGTCTTGAGCGTTGTGGGATTGAAGTTGTATCTGATGACAAGATATGCAAGTCCAATAGCAGCAGTTCCTAGTACCATCGCATGGTATTGAGCGTTTTGACGAAGCGCGTACTTCAGACTGTCGTTCGGTTCGCGGTAGCCGGAGTCGGAGTATTCGCCGAGGATGGGAAGGATAAACCTGTGGTAACCGTTGTCAGAACAGATAGAGGCCTGTACCAACAGCAGAATACGTACCATGTCAAGGCGAACGTTAACCAATATGTTATTCTCCACGATACCAACAGAAGCCGCTGTGGGAGCCAGACACCGCGCGTGGCCTCATCGTCGGTCCTAGCGCTCGAAGCCAGGTCGATGGGCACAAGCAGCACCATACATGCAGGCAGCCATAGTGCGAAAAAGATGGGCACCAGGTAGAAGGCCGGTGTTGTTCGCAGGGGCAGAAAATGGCGTAGAATCAGGAGGACGATGACGGATATGACAAGCAGCGCAAGGAGCGCAAAGATCTCCGAGGGCACTGGCGACGAGGCGCTCACGATGTGGAACATTGTGTCGTTGTCGGTGTAGCGTCCATGGGGTGCTGTTGTGCGACTCGTTCGGACTCGATGCTGTTGCCGGCTTATGCTTGAAGGGTATGATCTATGGTGGGCTGGTGGTTTAATGGGCAGGAGGTTTCGCGGCGCGCCGGAAGATGGGGGGTTTAATCTGTAGGCTTCCGGAAATCTGCCCAAAGAAGCACCCTGAAGAATGGAATGTTTTGGCACAGGGGATCGGACTGTGACGGACCAGGTCATGTGCACGGACCCGGAGTGTCTGGAAGGTCCGCAAGCAAGAGGTTTACGTCATCTGCACGGCACTCATAGAGGTCTACCTTGCACCGTTCGCTCCAGTTTAATTGATGAAGACTCTCCCAGACCCCCATCTTCGTTCCCGGCAGATCCGCTTTTGCCCCTAAGGCGGACCTTCTGGGCGTGGGACCGGAGTTCACATCAAGCTCCCTCCCCTGTTCTCGATAAAGGTAGAAGTGACGATCTCTCAGGAGGTTGGTTCAAGTTCTAGTTCCACATAGTTCTCCCTGTTGTCTCAGCCAGGTGCAGAGACTTACACCAAACCTCAGTTACTGCATACCCTTGACAGGGTCTCTTAATGGCTCTTGAGTATGACTTGAGCAAGTCTGATTTGGACGGTCCGCGATTTGATTTATTTCACGCCATGTAAGCCCTACAAGGACAGTGACTGTCCTACAAAGTGATACGAGTGCGACTGTGCTTGGTTGAGGTTGTTGTGTAAAAGCCAGTCTTTACTGGCACTCAGAACTGAGAGCTTCAACAAAGGCCCTAGTTCTGGAATTGTTCAGGAACGAAGACATTCTCATTAAAGGAAGGACCCGAGGAAACCAAGGTATGGTTTCGAAACGGAACGAATAGAAAGGTCACCCATCATTCCTCATGGTGGTCCTTTGTTCACTCGGCGACAGTAGTAGAGGAGTTCTCTCGGACACAGACAAGATATCGTGCTCAGAATAATGTTATGATTTGGTACCGGAGCATACAGAAGCCCTTCGTTGTAGGGTAAGCTAATTGTGGACGAATGAACCGAGATCAATTCAGTAAATGGATGGATTATTCAGTTGGCATACGTGTTTACACGGTTGTTTCCTAGATTACAAAGTGGAAGCATTACTTGGTCGCTCTGAACCTCTGATGGTATTCTATCTCCCACGACATAGAAACTCAACAGCATCATGACATAGGGGAGGCTGTTCTCGGAGGACGTGTATCTTTCTCGGCAACCCTCTAGGTACAGCCCGCGTATATTGGCGGACACTACCGCAGGGGAAAGTGATAATGGGGGAAATCTGTCAGCCCATATACGCATAAGAGCGTACAAAACATGCCCAAGGGCAAGATAGACACACTCGTTGGCCGGCTTCAGTCCGACGAAGTATCACTGGTATCAGCAGGGATTTTCCAATAAGGATGAACCGATCTATTATGTTTCCTTGTCCCAAAGCCCTGTGGTGGGATAGGAATGTCTCTTACAATAAGCAAGACAGGTTTGGGGATATGCACAAAAGGTTGACGAGGTACACGAGCGCCAATAGTCCATGGCCGGCCGGGATTGGCTGACAGGCATAACACAAGCCAACCAACTCATGGCCTAGGCCATTGCATCAGCTCTAACGGAACGCATATGTAGAACCATTTCAAACTGGGCTCTTCGGTCAGAAGACCGGACAGTGGACACCACTAGTCTACGTGCTTCTTCTCTCAAGGTTGCCTCCATCGGCACGAAAGAGCCGTCCAGCACTTAAGGCACCAACGTTTACACATGTATCCGAAGATTTAGCCCTGGTGCCCAATAAAGTTTGTACCTTTTTCCCTCGTGCCATAAACATTGACGTTGATCATGTAGGACCCCTGGTGTACGCCGGGCTGAGTGGCTGCTAGGTATGGCGGTCCACCAAACAGTCTTGGACGAACGGCCGCGGTACACCCAAACGAGAAACGACTCCGAGCCCTGGACCCTCTACTGTTAACAGGGACGGCAGGTACCAGATTGTACAAGGTGATTGGTTGCTGATAGTGCCTCCGGCAGAATCTTCAAACGCGTAGAGGAACCCTGGTTTATGGCAATTCCATGACGGATTGCACCAACTTTAGAACCGTTTCCAAACACCGGCATGGCCAAGGTACATAACCGCACGAGCTCTCTTGAATCCGAACGAACCCTTGATTTCAAGTTTCTGGCCGAGCGATATGTCAAGAGAAAAGTAAGAAAACCACGTGCTTCGACATTACGAGACAAGCGTCAACTCTCCAAGATCTCCCCATCTCAGACAGAGGCACTACCATATACGATGTATACAGTAGCAAAAACTAGTTTTAGCCCCAACTAACACCTGCATCATTTCTCGTAATACGTCTTTCAAAATGCCCTGCAGACGTTGGGTGACGGCGGTTTGCCGTCATGGTCGGGAGCCCCGGATGTTTCTTAACTAAATGGGTTGTAAGAGTCTTGCCCAACTCTGTCCGAGCTTTTATAACCTCAAGTTGCCAGAATTTCACATAGTCCTGACATCTCAACAGAATATAGATGAAAAGTATTTCTCCTGATTTCAAATTAAGTACCAAATACTCCGATAGGTCCGGTTGGTTCCATCGTTGCAATGGTCATTGCAGTGTTGAATACAATCTACCTCGAGACCAACCGAGTCCGGCAGGGCAAGGTACGGGCAATCTCAGAACCAACTCCGCCACTGGCACCCTATGGCAGGCCCCTCTTCCTGGAGTATCCAAGTGAAAACACCAGAGTGACGAGGGGGAAGAAGGAGCAACCCCGTTTGGCGGCTATGGCGTGGTACGCCCCTCGTCGTCATCACACCGCGCCGTAGTCACAAGACAGCAAGCAGCAACGGCAGCTATGGAATCATTCTCCCCAGGCAGACGTCAGGAACAACCACCTACTGAGAGCACAGAGCTGCTCGGTAACCAGCACACCGTTTACAATCTGCACACGTCAACCCCTGTGATGCCGCCAGAGCTTCGAAACTCGCAAGCCCAGACGTTGGCGGTTCGGCACACCGAAGCCAACCAGGAACAATATCACAGTCACTTTGCACGCCCACCCACCGGTGGCTCCCAGAGATGAACTCGAGAAGAGCAAACAACTAAACTCGCGTTTGAATTCCAGTCGTTCTCCCGCCCCCCTCCCTGATCCAGGTATTCACAATACAGTACATGATTAAAGGGAAAAAAAGATTCATACGCTCGTCCTCTTCTTCTCTCTTTGCCATTCGCGCCTCCATGTGTTCTTCTCTCTTCGTGAGCCTTCTCGTCAACACTCCCTTTACCCAAACGAGGTGTTTGCATGTGGCATGCATATAATTCGTCGTCTTTCAACCGGAGAGTCCCCCCTGTTCCCCGAACCTCCCAGAGAAAAAGAAACCCAACCGTCATCCGGATGTAAAAAAAAATACCCGACCGCCATAATCACCGCCGCATATTTTTGCGCCCTACGTGATGCTGGAACCAAGGACCTTCCCGAATCCCAACTCCATACGTCACCGCACACAAAACACAGACAGGAAAACAAATTGCCATTTCTTTTTTTTCGTGAAAAACGAACCTGGTCTACTCCCAGCGAGGTTGAGTTTTTCCCTTCCGAAAAGGTAAGAAGGGGGAAATCGAGTTTCCCCCGCGGATTGTATAGACGAAGTATGCAAAACCGAAGCCCAGCGCCACATTGGACCCCCTTTGAGAGCAAGTCACCATGGCCAGTCCCCAAAAAAGTCTAATGCAGGCCGATAGCTTCATCGACCTCCCGCGCAAACCCAGTCCGGCAAAGGTGGGCACGTGGAAGCTTATCTGGAGCCTCCAAAGGCAAAGTTGCCGAATACTCCGCCGCCACCGCCCGGTGTCATTGGCCCCATAGAGATGCCGTTGGTGTTGTGCGATTGCGCGGCAGGTGTGCTCACGAGACCGACCGTAGCGGTGTTGGGCGTGCTCGGCGCTCCGTTGTGCTGTCCGTTTGGACCCTGGCCTTGCGCCGAATCTTGGTTGCCGCCATTGTTACCGAACGGCAATCTTTCCAACACCAACAGCTCGGGGATTCCTAATCCCCAGACCTTGCCGACGTGCTCTTCCGGGATTTCTCCGTTAAAGATCTTATCCCGCATCTGGAAGAAAACCTTGCCAGTAAGAAGAGAGTCCGAGCCGGCCTGGTGCGCATTTCCTACGCGCTTAATCTTTAGGGAATCGGCGATGTTCTCGAGGCCAGACTTGTGTTCGAACTTCTGGAGGATATCGGCGCTGCTGGGATCGCTGGGGGTCAGGAGCCCAGAGTTATGGAGTCGGATGGCATGCTTCATGAGGTGCTTAACATCATAAGCCGACGGGAAGTACAACTTCATGACTTGGTCGAAATCCGCTTCGTCGTTAGGGAGGTCGTTGCAAGTGAGGAGCTTAGTGAGGTAGCCAAAGTCGTAGCCTCCGTGGAACGAGATCCATTTCACGTTGTCGAAGCACACTAGACCGGATGGGATGAGGAGGGAAGCGAATTCGTGAGGGTCGATGCCGTCTCTCTCGAGAGACGCAAAGTCGATTCCGGCGCTGGATAATGACTCGATCGATTTCTCGTTGTACATGTCGTCTTTGACGGAGAACTTGAAGTTGAACTGCCATGCGTAGGGGAAAGGGCCTTGTGACGCTGCTCTTCGTTGGGCTGCGCTCAGTTCGATGTCCTGCTGAGAGTTTGGTCGCGCGGGTGGGGTCTCGCCGTCTTCGTTGAACAGCGTCAGTCCAATCTGGATAACCTTGAGCATGTCGACGTTGGTGCGCAGGCACTGGTAGTGGTAATCGCTCTTTCCTCTAAAAGAGCCCATTGGCCGTGATACCACGCCTGGAAATTCCGTGTCCTGTAGTTCAGCTCGTCAGCCTCGGGTTCATCGACCTAGGTGCTTTGCAGGTCTGCTAACCATAGCGATGTAAGGGTACTTGTCGACGAGCTCCCTCAGCACCGACATTTCCTCGTGGAGGTTGTGTTTCCACACTTCCCTTATCCTCCCCTTGTTCTGCGTCGTCCGCGTCGGCGCGGCGCCGTGGTCGAGCGCAAAGTTGTGTTGCGGCTGGCCGTGCTGCTGTTGTTGCTGCAGGCTCGCCGCGTGCGCGAAGCCCATCCGCGCGGCATGGCTCCCTAGCCCGGTGTCGGCGCCGATAGGGAAACCGCCATTCAGGCCAGGGGTGCCGCCGAGGACGTTTCCATTCGTAGAGAAGGGGCTGATCTGGGCGGCGTTCGCGTTGAGGTAGGAAGGGTTGGCACCTAAGGGCGGTCCATGGCTAGGGCCGTGGCCTTGAGCATGGGAGGGGAACTGCTGATGGTAGGGCGATATGGTGTTGGGCCCGCCAGGGAACCTAGGCAGCTGTGGCGGCATAACAGATTATGCCTCTCGGGAGGGTCGTACAAAAGAGTCGAGATTCACCGTATCGTCGAGCAAGGGCGTGTCAGGGTTTGAGGTGTTGTGGACGATCCACGGCCCTGCATTTGCGTCTGGAGATGCGAGTAATGGACGAGGGCTGGCAGCGGAAGAGCTCCTTTGTTCTTCGCCGCTGGTCGTCGGGAATTGATTCGGCTCGAGGAGGGTCGTCAGAAACGTCTAGCGGAGTATTGAGAGATTCGAGTCGATTGAATTTGTTCGTCGTCCGGGGTCGTGCGAAGCGAAGGCGCTGGCAAGAACGTCTGGTTAACTCGGATTTGGACAGAATGTGTGAATGAGGCCTGAAGGCTTGCTCTGGTCGACCGACCGTGGACGTCGAGGGGTGGTCTGTGCGGGGCCTTGAGCCAGACAGGTACGTACCGCGGTACTTGCCGACGACAACATCTCAAAGATCTCCAATCAGCTTCCTCCCAACTCGACTGACCACCAACGAAGCGTCCATTGTTGTACGGCAAGACGACATTAACACAGCAATCATGCAGCCAACGAGGTATTTGCGCTCTAGAAATCTCAATTGATGCCAGTGGAACGAAAATAGGCGGCTGACATCCCTTCGACACCAGGTTAGCGATGGCGTCCGTCCGCGGACAGAAGCCCAATGTCACCGGCTTCGACATGAGAGCCTTCAAGGAGGCCGCCGGCCAGCCCAGATACGACCCCTGGGAGAGGGCGTCAGTACACCCCGAGATAGCTTCATAGCGACGCCGCGACATCCGCTGACGATTGACAACCACAGAGAGTCCTGGAGATACAAGGGCCCCTTCACGAGATTCAACCGTTTCAAGGGATCCTTCCCCGGCCTCGGCATTGCCACCGTTGCCTTCGCTGGCTACTGCGCCTACGAGTACTTCTTCCTGGCCGACGACCACCACCATGGCGACAGCCACGGCAAGGACCACCACTAGAGGGTTGTAAACAGAGAGGGAGGAAGAACGAAGGGGGAGGAAGGACTGCTCCGATGTACATTTACCTCTCGAGTCGGCAGACCGGCTCGCTGGATGGGTCTAGACGAGGACGAATTGTATTCCTGCGATCAAGATGCATTGTAGTGATGTGAAGTTTTGATGATGGGTGTCGGCGAGTTATGGTTGTCGGAGATGATCGAGGCTTCGATGCTTGTATGGCCCGATGAGCTAGGCGAAGAGCACGAATAATTGGCCTCCTATGCTTGGACCGCAGATGGTGATATGTTATCCAATCATGTAGTCTGCTAAGCCGGCTTTCCGGTTTGATCGAAAACTCCCTTGTATCCAGGTCAAGATACTATACTTTAGATTCGCACCGATATGGAGTCGGCACCGCCAACGCAGCTGCGAGACTGAATCGAGGCACCGCGAAAAAAGCTTACGAAAAACGAAAGGCGGCCTTGCTCAGATGGCTCTGAATACTCTGCCCTAAGCTCGAGTGCCTGCCCTATTAGGTTGACCATTCAGCAACCCGGACAAACTGCAAACGCACCTCCTCTCTAGACGAACCCACGCACGTCACGAAGGAGCCACCTCCCCTCTTGCCCTCCTGCTCTTAGGTTTTTCTGCCATTCTCAAAAAGGTGGCATGCCTTCCTCCCAGGCAGGAGTCGTGGTGGCACAGACTCTCATCCCATGAATCTCACTCTCGTGGCCATGCTTGCTTTCCCTCGCTACGTCCAAGCTTGCTCAACAACAAAGCTTACATGGTCTATTTCAGATGTCTACAATACCTTAAAAGTCGACGCAGTCACCCTCTAAACTTGACGACAAGTCCATTGGCTCACTCTATACACACGGGCTTCCTTGGTGAAGCTGCTGCTAGCACATGGCGCCACCTACCAACATCACAAATACTACTACACATGATTCAGACAGGATCCGTCAAGCTCGTAAATGTTCGACACCGGTTTTTTTTTTCATTCTCTAGGCCTCAACTCATGCGAGGAGGTATATGCCGTATATCGCCAAACATCGACAATGTCAGCTCATTGGTATCGCATTATCCGTTAATATCCCAAGGGAACTCATCCGAACAACTCCGTTTAAAATCACCCAAGTAAACGCCGTCATGCCGCAAAGACCAAACATCGATCTCGCGGGTACATTCCACGAATAATCCGATCATTCAAGCCTAAGGCCGTTGACCGCGTCCAGCGCACCATCCACACACGTCTCCAGCTCCGCCACCCGATGCTTCAAACCACGGTTCTCGTCTCTCAACAGACTGACGGTATCCCACGCAGCCCGCTCGTCCTGCCCATGGCAATTCGCGCACGGCGGAGAACCGCCCTCTTTCGCTGCGTCACCAGTGACGCCTCTCATGAGCTTCTGGAAGACGCTGGTCTGCTGTGGCGAAGTCTTCTGGACGGCCGACCGCGACGCCCTTGGCGGCCCAAGTGTGCTGACCCTTGGCATTTGCGTCGCCGGTGACATTTCCGCGATGCTCCCTTCGAACACGCTCGGGGCGGCGGTGGTGGGGCTCCGCGATCTCGAGAAGACGCTGGCGTCCCCGACGCTCTCCTCGTCCGTGTCGAAGCCCGCACTCTTCCTCCACTTCCGTCTGGCCAGGTCTTCGTCGACGCCGAGATCTTCCGATATTGAGGACCCTTCGGAGAGGGGGCGATTCCGTTCGCGCATCATTTGCTCCTCCTGCCTTGCCTTCTTTTCGGCATTCAGTTCCGCCATCAGCTGCTGCATCGACTGCTCCTGCTCGGCGACCTTGGAGGCCATGTTTTCCAGCTGGACCTTGAGATGCTGGATCCTTGTGTCCGCCTCGTCGTTTTCCTCGGCCTGTGTGTCTTTTTCTATGAGCAGCTCCCGAAGGGCTGCGTTCTGTCTTTGGTAGGCGCCTTGGAATTTCGTCAACAGGCCGACGGCGGTGGCCTCGAGGTTCTTGAAGGCCGCGGGCGAGAAGGCATCCCGATGGGTCGGAGATGAGGGAGGGAACAGAGCCTCTTGAACGTTTAGTGACAGCAGCTCTTCGTCCTGCTTGGGGTCGACCTGGGTTTGGGCGTTCTTGGAGAACGGCGAGCTGAAGAAAGCGAACCGCGAAGTACTCGGCGATGTGCCTTTGGGTGTCGTCTCGGTGGAACCTGGCTGCTTTCTGCGTAACCTGTTTGCGGGCGTCCCTTCTGGTGTGTTTTCAATCCTCCTGGCGGCTTGGCCCTTTGGGCTGTTGTCCTCCGCTGTGCTGGGGGATCCAGAACCCAACCAGCCGCTCAAAATACCCCCTCGTCCGGCGTCTGATGATCTCCCACCACTCTTGCTGTCTCCTGTAAGAGGCATGTTGACCGATAAGGGACGGCCGCTCCCTCGCTCAAGGGATGGTGAAACGGTGACCTGTGGGATGGAGTTGTTGATGGAGGAAGGGAAGTTTGGGACAGATTGCTGTCTTTGATGATGGCCTGATCGTGTTTGGGGAAAGCTTCGACCTGGGCCAGACGACGAGCTAATGCGACACGGCTCTGGGTGGACAGGCGGCTTGATGTTTATGGTAGCACCGGGAGTAGCGCTCGGGGAGGCAGGATCGTCTTCTGGATCAACGCTCGAGGGCCCATGTGCATGGCGTAGTAGAGTTTGAGTCCCGTCCATTCCCGAGTGCTGCGTCGAAGGGCGTGGAACAGACATTGGGGAGTCGGATGTGGAGGAGGCGGCCAAATGGCTTAGCATGATGGGTTAATGTTTCGTGTGGATCGGCCAATATCTCTCTCTCTCGCCTTCCTAGCTGGACGGCCGGGGGTTCGCAGATTGGATGGTAGCGGCCAGCCAGGAATGTTGACCAACTGGAGCGACTCGGACCACAAACAACGGGGGATCGTCCCTTGCGGAACTAGGACCAACCCGGAGGAACGCAGAAGTTCCGAGGGGGGACGTTGGGACTTGTGTGGAATATCGTTGATGCTCGGTAAGGGTGGTGATTCAAGCTGGACAAAGGGGACAGACTTTGGGCGAGAGCTAAGGCCAGGTTCCCCTGCAAGCGAAGATGAGCGCCGTAGTAGTCGACCTAGCACAAGTTGACAGGCGACGGAATGCACAAAAAGCCGTACGAAACTCGACGGGTTGTACTGGCCCGTGGACGAAGCCGGCGGGATGCAGAGCGCTCAAGTGCGCAAGCAGCCGCAGATCGAGAACAACGTGACGAGAGCTTTGCCTTTTCGGGCGTAGGCGGCGCGGGCTAGCAGGAATCGTCGAAGCTGTCAAAGCCACAGGTGAGTACACGACTACGCTTGTGGCTGAGAGCTACGGGATGCTATCGCGATCCAAGGCCTAGCCGATGATCCAAAAGGGGCCAGACACAATGTTGTGAACTGTCCTATGCAGCGAGCCGGGTGTAGGCGGAGGTATTTGGAAAAGCGGAGGACGCGGTACGATGCCGCTTGGTATTGAGGTTCAATCAAAGGAACGCGAAGGTGGGGTGGATTTGAGAGGACTTCCGTGTGGTAGTAAGGTAAGTGGGCAGTTCTGGAATCTGATAACAAAGGAGTCTGCTTTCTAGGATCCGCGAGTGCTGCGTGGTCGGGTACAAATAATGCAGATGTCGAGGAACGAGCGGGGACCCTGGCCTGATGCAGAACTGAATGTTTGGCTCCCACGAGTTCGAAGGCTTGCAGGACGTCAACGTGGTCGTGGCCGAAGATGGCGGAGAGGAAAAAGCAAAACAAAACAAAAACCTGGTTTCTCCAAAGCCAACGGCCACGAGAGGGAAGAACAAGGCCCCTGATAAACAAAACAAACCGGAAGGACGCAGGCGACGCAGGGCGACGTCAACAACAGCCATTGGCGGTGGTTGGGTATCTCCATCTGCTGGGGACCCAGTGATCATGGGCTGCCGCCTGGCTGACCAGTCCCAGTGGACGACCCTGCCTCGCACCGGCTTGCAGCCCGCCCCGGCCTCGGTACCGGAGGGGGGAGCGAACAGCCACTCAGTCCAGTCCACGCATCGCAATGTCCAGTCCAGTTCGTCGTCACTGGACCGCCTTGGCCCGTCTGTTCCGGGCAGCTCTGCACAAACTTGCTGTGTCTTCACAAGTGCTGTCGTGTTGTGTCCAGCGCACCGTCCTTTGGATGGCTTTTCGGACCGGAACACGCCCTCCCCAACCGCCGTCCCATGTGGTCCGTGCAGCGCCTGTTCTTGGACCCTGGCAGTTACCGTGTGTTTACGTCTGTGCAAACAGTGGCTTGCGCTGATGTTTCTGCTTGTGATTTTATGCTCGAGAGGCCGAGATGGTACTCGTAGGCATACAGCAAATACGTCAACGCCGCGCTGTTGCACTACGTTATGCCGTCGTTGCGTTTGCGGCGATCTCTCTCTAAAATAAACACAGACGGCGACCAGACCACAGCAGTATCATCGAAGCTCTTGTCGACCGGAAGATCGACGTCCTCGGAGGCCGCCGCTGCTGATCTTCCGTAACCTACATCATAGGGCTGGGGAAGGGGGACGAGGCAGACGATGCGCGAGCGTATCCGATTGTGCCATTGTTCTTTAGTCGCACGAGGTTCGAGGAACATTCCGAGCCGCCGCCCAGCCCTCTGAGGCGAACTCGTGGCTTTCCAAAACGCCGACATCTTCTGGTCCCCCCCTTCCGCCGCCACGCTCAGGCATGCAGACTGCATTCCACGCAGAACGCCCCCTTGCCTAGGCGCCCAAGTCCGAAGGCAGACGGCGTTGGGACCGGTGCACTGGAGCAATGTGGTTCGCGTACGCCCCTGGGAGAATCCCTTGTCTCGTCTATTCAAAGAAACCGTCAAAGTTCGAGGTCCACGAGGCATCGCTCACCCGCCATTGCACGGCCCATTCGCACGAGAAGGCATCATGCTCCCGATGGAAACCCTCCACGTCGCATACCACCGCGTGGCTTGGTGGCTGGCCTCACTTGTCTGGGAAGCACATGCTCTCGACTATCGAGCAAGGCATCTCGATCTCTTGCACGTAACCATCGGCGGCTCTCGCAATCGGTGGTGGTGGTGATGGCGGCACTCTTTCCTCCCACGTCCCCGCAAAACTTAGTTTGGCTCTCACCAGAAACCGGGCAATGTCTCGATGGGCAGTCTTCTGAGTCAGTGAAGACTAGCTGTGAGTGAAGACTAGCTGTGAGTGTAGAGAAGACGCAGACGCCCTTGGGAGCAGTATCTGAGCATTTACTTGCAGACGGATGTTCCCGTGAAAGAGAATCGGCATTTGGTATTTCAACGCTTGGCAGCACTTCTTGTTGCTGACCTCGGTCAACCCTTTACTCGTCAACACTAGGCCTCCCCTCACGTCATTGGGAAGGGCAAGTACTCCAAGCCATTGTCTCGCAACTCGTGCCCACGCACATGGCTAGACCTCCAGAAACCTCTGCCCGAAGGAAGCTACAGTTAACGCGGCCTTGACACAGTGAATTGGGTCCCAAGTGCCCGTAGGCTTTTATTCATGCCGGCCGTAATGATGTACGCCCGCGATGTACTGAACCCTAAACCTGGCTCGTGGGATGAGCCTACCAAACCGTGCTCAGCCCATTAATGGTATCCCAAACCAACGAAAAACCCGACATAGCAATACTCCGGCAGTCTCCACCAAAACCTCCTCCGCAACGTCGCAGCTCCTTCTTTAGTAAAAAGACTCGACCATGGTGTCCTTGAGCTTGGTGTTGACGTTGTCCGGGCCCAGACCCTCGCCCAGTCTGAAGACGCTCTCAATCACGCTGAGCTCCGTTGCCGTCGTGTCGAGGCCGGTGACGGCCATCCAGTCGTTGACAACCATGCCGGAGCCGACGACGTTGCTACCGCGGTTGACACTGCCGGCTACCAGGGGGACCTGCAACAAGCTCGAGAGCTCGTCCTGATCCTGTATCGACGTCTTGGGGTGCACGAGGCCGCCCTGGTTCGTGAGTGACATGTACGAGCCGACAAGCACGTTGTCGGCGATGGTCTGCCTGAACACCTCAACGCCGAGCACGTCGGCAATAATCTCCTCCGTCTCACGCTCCAGGTCCGGGTGGATGAGGGCGATGTGGTCGTTGCATACGATGACGTTGCCGAGGGCCGACAGGCGCTCTTCTATTCTCTGGATGCGGACTTCGTCTGGCAGGGAGTTGCGGAGGTGTTGGAGTTCCTGATCTGACGTGGTGTTCGGGACCAAAAGACCCTTGCGGTTACTAGAGCCTCAAAGTCAGCCACCCTGTCCTCGAATGCGTCCAAGGTGATGCGGGACCCCCGTTGTCTGTGGACTTACCCAGCTGTTAACCGACCGATGATGCGGACGCCGGCAATGCTAGCCCGGCAAATGGGGATCACGCCTTGCAACTCCGCCTCGAACACACTGTAAAAGTTCTCGCTAGCGCCGGGGGCGACGAGAGCATAGGAGTTGGTGAGGGTTGCAAAGCAACCAATCCTAGAGAACAGGCACACCACGCGTCAGCAAATCTGGTCTGGCAGAGCATCGCGGTGCAGGCGGAAGAAGTTGCAGCACGATGGCGGGGTCGTTCCGGCGGGGCTTTTTTCTCACTCGTTGGAATTCTCGAATTGCGCGCGCACCGCCATGATTGTGTTTGTTCCGAGGTATTCGGTATTGACTGTCTGAATGGTGTTTTAGGGGGAGGGTATCGGGGTATACGACAGCAACAGTCGTAAAAGAATCCTTCGTATGGAAATTCCTGCACAAGCGTAGGGGGAAAAAATATCGTCGTCAAGGGTCCTGTCGTCAGGGTGTTGTCGGTGATGGAATTTTTGCAGCGGCGGAAGTCGCAATTAATAAAAAGCGACAATTGAGAAAGGCCAAAGGTGGGGCAGCAGAGCTACCCGCCGCTTCCAGTTCTTCACCTCCCTCCTTCCAAGGTGCTGTTGGCAGTTGCTTGGCCTGAAGGGGCGGCTTGGGGCGGGGCGGGGCACACCGAGCGACCTGTGTGGACCCTGATTCGCCTCAAGCACTGGAAAAATAGAGTCAATGGGCGCTGTATGGCGGATGAGTCACTCCGCATCATCCAAACGGCGCTCTTTGGCTGGTCGACATTACCAACCAGCCCGACTTGCCCTATTAGGATTTTCGTCTCACTGCGGATGCATTGCCACTGTGACTCTTCACTTGGCTTCGAGTCCGATTAATCGTTCCAGAGCCGAGCTACCCCCAATCAGGTTCCAAACCAGTCATTTCTGGGGCTGAAGGCCTGCAGCGGCATCTAAACCCCAGATTTTATTCATCATGGTTCCGATTGAATCACTTCAACAGTTCTCATCATTGTGATTAGAAACTGCACGTTGCATGAGAAAGCAGGCTGTTTAATCTCGCACACCTGATTAATTGCGTCCCGCTCGAGACTTCTCGTGGCTAGCTACGAACTCGTCCAAGTCGACGTGTATCCGCAACCCTTTGGACGACATCGTGTTGAATACAGACCTGAGTTCGAACTCATCCATAACATTGATGAGCGTCGTGTACGCCTCGATAGCCAGGTCCTTTGACCATGGGCAATGACGTAGGCCTCTGAAGTAAACATCCTTTGCCTTGGCCCTGAATTGCTTCCTGGCGTAGCTGAATTTGATGTAACACCGCCAGAGATCCGGATTGGACTTGCACGCGGGGCTGTCGAGCGCCCGCTCAAAGGCGGCTTGTGTAGAATGTACGTTCCCTTTTTGCAGTTCGTACCGGATTGCGAAAATGTGGTTGCTGATGCAGTCGCTGCCGTTCGCGAAGACGACCTTGCGAAGTATGTTGCGGACAGGGTCGTCGATGCCAAACGTGGTCGATGCCCAGGCAAACAGACTCAGGAAGATTGTGTTGCGTGGGAAAAGCTCAATGAACTGGGTGAGCTGATCCCTCAAATAGGCCCGTCGAAATGGTCTGTTGAACAATTAACTTTTGGTCTTTAAGAGAGGGTTGGGCCTGCTTACCCTCGGCTGGCATGATGGTATAGAAGCCTTGCGCCAGCTTGCAGTAGTCTCTCGTGTGTTGGCGACCTGGATTGACCTCGAGCACAAAACTCCGACGACATGGTCCATATTCTTTCCATCGCAGCCGAAATGCTTCCTTGGGCTTCGGATGTTGGTTCAGAACCTTCCTGTACTGTGAGATATGCGAGAAGTGCAAGGCATTCGGTGGTGACGACAGCATCATCTAGTTGCCCGGTAGAGATTTGACTTTCGAGATTGGCCAAGAGCGACTGCTGTACTTTGAGGAGCTGAGTCGGGGCCGCGATCACAGTTTCCTGGGCATTTCTAAAGGATCCGTCTGTTGCCGCGCACAAACGCGTAATAGCTTGCACGTTGCTCCCAGCATGGAGGTCCATCCAGGCCCATGTCTTCCATAGTATCAGTCCGTCACTGCTGCTCGAGATCTGAAGTAGCGCTGTCAGTGTTTGAACCCGCGAAGACACTGGTTGTATAGGCTGGAGTACTTACAGAGATGAGTCCGGTGGCTGATGCAACAACCTGCTGGCCAACCTCTTGTTTTCCATAGGCACTCTCAGCAAGAGCGTACGCATTGTACAGTCTCAGGTTCGATGGATTTTGTTTGATAAATGCTCTGGCGCGCTTCTTTATGTTGCTGGGGTCGTTGATAGCTTCGATTGATAATGAGTATTCAGCCAGTTCCTCGAAGCCCTTCGAGCTCGCCAACAGCCGCAGAGCATTAGCAACCCAGGCCAGATCTACTGGACCGTCCAAAGTTTTGGATGTAGTTGTCCATCCAGAGAAAAGCGAGAACCAGTCAGGGCGGGCGAAAAGTGTATCAGGCGACGCTACGAACCGAGATCCGTCTTGTCTGAATACTGGTGTCTTTTTGGACTCATCCATGACATCGGGTTCATTGGGCTTCCGGAGTACATCGGCCTCAAATAGACTCATGCTGCCTGCAATCAGCGTGTCGTTCTCCGCCGCTTCCGTCCAGTCACTCATTCGGAACGCTGGAGGCAGACAGCAGAATAGCAGGAAGGCGTCAACCAGCTGTTTCCAAATAGTAGGGACGACCCCTGAAGGTATGATAAAGAGCAATTCCTCGATATCGGAGAACATGACCACACGGTATGGGTCGTCCTCGAGGACATCATCCGTGGCTCGTGCTGGGCTTCTCGAATTTGTTGCCCGGAGCCGTTCGGTTGCGCCCCAAGACTTATAAACGTCTCGAGACCCTTGGATGGAATCGTCGTCTCTTTGCGGTTCTGCTAGATCGACTGCGCCGTTTGCTTCGACATAATGACTCCACCCACTCGCGCCTTTTTCTCCTATTCTTGGGGCCTCGTCCTCCCAGAATTCTCTGAAGACATCAAGGGTTTGCGACTCGGCCGTAACCTCGCAGTTCAATGGCCGTTGGAGGTTGAGTTCAAAGAGTGCCTGCCATGCTGCAATGGCCAATTCACGGAATCCAGCGTCGTAGGTGAATCTTGTGGCTCTGAGGAACACGAATATCATCTGCTCGTAGCGTGAGGTCTCTGAATCGTTCGTCACGTAACCTGGTCCGGGCGACACGGAGACCTTGGCTTGTTTGGGTACGGCCCGCAGCCGATTGACGTGCATGTTCTTGATATCAGTGTATTGGAACGTCGATAGGTTTGTAAGTTTGTGGTCGACTCTAGCTTTCCATAGACAGAAGCTCCAGTCGTACTTCTTTGTCACTTCCTCCCAGCGAGTGTCAAGTTTCGAGGTTGACCACACTCTGGAACCTTCACGCAGTAACCCAAGCAATAGCCGCTCCTCATCTTCGGACCGCTTTGCTTGGGCCAAGGCGGACTCGTACATTGATATCTTGATCTCTGCAAAACTGTGAACCTCGGCTTTCGTGACCTCATGGTCCAAGCTTGCGCCAGCGTCCATGAGTACGTCTTGATGCCTAATGAGTTCGAGCCAAGCTTCAATATTCTCAGGGTGCTCCTTGACTCGACGGGATAATAGAATCGAGCGCTGTTTGAGCGGATCATCCATATCAAGACGCATGTCCTCCTGCCCGTCAGAGTCGAAGTCGATATCACTATCGGAAAACTCGTGAGCCTTGGCCTTGCCCTCAATGGATCGGTAAGAGGGCTTTTCCTCTCCAGACGACTCTGGCTCCTCGGTGCGCCGTCGTTTCAAAGAAGAGCCCAGCGAAACAAAATCCTCTTCGATATTGTGCGACTCATTTCCATTGGGATCATTCCGCACTCGTATGCGCTTAGGATTCGCTCGATGAACTTTGGAATGAAACAGTGCTCTGTCCCTCACCGTCGAGATACCTTCCCCAGGCATCCGAATACTGAAGCGCTCCTGTGGGCCATCTCTGTGAATGTAGAGAAAACCATCTGAGCCGAGAACCCGTCCGTTGTAACCACGACGATACGTTGGCACGCGAGAGCGGTCATTACCACCATACCTTCTGATCAAGGGGTCGCCCTTTTTGTCAAAGAAGAAGAGACCTTCCGCGGGTTTGTCGTTCGAAGCTCTGGGCACATCTGCCTTCTCAGCAGCTAACCGGTCCCGGCTGCGGCTGCGACGATGGTGACGGTGTTTGGAGCGGTTCTCAGAATGGTGCCGTGACCGGTCATCATGGTGCCGAGGCTCATGCCGGGAACGTTTCTCCCTGTCCGCCCCATCCTTTCCACCCCTTGAGTCATGAGCTGCTTCCCCGGACGATGGTCGTGGCGATGGTGCAGGGCTCGGTGCCTTTGGCTTAAAGGACGAAAACTTAGGCACCGTCAACTTCTTTCCCCCACCTTCCGACATGTCGACTCCGCTCGGTGCCTCACCGGAACATACTCATGCACAAATGGCACTCAGTCCTTTAGGCTGTGATGTCAAATTTGTACGACAGAAGCGACCGAATTCTGGCGGTGATCGACGTTGCTTTCTCGCGGCTGTTTGATGAGGTGGAAGTCGTCGACAAACGCGCGACGCGTCGTCGCATTCACGGTAGTAAACGGCAGCCACTGGCAGCCGACGAATGAACAGCCGGGGATATGCCGGATATGTAACTTTGGCACCCACTCCGTTTTCTACGCAGCTCCGCGCCGTTCCTCCGTGCTCGGGACGGTCGAATACCGTAGCAGCCCCGGGATATAGCTTTGGCACGTGGGCAGTATGAGTGCATGTGGTGGTTGCAATCAGAAAATAGGGGCGCCAAACTAGCAGCGTATGGCGAGTGACCTCGTAGGAGACACAAACCAGACCCAGGGTCCCGGGTCAGGGATTTCCCGTGAGGTTTCTGTTACGAGCCCAAATCAAGAGACGTGTGAATGTCTGTGACGTGTTGGAGTGGCCGGTGAGGGTGTGATGTTCTGGACCGGTTGGTTTTTGGCGAAGAGCCGGGCTTGAAATCTGACACCGGCAGTTCGATGTCTGACCAACTTGACAGGCAGAAAAGACGGTCTGGCCCAGTCTTGGTTGTCGTCGTTGTCGTCTGGAATCCTCACGTCGAGAATAGAAGGTAGTTGTGGGGTACCTTTGACTGACAACCGAGAGAATCAGTATGAGATATCGGGCCTTGATCAGATGGGATTGGCTGGTTGGCAGCCGTTACGGACTAGTGTTTCCGTGTAATGAGTCGATATTCCGGCGTGTTCAGACAAAGTGTCCAGAGCGACATCCACACGAAGGCCACAAACAGAAAGGGGTCTGATGGTGCAATCTACAGGGTCCTTCGACCCGACCGTTTTGTTAAAAGGCGACGCTAGGTACGTTCGGCCAATGAAATCCCCTTGCGATGATCCACCACAGGTCAGCCGGGGCAATGACCTCACAGCCAAGACCACTCTCCCCTTCGACCGCCTCAAATAATAATTTCCATCGCTGTCTTGGGCGCTTTTGGGTGGATCATGCTCACCAACTTTACCGCGCGTGCCCCGGGTGCACAGCCCGCCTGGGGGTTCTATTGTCGGTGTCTGTCGCTCGTGTTTAATGTCGGGGTTCAGCCGACCAAGACCGCGTCGCCGAGTTTGAAGCTTTATTGCAACCTCCTTGGATATCCCCAGTGGACCAGTTGTCTCGCTGCTTCGTTTCATCCACGGATATACTTGTGCTCCTCTTTTCCCCGCGAGTCCCTCGAACACCTCTTCCCTTTTCTCCGTCTCTCTGTCTCACATACCCACTCAGTCCGTCGCGTATTCTGGTTCATGGCAACACTGCCAAGAACTCGCCATGTCTTGTCGACGATAGTCATCCGCATACACCGCACACCACCCTCTTGCATCTGACTCCGCGCTCTTCGTTGTGATTCGAGCTCTCACCCCAACCTTCGGAGAGCTTGTTCCAGCCTTGGAACCAACCAACATCTTCGTTCACGTGTTAAACTATAAGCTGCTAGGACCCAGGGCTCCGGAGCCTTCAACACCAAGGCACCGGCGAAGCCACCCACCTAGTCTCCCTGAGCCTTACACCTGCTACCCCTAGCCTGTCAACCATTTAGTCTCTTGCTTGCCTCTCCGATTTCGACCGAAACCTGTGCCATCGTTATCCCATATCAGTAAAGTTGTAACCTCGCTGCCTACAACTAGCGGGAACTTTGCTGTCGAACCTCAAATCATCCGGTTTACTCTTCGAAGATCGAAACGCGAAACAGAAAACGTTAACTTTAACGGCTTGAGCCGCATCCCCACGACCCTGCCATGGCAGACCAACCGGACGACGACATGCCCTCGGGGCCTCCCTCGCCGATGAGCACGAGGAGGCCGCGGTTCAACCGCAAGGCTTCGGATCTGCAACCAGACGAGCGGTCGCCGCTGCTCACTTCTTCAAGGTCCCGAATTCGGCGCCAGCCCAGCAGCACACCGGAGAGCCCCAAACACCCCTCGGGCCTGTCCAGAAATCACAGCGCCGCTGGTATGTCGTCTCGACTTCTTCGTATGGCAATCTCGCAACAGGAAAGCTGATTGTGCGCGTTTCTCACCACCTAGGAAGCATCCGCAGCGTCTTACACCACAGTCGCAACCACTCCTTCGGCCAACGGCTGTCCTATGCCATCTCCGACTACCCCGACCCAATGAGCGAATCGAAGCGATCCATCCTCCCGAACGAACGTGTCTGGTACGACCAGTTCACCTCCACCGATTGGGTCCACGATAACATTGTCGATGCGCATCGAGTCAAGGCCCTTAAGATGCGCAAGGATTTTTGGGGGAGGGTATACGCCATCTTCGACGCCTCTCAAGGCTGGATTCTGAGTGCTGTATGCGGTTTCGTTGTTGCCCTCGTTGCCTACGTAGTCAACTTGTCGGAAGCTACCGTTTTCGACTACAAGTACGGCTACTGCGCGCGAGGGTGGTACATCAGTGAGAAGGTGCGTGTGCCCATTGGTGGCTGGCGTACAACGATGCTGACTCGTCATAGAATTGCTGTCCCAAAGGTGCCGAGTGCGAAGACTGGCTGAAATGGTCCGACGTTCTGAAGTTCAAGCCATTCGGGGAGGTGGGGACGTCGTTCGTGATATATCTCGTCGGCGTTGTCGTGTTGTCCCTGGTGGCTTGCGCGATGACTCTTACCACGAGGACCGTGGTGCCGTCCGCGTACCGGATGACAACCTTTGACGAGAATCTTGCCGCAGAACTTGCACCCTATGTGGACGATCCGCCGAGCGACAACAGCCATGGTCCTCAAGAGGTCACCCCAGCAGTCGAGGCAGTTGATGCTAACGTACCACCTCCGATGGTCTACTATTCCGCTGCAGGAAGTGGTGTTGCCGAGGTTCGCGTCATTCTCAGCGGATTTGTCTTGCACGGTTTCCTTGGTGTGAAGACCATGGCCATCAAATCCGCAGCACTCATCCTGAGTGTGGCCTCCGGTATGAGTTTGGGAAAGGAGGGACCGTACGTTCACATTGCGACCTGCGTCGGAAACATTGCGTGCCGTCTTTTCACAAAGTACGACTCGAACGACGCCAAACGACGAGAGGTCCTATCTGCAGCCGCAGCCGCAGGTGTTGCGGTGGCGTTCGGCGCCCCTCTGGGAGGAGTCTTGTTCGGCCTCGAGGAGGTGTCATACTTCTTCCCAGCGAAAACACTCTTCCGTACCTTTTTCTGCTGTATCGTCGCGGCGCTGTCGCTCAAGTTCCTCAACCCTTACGGCACACACAAGATTGTCATGTTCCAAGTCAAGTACGTGGAGGACTGGCACTATTTCGAAATTGCCTTCTTCATCCTCATCGGTGTTTTGGGCGGCGCTGCCGGCGCGCTCTTCATCAAGGCTTCCAAGTTCTGGGCCAAGTCGTTCCGGAGAATCAAGGTCATCAAGGCATACCCGATGCTTGAGGTTCTTCTGGTCGCTGTGGTTACCGCCTTCATGAGTTACTGGAACGTTCACACCAAACAGCCAGTGGCCAAGCTCATGCTGAATCTGGCTGCCCCGTGCCGCGACGGTACTGACCGTGAGGATTTCGGTCTCTGCCCCACCACTGTCGAGAGCATTTCCCCTGTTGTCCTTAGTCTCTTCTGGGCATTCTTGATCAAGGGCTTCTTGACAATCATCACCTTTGGCATCGTAAGTTTCCAAGTGATTTGCACCTGAACAAGGCTGATGGTTTGTACAGAAAGTACCGGCAGGTATATACGTCCCGTCCATGGTCGTCGGTGGTTTAATGGGCCGGATGGTCGGCCACGCCGTGCAGTACATCGTCTTGATCTACCCCGACTTTGGATTGTGGGGTGCCTGTGCTTCCCGGGCTGTGGGATCGTGCATCCAACCTGGAGTATACGGCCTTATTGCTGCTGGCTCGACAATGTGCGGTGTCACCCGCCTGTCGGTAACGTTGGCCGTCATCCTGTTCGAGCTCACGGGCAGCTTGGACTACGTGCTGCCGTTCTCCCTGGCGATTCTCGTGGCCAAGTGGACAGCTGATGCCATCGAACCGAACAGCATCTACGTGAGTACATTGCTGGACGAAACGCCAAGGAAGCTACTGACGCGATTTAGGATCTCCTTACCAGTATGAACTCGTACCCGTTCCTCGATAACAAGCACAAGCCCATCTTTACCTCGGACCTTGCGGACATTGTACCCAGAGTCCGTCGGGAAAGGATCATTGACATCAGTGCTTCTCCTATGGTATCTGCCACCAGCCTTCGTACCAAGCTGCAGACTCTGCATCGGGCTGGAGAAATCGACGGTGGTCTTCCAATTATCAGAGACGGCATCCTCGTCGGCCTGATCCCTGCTCCGGATCTCGAGTTTGCTCTGGACAACTTGGACGACGAGGACAACAGCATGTGCTTGATGGCCCATGTGCCTACCATTGAGGACTCTGACGACGAAGGAGAGACGGACAAGACTGACTTCACTCCGTATATTGATCCGGTACGTACGAATGGGAGGCAGCTCCAGGTTGCAGAGGCTAACGTAGGCAAACAGGCGCCCGTGGCGTTGGACATCAGGTCTCCAATGGATCTTGTGTATGAATGTTTCGTCAAGCTTGGTCTGCGCTGCGTATGCGTACTCAAGAACGGACGCTACGCTGGACTGGTGAGTTTGGCCTGCACCGCTTGTGAGAAGCGGCCCACTGACGTTTTCCAGGTGCACAAGAAGAGTTTCGTCAAGTACATGCGGGAGCTCGAAGAAAAAGAGGGACACTGAGAATGTGTCTTTGTTCGACCGAGGCCACCAGGCCACTTTACCAGCCATATTTCCTGCATGCACCCTTGTCAGGTAATTCCGGACAGGACTGCGAAAGACGTTTGGAGGAGTTGTGTCCCCCTATATTGCCCTTTTCCTAGACTTATAGTCAGCATTACACGGCGCGGCGTTTATGGGGCTTTGAATCTTGCTGGGGGTTTCCCAGGAGTGGCAGGTTCTTATTTGGCCAAACTGCATAGCATCGATATACCTTGTGCAAGGTTCGCAATCATTGGGAGGTAGATTGTGACACATCACCCATGGATCTTTTCAATATAAACCCGGATTTTCGCATCGTACACAGTAGACTCCTCGGAGGTCTCTCGCGCGCCGTAGTTTGATATTCTGTCAGAAAAAGAGTAAAGCTCTGGGCTCCAGACACTTGCGAACGACAGTAACAGAACTGTTCTTCGCTGTATGCAATGACGGCCAGATACCACGGCGGCTAACGGCGGTGTACGGAGTTGTCTATACGGCGCCGATAGGTATCGGCGTTCGGCAGCGGGCGCTGCGAAAGCGAGAGTCCTCGGCCGGCAAGCCGTCGAGTTTCGCAAACAAATGCACACAATCACACAATCACGCAATCATGCAATATCAATTCTTTGTTTAATTTTTCACAGGTTGAGTTCGGAGTCGAGCGAAGTCACGACAACAGCCCACCATTTGACCATTCAAAGACCGGCAAACGACTTCCCGGTCCCGGTTTCCGGTCCCGTCTTCGGCGTCTCTTGGGAGGGTTCGCCAGCGAATTAAGTGGATAAACAATGGCGCTAGTCCCCAGATATTGCCCCTGGCGGGGTGGATAAGAAAGTCCCCACCAGCTAAGATTCAATTGTCTTATCAACGGCAGTCTGGCAGAGAGGCACTTATCGGACAATGTGTACAGCCAGGAGGGGCGGAGGAGCCATGATTTGGTGGTCTACGGAGCGTCACCGAGGGAGGGCGGGGGTTCTGGATCGGGCTCGAGGATGCGGTGAGTGTGAACCTCTCGGGTTGGGGTAACGATCAATATGACAGAAGATGTTGAAGGAGGCTCTACTGCGGCAACGACGGCACGGCGTGGCGTCATGAACAAGGGAGCCAATCGAAGGGGCGCAGAGTGCTTCTGTTTATGCAACGCCTGCACCGTCACTCGCGGCGTCGAACACACAGGAACTGGAAGCCATTAGAAGGCATTTGCGTCCGAGCTCTGACAAAGTTGAGCCGTATCGGGATGACAGACGTCTACACCGAGGCCTGCTGGAAGCTGCATGCCTGGAGAAGTGAATCGAAAAAGTAGCATATTCCTAGACGGCAGGTTTCCGCGGGTGCGAGGTCGCGTTTTGTCTGTCAATCAAAACGCCGTTTACGCGCGCCGCCGCGGTCGGCAGCAGCAGCAGCAGCAGCAGAAGCCCACGGTGAAGGGCGAGGCGGTGGCGGCGTAAACGGCGTAAAGTACCCCCTCCAAAGATGGCGCCCGTGTCACTGTGTGTGTGTGAGGTCAGGTCCCCGGCTTTCCTGGCGCAGGTCCCCGCATTTTCACACACTCTGGCACGTAATCTTGGCACGTCTCCCTGTCCGTCTGTGGTAGTGGAGGCAGAGGGGAGGGGCAGACGTACATTAGTGCCGGCTCGAGGAGGGCATGTAAAGAGCTAAGCTCGCTGCAGCTGCGGCGCGCACGCCGGCCGGTCTGATCGTTGGATGTACCTTGGGCTTGACTCAACACCAGACCGGGGGACCAAAGCTCCAAAACAGGTACATATCGTGTAATGCCTTCTGCTAGCTATCGCACCTCCACCGGCAACGCGATGACGAGGGGCTGATAAGCCGTGGCCACCCGCTATCTATAAACTTGCCCCTCCCCCGCGCAGCGACGCATTCCTCAAGCCGCCCTTTTCTCTCCCTACTTCTCTCCTCCCATCTGTTCTTGCAATTGACCAGTTGATACCCTCCTCCTGTCTGACGATCGTTGTCCCCTCCGATACCGCACAGGTTCCACTGCATTCAGCCCACGACAACCCCGCGGGAGTACTGTTGAGAGCCGCCCAGTCGACAAGAGAGCGTGTGTGGGAGAATTATACAGAGAGGCGTAAGACAACACAGACACCACCGAAGCAATGGTCTTCACCAGAGCCTCCGCCACCTTGGCGCGCCCCGCCGTTCGGGCAGCCCGGGCTTCGGCCGTCGCCTACCCGCGCCGGACGCTCTGCGCCTCCGCCCCGCGCATGGCCGCCGCGAGCCTGTTCCCCGGCGAGCCCTCCGGCCCGGCGCTCAAGACCGAGATCCCGGGCCCGGCGTCCAAGAAGCACACCGAGGACCTGCACAAGGTGTTTGACACGCGGAGCTTGAACATGCTCACGGACTACAAGAAGAGCAAGGGCAACTACATTGCCGACGCCGACGGCAACGTCCTGCTCGACGTGTAAGAGGACACCACTTCTCCATCCCCTGAAGGTCTGCTAGAGAGAGACTACTGACACGCAAACCCCCCCCCGCTCGACAGGTACGCGCAAATCGCCTCCATCCCCCTGGGTTACAACAACCCGGCGCTTGCCAAGGTGGCGCAGACGCCCGAGATGATCAACGCCATCATCAACCGCCCCGCGCTCGGCAACTTCCCGCCCGAGGACTGGGCCGAGGTCCTCCGCGCCGGCATCCTCAAGGTGGCGCCCAAGGGGCTCGACCAGGTCTTCACGGCCATGGCGGGCTCCGACGCCAACGAGACGGCCTACAAGGCCGCCTTCATGTGGCGCCGCCAGCAGGAGCGCGGCGGCTACGACGTCGACTTCACCGCCGAGGAGACGGCCTCGGCCATGGACAACAAGTCCCCCGGCGCGTCCGACCTCTCCATCCTCTCGTTCCGCACGGGCTTCCACGGCCGCCTCTTTGGCTCCCTGTCGACGACGCGCTCCAAGCCCATCCACAAGCTCGACATCCCCGCCTTTGACTGGCCCCAGGCCACCTTCCCGCTCCTCAAGTACCCGCTCGAGGAGCACGCCGAGGAGAACGCCGCCGCCGAGCAGGCCGCCCTCGACGAGGTCGAGCACCTCATCAAGACCTACCACGTCCCGCCCGCCGCCGTCATCGTCGAGCCCATCCAGTCCGAGGGCGGCGACAACCACGCCTCGCCCGCCTTCTTCCGCGGCCTCCGCGAGGTCACCAAGAAGCACAACGTCCTCCTCATCGTCGACGAGGTCCAGACGGGCGTCGGCGCCACCGGCAAGTTCTGGGCCCACGAGCACTGGGACCTCCCCACCCCGCCCGACATGGTCACCTTCTCCAAGAAGGCCCAGACCGCCGGCTACTACTTTGGCAACCCGGAGCTGCGCCCCAACAAGCCCTACCGCCAGTTCAACACCTGGATGGGCGACCCGGCCCGCGCCATCCTCTTCCGCGCCATCGTCGACGAGATTGAGCGCCTCGGCCTCGTCGAGCACACGGCCCGCGTCGGCGACTACCTCTTTGGCAAGCTCGAGGGCCTCGCCGCAAAGTACCCCGGCCAGTTCGCCAACCTGCGCGGCAAGGGCCAGGGCACCTTCATTGCCTTTGACAACCCGCGCCGCGACGAGTTCCTCAAAAAGGCAAAGGCCCTCGGCATCAACATTGGCGGCTCCGGCGAGAGCGCCGTCCGCCTGCGGCCCATGCTCATCTTCCAGGAGCACCACGCCGACATCTTGATCGAGGCTCTCGAGAAGATTGTCAAGTCGTGGTAAAAAGAGACGCGATGAGACCACGAATCTTAAAGTTTCTCGGGGGGGGGTTTTTTTCCCTTGTGTTTTTTTTTTTTTTGTTTTTTTTTGAAGCATCGTCATGGGGTTTACTGTCGGGTTCATGATCTAGCGTATGGGACTGGTCTCCAAAATTCGAGGGACATGGAACGACATTGGGTTCAAAACAACACCAGTGTACAAATCTCAAAGCTTCCATTGTGCATAAACCAAAACCGTACGTGACATGAACAGATCCTCCTTACATGCCAGTCGGCTAGGCGCAATCGGGTTTCTGGTATCATTGTGTGCTCTCCCCTCATACATCATACAGCCCGTCCTGCGTACATCCACAGTACTTCTTCAAAATCCTCTATAAAGGGGCAACAGTGGATTGTTGCGATCCTGACTTGTGCCCATTCCATCAAAGCAATAGACCTACAACGCCATGGGTCTAGTATACACTCGCTCGTAGCAAGCATGCGTCAGTTGTTATACACGGGGAGGTCTGATTACAACGCAATCCCCCTTCCCCCCACTCATGTGCCCAGGCTCGTCGATCCATATGCGTTCGTACATCAAGAAGCCTCCGAGCACCAACCCCGCGGAGGGCTTTGCATATGGCGGTTGTGGATGGCGTTTGGCCGCTTCGTGGCCGTCGCTCTCCTCTATCTCGCCAATCCCTCTCGTTGTATATGATTGATATGTGGGATAGCATTTTGCTTCTGCGCATCCGATAGCTGTTCGCCCTCGTTGTAGGGGTCGCGAGGCACCTCGTCAGATGGTCTGCGTGAGGCTCGGCTGGGTGTTGATCGCGCCGAATGCGACTTCGACTGTTCTTCTGTCGTCAAAGTGCTCTGAGGAGCGGTCAGATAAATGCCAAAATAAATGATCATGGGCACCTACTGGTTGTGACTTGTCGGATAATTTGGGGCGGCCGCGCTTCCGCTTTGCCGGCTCGCTCTGTCCCTCTGTAGCTGGGCCAGGTGACAAGCTGTAAGCGGAGCCTTCTGCCGGCGTCGTTGGGCTTTCTGCCACCAGAGTCCGTGGTGCTGGTGCCGGTGCGAGGGGAGTCAGGTGTTGTGGCAGCAAGGGCCGAAGCTGCCTGGCCTTATCTGCACGCGATGGACGGCCTCTTTTACGGGGTGGGAGCGATGCTTGCTGTTGCTGGCTGGGGCTTGACGATCCGTTGGGCACCCCTATGCTCTCCATGCCCGTGGGTCTCGGTTGTATGTTGGCAAGCTGTGGATTATGTGACTGCGAAGGCGTCGTCAA